GTCGAGCTCTAACCAACTGGGCTACAGAGAGACAGTTGTCGAGCTCTAACCAACTGAGCTACAGAGAGACAGTTGTAGAGCTCTAACCAACTGAGCTACAGAGAGACAGTTGTCAAGCTCTAACCAGCTGAGCTACAGAGAGACAGTTGTCGAGAGCTCTAACCAACTGAGCTACAGAGAGACAATTGTAAAGCTCTAACCAACTGAGCTACAGAGAGACAGTTGTCGAGCTCTAACCAACTGAGCTACAGAGAGACAGTTGTCGAGCTCTAACCAACTGAGCTACAGAAAGACAGTTGTCGAGCTCTAACCAACTGAGCTACAGAGAGACAGTTGTCGAGCTCTAACCAACTGAGCTACAGAGAGACAGTTGTCGAGCCCTAACCAACTGAGCTACAGAGAGACAGTTGTCGAGCTCTAACCAACTGAGCTACAGAGAGACAGTTGTCGAGCTCTAACCAACTGAGCGACAGAGAGACAGTTGTCGAGCTCTAACCAACTGAGCTACAGAGAAACAGTTGTCGAGCTCTAACCAACTGAGCGACAGAGAGACAGTTGTCGAGATCTAACCAACTGAGCGACAGAGAGACAGTTGTCGAGCTCTAACCAACTGAGCTACAGAGAGACAGTTGTCGAGCTCTAACCAACTGAGCTACAGAGAGACAGTTGTCGAGCTCTAACCAACTGAGCTACAGAGAGACAGTTGTCAAGCTCTAACCAACTGAGCTACAGAGAGACAGTTGTGGAGCTCTAACCAACTGAGCTACAGAGAGACAGTTGTCAAGCTCTAACCAACTGAGCTACAGAGAGACAGTTGTCAAGCTCTAACCAACTGAGCTACAGAGAGACAGTTGTCGAGCTCTAACCAACTGAGCTACAGAGAGACAGTTGTCGAGCTCTAACCAACTGAGCTACAGAGGCCAGTTGTCGAGCTCTAACCAACTGAGCTACAGAGAGACAGTTGTCGAGCTCTAACCAACTGAGCCACAGAGGCCAGTTGTCGAGCTCTAACCAACTGAGCCACAGAGGCCAGTTGTCGAGCTCTAACCAACTGAGCTACAGAGAGACAGTTGTCGAGCTCTAACCAACTGAGCTACAGAGAGACGGTTGTCGAGCTCTAACCAACTGAGCTACAGAGAGACAGTTGTCGAGCTCTAACCAACTGAGCTACAGAGAGACAGTTGTCGAGCTCTAACCAACTGAGCTACAGAGAGACAGTTGTCGAGCTCTAAGCAACTGAGCTACAGAGAGACAGTTGTCAAGCTCTAACCAACTGAGCTACAGAGAGACAGTTGTCGAGCTCTAAGCAATTGAGCTACAGAGAGACAGATGTCGAGCTCTAAGCAACTGAGCTACAGAGAGACGGTTGTCAAGCTCTAACCAACTGAGCTACAGAGAGACAGTTGTCGAACTTTAACTAACTGAGCTACAGAGAGACAGTTGTCGAGCTCTAAGCAACTGAGCTACAGAGAGACAGTTGTCAAGCTCTAACCAACTGAGCTACAGAGAGACAGTTGTCGAGCTCTAACCAACTGAGCTACAGAGAGACAGTTGTCGAGCTCTAACCAACTGAGCTACAGAGAGACAGTTGTCGAGCTCTAACCAACTGAGCGACAGAGAGACAGTTGTCGAGCTCTAACCAACTGAGCGACAGAGAGACAGTTGTCGAGCTCTAACCAACTGAGCTACATAGAGACAGTTGTCGAGCTCTAACCAACTGAGCTACAGAGAGACAGTTGTCGAGCTCTAACCAACTGAGCGACAGAGAGACAGTTGTCGAGCTCTAACCAACTGAGCGACAGAGAGACAGTTGTCGAGCTCTAACCAACTGAGCTACAGAGAGACAGTTGTCGAGCTCTAACCAACTGAGCTACAGAGAGACAGTTGTCGAGCTCTAACCAACTGAGCTACAGAGAGACAGTTGTTGAGCTCTAACCAACTGAGCTACAGAGAGACAGTTGTCGAGCTCTAAACAACTGAGCTACAGAGAGACAGTTGTTGAGCTCTAACCAACTGAGCTACAGAGAGACAGTTGTCGAGCTCTAACCAACTGAGCTACAGAGAGACAGTTGTCGAGCTCTAACCAACTGAGCTACAGAGAGACAGTTGTGGAGCTCTAACCAACTGAGCTACAGAGGGCAGTTGTCAAGCTCTAACCAACTGAGCTACAGAGAGACAGTTGTCAAGCTCTAACCAACTGAGCTACAGAGAGACAGTTGTGGAGCTCTAACCAACTGAGCTACAGAGGGCAGTTGTCAAGCTCTAACCAACTGAGCTACAGAGGCACAGAGCTGCAGATTTTCTTCCTCACCAGACTCTTTCCCCGCCATAACGAAATGATATACATTTATTTTTTACTGTAATATTTCAATTCCATTGGTCAACTAGAGGGCACTCAGAGACTGCATACCTCCGCCTACCCGCAAAATATTGAAGTAATCTATTGTTATTAGAATTTAAATGGCTGGTGCATATATTATGCACGTCCTAATTACGCATTCAGTATAAAGTTTTATTTAATTGACCGGGAAAAGCAAGACAAACTTTTGTTATTTCTCATTCAATTTTTAACCAAATTCAACCAAATTTTAATCAGTTCTTCCTTAGCCGATGGGAAATGCACTCACAAAATTTCGTACGGATATGTTTGGTATTTCTTGAGTTATCGTGCTCACAGACAAACACACACACATACACACACACACACACACACATACATACACACACACACATACAAACCCAGATGATTACATAACCTCCTGGCGGAGGTAACAAACCCAGATGATTACATAACCTCCTGGCGGAGGTAACAAACCCAGATGATTACATAACCTCCTGGCGGAGGTAATTAATCAATTTATCATTGCTGTTATACGATTCCTTTTGAAACGTTAGTAATGGGCACTAGGTTCATTTTATTCGCACTTACATGAAGTATATCTTACCTTCAAACCAATATGGCCGCCGAAAGTGAGGTAAGCTTTTAAAAATAATTTTTTTTTATATGTTTTATTTGAAACTGAGCATGGTTTAAATAATTGTGTTTTTATTGTTAGGAAACGTTTGTATTTTCATATACTGAAGATGATTTTCATTTTAACTGCTCAAACACAGGAAGCAAGGTTAGAAATAATAATAAACATTTTTTTTTTAAATGAATAGATTAAACGAATGCATATTTTATAGTCGTTAGGACGATATCGTCCTGGTTTAATTATGCAAAATAGACTAAATTTATTTAATTATGGAAAAGACTAAATGATTTTCTCATAGTTTGATGATGAGGTGTTCAAGAGATGGGACAATGCAATGGAGTCAGGATGTTTCAAATACAACTTAGATTCTGTTCAAAGAAGGATAATCCCTGGAAAATATAACTTCGTAGCACAGGTAATTATCAGGTGATTTGTCTTCATCTGATTTTCTAAAGTTGATTCTAAGGAGATGCTTAATTTAGTTAATTACTTACTTTTTTAGCTAAATGAAAAAAGATTCACTCAGAGACGTGTACCTCAAAATATAACAAGTTTGAAACAGCCGTACAATGCTGAGAAATTTAACTTCACCAAAGTCCCTAAGAAAGAGGTATGATTGTTTGATGGATTAATTAGGTGATTGATTTCCTAATTGATTAATTAGGATAATGTCCTAATTGATTAATTATGTAATGGATCTCCTAATTGAGTAATTAGGATAATTAATGTCCTGATTGATTAATTAGGTGATTGATTTCCTAATTGATTAATTAGGCTAATTAATGTCCTAATTGATTGATTAAGGTCAATCTAATATATTGATTAGAGTTGTTAATGTGCCCTATTGATTAATTGAGGTCTAATGTGCTTGGTATAATACTCTTCTAGGTTCTACTTGCATTGTGTGAAAAACATCAGGAAAGTTTAGGCAGAAATATTGTTGTAATAAATGTCAGTCCTTTGGAATATGGAAATATATTATTTGTGCCTGATGCTGATGGGCAGTTTCCACAGGTATTAGTGTGGTAATTTTTTAATGAACTTGAAATTAAATCCAAGTTATATTGTGTATTTCATTTTTCTGCTTGATTGTTCAAAATGTATGTGAACTAAAAAATTTTGTTTGGAATGTGAGCTTTGTTTTTATTTCAATGTTAGTTAGAATCATGTTTCACTTTGTTTTTATGGTGTGTAGGTGTTAACTGAACGAGCAATTCGTTTGTCCATTGAAATGATGTTATTGAGTGGGAAAAGGTAAATGATCTACAATATCAGCTTGGACATCAGGACTGAGCAGAGGACTAGGACATCGTCCTAAATAAATAAACATCCACTTAAGATTCACAATGTCTACCTGAACTATAATTACATATTCTTCAATTTTATTTTCAGAGATTTTCGTATTGGTTTTAACAGTCTCTGTGCCTTTGCCTCAGTTAATCATCTTCACCTACATGCCTTTTATACACCATATGTTTTACCCATGGAATCTGTGGTAAGCTTAACTCAACATTTTTAAATTCATAAACCCAGGCAAACTTTGACACTGGCCTGACTTGTACAAGAGACAAATGATCCTTTTAGAAAAACTTATGCAAAGGAAAGATAGTCTGATAATTCGATATTTGACGAACTGTCATGAAATGTCAGCCAATGCGTGTAGACCATGCTCTTTAGTTAGTTAGTCAACAACAGCAAAAACAACAACAGCAACAAAAATTTATATAAAAGAAATATAGAATACTTACTAGATTAAAGGATATTAGATGGTCCGTCTCACAAGTCTCTCTATCTTAAACAATTCTTGATTTTTAAAATTTTTTCAAGGGTGTGTCTCATATATGTGACGGTCTTTATGAAACTGTGAACTATCCTATCACTGCATTTGTATTGGAATGTTTTGACACTGAAAATATAGCAACTGTTTCCAGGTATACCACCAGTTCATGATTCATTCAGGTTTTTTCATATAGTGACCAAAGGCTAGGCTGCTATTAATAACTTTTTTTGCTAATTTTTAGTCGCATTCACAAGGTGACATCATACTTGCATAATAATGAGTTGGCTCATAATGTATTCTTCACACGTGGTCAGCGGTTGTCAGAGGAAAATAACTCCGATACAAATGACGTAATAAGAATTTTTATCTGGGTTAGGAAACCGTCAACTGGTACGATTATATTTGATCAAAAATACTTTATTGTAGTATTTTATCACTCCATGTAAATTTGGGTGCAGTTTTGAACGCTAGCACTCTCCCCTTTATGAGTAAATTTGTCTGGCGTTAGACAGAGTAAAATAATAAAGTAGGGCGCATTGGGATGCAATGCAACTTCATGGGTTAACTAGACAGATGGACAGGTGATCTGTTTTTATTGTCTGGCGTTAGATAGAGTAAAATAGCAAATTAGGGCGCAATGGAACTTAATGGGTTAATTTTTCTCAAAGGCCACGTTGAAACCAGAATGAACCGCGAGATAAAGTTCGAGCAGCCTTTTGCTGGTAACTGAATAATGTCTGCTTTAACAATGACGAAATTTGTTGGATTAAGACCAAGGGAGTTGCCAGCAAGCTGACAGGCAAAGCGGTTTCTTTGCTGATCGTTTAGGTTAATTTTAGATAACGGATGTTGCCCCTTAATTGGTCCCAATGAATTTCAAAATTAAATTCTGCCTATATACAGTACGATTGCTTATAAAGCGAAACACTTTTGTAGGTATTAAGAACGAGAATGTATTTAATATTGCTGTTTGTGAACTCGGCGGATTTTTACCAATTAAAGGTAAGATAAATTACAATTGAAAAACTGTTGACTAATTTTGGAAGCAGTTACACTTTATTCACACGGGAATTGGCGTACTGTTATATTCCTGAGATAAAATTCGCGTGCTGCGATCCTGAATGCATTCAGTTCATTCACGAGTGAAACGGAATCAGAGATACGAATCGACGATGTTAAATATTTGTCTAAAGGAAGCAATTTTCTTCCTCATCAGAGCGTTCATGGTACGAGAATATGACAGAGGAAGATGTATGTGACAAGCTTAAAAGTGCTGCCCTAGATAGCGAGCAATTTGAACTAATAAGAAATGAAATTTCGCAAGTAGTTGGACAATGATAGCAATGAAGAATACTTCTAGAATGGAATATAGCTTTGCAATGCCTTCACAAGGTCAGTGGAATAAGGCCTGTTTCAAACCCCGCGCTTCTCATATGTGCCGAACGCATTAGAAATAATAGATAATGAGGCATTTCAGCTGATTATCTATTGCTTTTAATGCGTTCGGCACATGAGAAAGCGCGACGTTTGAAACAGGCCTAAGTTTTGAATTCTTAAATTGAATAAACCGCAGTTTGGCTGGTCAGCACCCGGCTGAATTTGACTGAATAAACCTCCGTCAAACGCGAATGAGAAATGCAACTCTTGCTCGCGTTTTATACGTCGAATTTTGGTCGCGTCGAATGCAATTAAGACAATAGATAATGAGATGATAAACCTCATTAAGCTTCATTATTTATTGTTTCCTTCATTATCTATCGTTTCAGTTGCATTCGACGCGACCGAAATTCGACGTATAAAACAGGCCATAGACTCTCACTGACTTTGAACTGGTTCAAATTTTGATGAGAGTAATTGATGAGAGTTTTCGCTACGCGTGTGGCAATATCCAGTCTACTCTCATCAACTCACGTGCAACTCTTGTTCTCGTTTGACCGAGGCATGAGATCTAGAGTTGAGAAAACTCTCATGAAAACTCTCGCTTCTCAACTCTCATGGAATTCTTGTTCTCGTTTGACCGGGGCATGAGAGTTGTGAAAACTCTCATGTAAACTCTCGCTTCTCAACTCTCATAAACTTTCATACAATTCTTATTCATAAGAGAAAATATAAAAGATAAAAGTTATTCAAAGCGCATAAGAGTATTCCAGAGTTCATTAAACATCAGTCTTTTATATTTTCTTCGTTTCATACTCTCGTTTGTCAACTTTCATCAACTCTGGTCTTCGTTTGACTAGCAGTTTTAACTTTTGTGTTGCATAATCTGATAAAGTCTGCATGCGATTTTGGCTTCGGAAGATAATATAAACTTCGGTCCTAATAGGTCCTCATATTCAGTGCTTGAAACGCGACCTTGAACAACTTTTTCAAGAGCGAATAATGATGATAAGACCACAGCTGTAGCCTCTTGTACTTTTCACTAAATATGTCAAAGTATTCGCAATGCTCTTGAACAATCGACGCTCTATATCATGTAATAAACTCTAGAATGCTCTCACGCGCTTTGAATATCTTTGCCACTCCCTTTCTTGTGCACATACAAGGCAATGCTTCACACCCATTCAAGAGCAGATGCTTTGCAAGAATATCACAAAAAAAATTCCATTAAATATTGTGTTTATTTCTCTACATAAATAACTACATATAAATAGACATTTAACGCAAACTAGTACATTTCAATGCAGCATTGTTTTGAAATATTCAATCAATTTTGCTTTCGTTTCTTGGTTTTATTATATGCAATATATATAATACTGCCGGCTATGCTACAGAGGAACTCTATTTATTTTAGTATTTGCGCTGTGAAAATACCGATTCAGACTTCAGAATTAGATAAAAGTATACATTACATAGCATAATGCTAGCTTTGATACTGCATATTAATAGTTCTAGCTCTGTACTGTGACAGTTAGCAATTTACAAGTGCAATTTTAAAGACAATGTAGTAACAACGATATTTAAAATTTACGTGTCACTAATATTAGCTAGATATATAGTTAATTAATTATATCTTAATTTAACGTATTATAATTACAATTATGCAAGTCACATGTACAAACGTATGTGCTAATTAATATACAATTAAATCTGATTGGTATTAGATATAACATATTTGTTGCAATTCTAGTGAATGGTGGAATGAACATGATCTACGTTGCCCGCACTGTAAGATGAGTGATGTGTTGTGGTCAAATACTTGAAGAACCGTAGAACTTTAGAAGCTTTTTAGAGCGCGAAAATAAGATTGTTTCATCATAGTCAATGAGCTATTTATTCGTTGTATTGACTGCGTGTCCAAATGACACGTTCTACACGCGTCAAAATCTCACACCTTGTCAACAACACGTGTTCACACTGCTTGTTCCCAGTTGTTGACAAGTCTGGAACAACATTGGTATCACCTTGTAACAAGGTTGATGAGGCCAACAGGGTCGTAACAAGTTGTTCCAACAAGTCTGATATCGTCCGCACGTAACAAGTTGTGAACAAGTTGATGACAACAAACTCGTAGCAACTTGTTACGGACAGCCTCTGTTACTCTTGTAGGAACAACTTGTAGCAAGTCTGTTATCGTCATCAACCTTGTAACAATGTGATAACGTCAATTTGTTCCAGACTTGTCACAACAACTGGGAACAAACACGCTTTCGAAACTATGAATTGGCTTGAAATAACCATGCTTGTATTTATATGAGGTATTGATATATTCAGAGGCTGTTATAGCAAGATAATACGATGCCCCTAACCCACCCAATGTGCCAAGAAACACGTGCTGTCCCCATTATTTATCGTGCGATAAAAACACGCAACGTTATTTATATATTAACTTTGACCAAAGCACTCAGTGCTTAATTCGTGTCCTTCGTGTGCGTGGCATGCCCCACGCTTGTGCGTGACGTACACGCGTGCGGCATAGTGCGAGGTGGTGAAGGGTGATAGGGGTTCATCGCTTGATAATTTGTTCAATCCATGGTTTCACCACGTGGACGTTTGTGTACACGCCATATTTGAACGGTTGTGCGCATGACTGTCTCCAACTGACGATGCCAGCCAACGCCCAAACGCCGCCAGCGATAGGGCAAGCCAGCGGTCCTCCAGTATCAAAATGACATGCGTCCATGCCGCCCTCTTTGTAACCCGCGCACATAAATCTATCATTGATCGCTCCATTGTAGGACCTAGGGGAAATTATACCACGACTCAATAAAATACTCGACCTTTAGGGAGAACAGTTTACAGTAGAACTATGCAGCATAAATAAAATTAGTTTAGTTTCGGTTTCCTCCTGTAGTAACACTGGATCAATGAGAGATGATTGTTACTCGACCTTTAGGAAGAACATTTTAGAACTGATAGAGCTATCCAGTATAAATAAAGTTAGTTTAGTTTAGGTTCCCTCTTGTAGTAGCACTGGATCAATAAGAAATGATCCTTACTGGTCCTCTACGGAGAACGGTTTAGAACTGATAGAACTATCCAGTGTAAATAAAGTTAGTAGAGCGTTGAATGACTCTGTTCACATCCCCATTTCCCTAGCCCCAATAATATATTTAATATATCAGCTTACTTTTCCGAGTTGCATTCGTTGAGCGGTACCAAGTCGACCCAGGCTTCTCTCAGTACTCTTGAAAGTGACCCATTATACGAAGTATGTCCCCACCCGGTGATTGAGCATCGTATGCCTTGCTTGTAGAAATCAATATTGTCAGGCAGACATAGTGGCATTATGTTGCGAGGAATTCTGGCAGAACTTGAGACTTGGATTAAAGCTGCAAGATACAAAACATTGATTGATGCATGTGGGGCAGATTTCAGATTTTCTGTGCGCATATATATTTAGAATTTAGAGTGAACTTTGAAAGCCTCAATTTATAAACTAAACTAAGCTCGTTTTTGGATAGTTCTATCAGTTTTAAACTGTTTAAACTAACATTATTTGTACTGGATAGCTTTATCAGTTCTAAATTGTTCTCCCTATTGGTCCAGTAAGGGTCATCTCTTATTGATTCAGTGTTACTACAGGAGGAAACCTAAACTAAACTAACTTTGTTTATACTGCTTAGCTCTATCAGTTCTAAACTGTTCTTTCTTGGCATAAGGTTATGACTTACCAACATCGTAATCTCCTGGGTGTGTTTTGTTTCCTGGTTTGTAATCTGGATGGATATGTATTGCCTGGACGCTCAGTTTATCTTCATCACTTGAGTTCATTTCATGCACGCCAAGTTTCACATTCCATTCAGACTTTCTCTTTGGAAAATCATCTGAACAAAGGGAGAGAGCATGAAATATTTAATATTTTGCTTGTTCAAATAATAACTGAACCCTTCAGTGGTGCAAAATTTAAAGTACCGCCACATGTGATTGTTGGTATGGACAGTATCATTATATTCCTGATTAAAAAGAGATATCTCTTACCGAAGCAACTGGCAGCAGTAACAAGCCAGTTTCGTCTGACAAGTGTTGCTCCACAGATATGTTTAGGATCGCTGAACAAGACCAAAGCTTGCCAGGGCCATGTGTGAGGATCTGATTCCCGCCCGCCTACAACACGACGGTGTCTGGATGGAAGCTTTTCAAACCGCTTACCACACTCACCTAAACATCGGGATGAATATGTATTTTAGTTTTGCGCAGATACTTTGTCAAGGAAGTTAAAATTAAACTAATTTTATACTGGATATCTCTATCAGTTCTAAACTGTTCTCCCTAGAGGTCCAGTAAGGATCATCTCTTATTCATCTAGTGTTACTACAGAAGGAAACCTAAACTAAATTAACTTTATTTATACTGGATAGCTCTATCAGTTCTGAACTGTTCCTCCTAAAGGTCCAGTAAGGATCATCTCTTATTGCTCCAGTGTTAGTACAGTAGGAAACCTAAACTAAACTAACTTTATTTACACTGGATAGCTCTATCAGCTCTAAACTGTTCTCTCTAGAGGTCCAGTAAGGATCATCTCTTATTGCTCCAGTGTTACTACAGAAGGAAACCTAAACTAAACTAACTTTATTTACACTGGATAGCTCTATCAGCTCTAAACTGTTCTCTCTAGAGGTCCAGTAAGGATCATCTCTTATTGCTCCAGTGTTACTACAGAAGGAAACCTAAACTAAACTAACTTTATTTACACTGGATAGCTCTATCAGTTCTAAACTGTTCTTCCTAGAGGTCGAGTAAGGATCATCTCTTATTGCTCCAGTGTTACTACAGAAGGAAACCTAAACTAAACTAACTTTATTTATACTGGATAGCTCTATCAGTTTTAAACTGTTCTTCCTAGAGGTCCAGTAAGGATCATCTCTTATTAATCCAGTGTTACTACAGTAGGAAACCTAAACTAAACTAAGTTTATTTATACTGGATAGCTCTATCAGTTCTAAACTGTTCTCCCTAGAGGTCCAGTAAGGATCATCTCTTATTGATCCAGTGTTACTACAGGAGGAAACATAAACTAAACTAACTTTATTTATACTGGATAGCTCTATCAGTTCTAAACTGTTCTTCCTAGAGGTCCAGTAAGGATCATCTCTTATTGCTCCAGTGTTACTACAGGAGGAAACCTAAACTAAACTAACTTTATTTATACTGGATAGCTCTATCAGTTCTAAACTGTTCTCCCTAGAGGTCCAGTAAGGATCATCTCTTATTGATCCAGTGTTACTACAGGAGGAAACCTAAACTAAACTATCTTTCTTTATACTGGATAGATCTATCAGTTCTAAACTGTTCTTCCTAGAGGTCCAGTAAGAATCATCTCTTATTGACCAGTGTTACTACAGAAGGAAACTTAAACTAAACTAACTTTATTTATACTGGATAACTCTATCAGTTCTAAACTGTTCTTCTTAGAGGTCCAGTAAGAATCATCTCTTATTGACCAGTGTTACTACAGAAGGAAACCTAAACTAAACTAACTTTATTTATACTGGATAGCTCTATCAGTTTTAAACTGTTCTTCCTAAAGGTCCAGTAAGGATCATCTCTTATTGATCCAGTGTTACTACAGGAGGAAACCTAAACTAAACTAACTTTATTTATACTGGATAGCTCTATCAGTTCTAAACTGTTCTTCCTAGAGGTCCAGTAAGGATCATCTCTTATTGATCCAGTGTTACTACAGAAGGAAACCTAAACTAAACTAACTTTATTTACACTGGATAGCTCTATCAGTTCTAAACTGTTCTCTCTAGAGGTCGAGTAAGGATCATCTCTTATTGATCCAGTGTTACTACAGAAGGAAACCTAAACTAAACTAATGAACAAGCTTTCGTTGGAAGGGATGCAATTACCTGAAAATATATAAGGAGAATTTCACGTTTCGAGCGAAGGCCATTTGAGCTTATTTATAGTTCTAAACTGTTTTCCCTACATTCCCAAGGGTCTCATTTTTAAAAAATCTGTAAATTTCCTTCACCAAATCTGATGTATGGAGTCTCGCAGGGTTCAATCCTCGGCCCTAGATTAATATTAAAAATAATACCTGGATAGCAATTTGGGGATTGATGACGGACTTTTGTTCCCGGAATTCTTTTTCCAGTTTTGCCAACACACCAACATCTGGTCTTGTGCACATTACATTGTTCGCGCTTGAAGTGCCCATCACTGGTGCATGCTGGGATCACTGTAGCTTGACGCGTGTGCATCTGCAATCTACGCTTTTTCAATCTTTCACATTTTGTCAAAGGTTTGGTGGCTATAGAAAATAGAAGACAGGAGTTAGAATGTAGCTGAGCTAAGCTGAATTGTACTTAGCAATGGAGCGAGAACTGAACTCCTTAGAGGTCCAGTAAGGGCCTTCCTTTATTAATCTCAAACTCATTAATAATTCATGAGTGAATTAGCCAACCGCATTGCATATTTTGCTGACATGATAATGCCGGCTAATAGTATATTGATCTTGTAACAAGCTTGATGGCTGGCATTATCAGGCTTGTTACAAGGTTGTTCCAACAAGTCCAATACAATCATGATGTAGAAACATTGTTACAACCTTGTGTCGTCAACCTTGTAACATTCTTGTTATTTCATGACTGTATCTGACTTATAACAAGTCTGATAGTGCCATCAAGCTTGCTACGAGTTGTTAACAGCTTGTTCCAAACTTGTTACAACAGCTGGGAACAAGCAGTGCGAACACAACTTGTCGACAGCTTGTGAACAGATTTGTAACAACTTGTTTGCAGACTTGTAACAACTTGTGCGTTTTACGTGCGTAAGGAAACTGCGACCTATTTTAGCAAAACCTTACTGATTGGCTGTCGAGTTTTCGTAGTCTTCTGGGTTTTTTCAACAATTTCATTCTCAGTCGTGCTACCCTTCCTTGTATAGCCAAACATCCTAGCACTCGCATCATTTGTAATCGGCTGTAGGGTCCTTGTTGAATCTTGTTCTGTATTGTACCGATCTCGCGGTGGCAATATTATATCTGGTCTTTTCTTTCCTGTTGGTTTTCCATATTTGTCAACTTCCCAACACCGTATTTTCGTCACTTCAAAGTGACATTGTTCTTTTGAGAATGATCCGTTTTCTCTGCATGTAGGGATGTAAGTTGAAGCGAATGGACTTCTGAAACTCTCGAACCGCCATTTTTCACATACACTTTTCGGCCGTCCTGTTTGGAATCAAAGAAAATGTTGTAAATTCTCCTTCTTTGTTGTACAAAGTCAGAAACTATGTGAATAGAGTTAACTCATGGTGACTTTTGAAGATGTAGTACATGTTCTTGAATGTGAGCTACACACATAAACACATCGTGTAGCAAGTCTGTCAACAAGTTGTGTTGGCACTGCTTATAACAATCTTTTTTATATTGTCAGATTTGTTACAAGGTTGTTCCAATAAGTCCGATACAGTCATGATATAACAATATTGTTACAACCTTGTGTCGTCAACCTTGTAACATTCTTGTTATATCATGACTGTATCAGATTTGCTAGAACAACCTTGTAACAAGTCTGATGATGCGTCAAGCTTGTTATAAGTTGTTAACAGCTTGTTTCAAACATGTTACAACAACTGGGAACAAGCAGTGCGAACACAACAGCTTGGGAACAGATTTGGAACAACTTGTTTGCGGACCTGTAACAACTTGTGCATTATGCAAAAGTAGTACATGTTCTTGAATGTGGATCACCTTAAAGTGATCTGATGTTGTACAGAATTCACTGCTTAGTTAAGCATGGTTTATATAGATCACACAGAGGTAGTCGATGTTCTTGAATGTGGGCTGTCCTGAAGTGATCTGATGTTGTACAGAACTCGCTGTTGAGTTAAGCATGGACCTGCATAGTTACATCGGTTATGAAATCATTAATTTAGAAATGTTTAAGGGGCAGGTACATACATGATTGCCATGAAGTCTTTCATCAGACATTTATTAATGAATAACTATCGCGTTCAATTAATTTCATGATGCAGCTGCTCGCTGGTTTCAACGGTTATTAATTGAAAATTTATTAACCAGTTCAATTAAACCGCAGTAATTCCACTGACACACGCAATGAAAAATTTTCGCTTCAAATTAGGACGTAGGAAGATGGCGCTTTAAATCCACTACGCGGGCGTGACGAAGAAGAATTATTATGTTTCGCTTTTAAATTTGTTAACAGTTTCAATTTGTGTTTCACTTGTGTCCGTTTTTGTTGACAAAAATAATTTATTGTTTGTACCCGTGTTGCTAACACTGTGAATTACCCGTGTTGCTAACACTGTGAATTTGTTTTAAGTTACGTCTGTGTATTCATATAGTATTAAGCTCGATAATGTTTCCTGGTTTGCCCACCTTCAGGAAACATGGCTAGGAAACAATGTTTCCTGGTTTGCCCACCCTCGGGAAACATGGCTAGGAAACAATGTTTCCTGGTTTGCCCACCTTCAGGAAACATGGCTAGGAAACAATGTTTCCTGGTTTGTCCACCTTCAGGAAACATGGCTAGGAAACAATGTTTCCTGGTTTGTCCACCTTCAGGAAACATGGCTAGGAAACAATCTTTCCTGGTTTGTCCACTTTCAGGAAACATGGCTAGGAAACAATCTTTCCTGGTTTGTCCACCTTCAGGAAACATGGCTAGGAAACAATGTTTCCTGGTTTGCCCACCTTCAGGAAACATGGCTAGGAAACAATGTTTCCTGGTTTGTCCACCTTCAGGAAACATGGCTAGGAAACAATGTTTCCTGGTTTGTCCACCTTCAGGAAACATGGCTAGGAAACAATGTTTCCTGGTTTGTCCACCTTCAGGAAACATGGCTAGGAAACAAAGTTTCCTGGTTTGCCCACCTTTAGGAAACATCGAATATAGCCAATGCAAGTCACCAGTTAGTGGGCGAATTCAAATGAAAACTGTGTTTCTTTTCGGGCATTTTTTCTAGTTTTTTCGCCTCTGCTAGGCAGCTGGTTGTTAAACATCTGTCTGTCTGGTTATTAATTGATATTGACCTATATTTATTCTAGCCAGACCCTATACCAGTTCACATTATACGGTACCGCGCAATTAAGCTCATTAACCTTGGGTTTAACCTATATTCTAGATAGACTTGATAAATAGACATTAATTGTCGAGCTATTTTTGACCCAAAATATGTTATATATATTTGCACTATCGAAATTTCTTTGATCAAAATGTATGACAGTATAAATCTCTTTCAAGCACATCAATTTGATTCAAAAATCTTCTCTATTTAAGCTATTCTCCCTATAGAGAGGTCCAGTAAAGGATCATATCTTGACTCCGTATTACTACAGGAGGAAACCTAAACTAGACTAACTTTATTTATACTGGATGGCACTATCAGTTCTAAAGTGTTCTTCCTAGAGCCCCAGTAAGGAGGGGAGTTGGGGGACATGCTTTTCCCAATGGGACGACCTATAACCCCCTCCCCCTTCGTCTGGCGTCACTCCTGCTTTTCTCACAGGACAAATTAAAACAAGATACTGAAGTGTATATTGAAGGAAATGAATTCCAGTTAACGACTCAGTGAAAAGCACTGACCACTCCACTGTTACAGCCATTTCCTGTTCTTGTTGACTTGATAACTAACCCTATTGATATGTACTTTAAAATGACTGTATAACCGAAATAGGCTTATGTAACAGCACTGCAAAGCTAGTAAATACTGAACACGACAAAGAGACCTTTTAAAGTGAATATACGTACGGAATTTAAGTCACTAAAAGCACTCTTCTTGTACATGGGATTGAGGTAAATTGGCAACAAGATTTCGGACTCGATATACATGTATTTAATTGTAGAAGGGTTTTGTATATTTCAAGTGTGAATTTTATACATTTTTCGCAACTGTTCTCATGGTTTATAGGTCCAATAAATGTACTCCAGATTCCCATCTGCATAACCTTAATTCTACACGGTGACAACAGCATACCACTGGAATAGAATCCCAGCTACCGAGATGTGACATACACTAACAACTTCAAACCCCCTCGACAGAGTATTGTGCAACCTACAAACGACAATCTGTGTTGCCTCATATGTTGTTATGCAACTGTCTAGTTTTATATGCACGTTCAACCATGTCAAAGGCACTTAATAAATCGGAAGTATATAATATATTTTTTAACTGAAGGACTTCCGTTCCCTCTCGACTTAATTTAAGTAGCCATGCAAGGCTTAACGGTTTTCTGTAGAACGCGCGCAAAATTCTTGTCCAAATTTTGACAGCATTATCGTTTGGAACCGTTCCGTAATACTTTTAGAATTGTAATCCATAGAAATATATTCGTTTTATATTAAAATCGTGTTTGTTAAATTCTGGAATGATTGTTGAATATAATTCGCTGGCCAACTTCCAGACATACACTGTGGCTAGGCCTTCGGTCGATACACGTCGACATCTGCTCTTCTTTTTTGAGCTTTTTCATGGCGTTCAATCATACACGCAAACCCGCAAATTATTCATCTTTTATACCTGTCTGTAAACTTATCCCGTAGATGAGTAAAATCATCTGACGTAGACAGAAAGAACTGCTTTGGATTAACAAACCATGCAACAAATTTTATTGCCTCTTGACAAATTGCCAAGTTTTCCGACATGTCATGCAAAGTTCTCAGTTCAAACAAGGGACATTTTGTATGTGTGTACGCCTGGCCGCACGAAAATCCCTAGTCCCGTTTCGTTCTCGTGTGAATTCCTAAGATAAAATCGTGCTTGGTTGAGATGTGTTCTGAACGTATTCACTCCTGTCACGTAGACATGCAGAGCCGTTTCAATAAGAGACTTGTCAAGCAAATTCTTCATGTCATTATTGTCTCCTGTACACGCGTATGAACTTTTAAAGAACAATTCTTGAGCGATGAAAAGTATACAGTACATTTTTCAAGGAAATTGTTTGGCGTTAGACAGATTAATACACTGACAGACAGAAGCGAAGACAATAAAAAATTGTTAGGTTCCTTAAATTTAAATTCGCCTGACTAAGAAATGAAGCAGCGTTAACCTTCGTGCAACTTTTTTTATAATTCGGAATCATTCTTACAACATCAACGCAAGATAGTTGCACAATAACCTTTTGAAATGGATGTCTAATATATACCGAACTATTGCACAACTGATTGATTATGAAGAGATTTTATATTGCATTTCAGTCTAAAATGCCGCCGTTAACCTTGAAAAAACTTTTCGTGACTTTGTCTGTGTCGTATTGAGTTTATTTTAAATCAGAAATTCCAATTGTGGTCAAAATGCTTTAGGAATTTTCCAAAGTGCTTAGGCCGTGGCCTAGAACGGCAATACAGCGACTGATAGAATTGTAACTTTGTTACAATATGACATTTTGAGTGTTTTTGGTATCGTTTGCGGTTTGATCTGCCGAATATGCGCGAATATTTATCTATATGGCTTGCGAGATTCATAACCTTATACTAGCTGTAGGCAGTTGGGGGGATGAGGCGTAGCTTGGCTCACTTAGTTATCGCTATATCTACCCTTAATATGTTATATTAGTTTGTTTGCTGTTTCTAATAACATTCTCAATATTATAACCAAGTATCATTGCGTTTTAACGGCTTATTGCGGCCATATTTATTTTTGCGGTGAATCATTTTTACAAAAAAACAACAAGACAAAGTACCTTAAATGTTTTAGACGTAGATTTGGCCTCCGGTAAAGTTTGGTGCTTCACTGTTTCACTTTTAACCCGAAGTTCTCAAGCCTATTAATGATCTCGGAATATATTGGTCGAAATTTAAGCCTTGCTATAATGACGCAAACTGCAAATGCCTCTCATTTTTCACATTTTACCCCACGAAATTGGTTGCTAGTTCGCACGAATTGAATGTCAACATATAAATTTTAGATTAGGAAATGGAATGATCTGCTATGCGACAGGAAACTAAATACATTATTCAACGTTTTTGAACAAAAAAACCTTTCTTGACAGAACGTAGTTACATGCAGTAATTATCTTTTAAGTTCTCGCACAAATCAATTCCAAAGTAATCAAGGTTTTAATAAGTTTGAAAATTGTCTATTCTGTTCCGTAGGTTTAATAGCTGCACTGCATTTTTGCCTGGGGATGGCCCGTACTGTCCTTTGACAAAAGCCGCACAGTTTGCGAGCGCCGTATCTGTAAAATTTCGCGCAGAATATATTCCCATTGCGGCGTAGTAATTTTGGATTTAAAAGTAGAGAAAATGTAGTAAAACTACATACCTGGCTTGACGCTCGACACTGTGTAGATCTACATTACAAAAAAATAGAAGGAAATAACGATTAATCGTATGGAATTCCAAAATCTGGGAAATAATTGTGATTGCGTTGTCCCCTTTACCTGTAAAACTGCTGAGATTAGATAAAGCAGTGAGTTCCACATATTTGATGAGATCTTGTCACTGTGGTTCTTTGTCGTGTTACGGTTGTCGTAAACTGTTTACTATCGGGTGAACCTTTTGCCCTTTATACGCGCTGGCTTCGCTCTTCAATTGCGTCTAAGTCAGATCGCACCTCCTACTAGACTCAAAGGAGTCAGCCGAGATGTTTTTAATGACGACACAAGGACGTGATTAGCCAATCAGAAGAGGCAATTGCAACATCAGCGCAGGTGTTATGTCACTGCAATTGACTCGCTCTCGATCTTCTCCCAAAAAAATTCACGCTGTCACACCAACGCGATCCAGGAGAAGCTAAAATGTAAGTCAATCGTACGCCCACTATGTTAGAGTTTTATTCAATGTCGCCAGCGTTTATGTCGGGCAGTCATATTGTTTTAGCCACGCCACCAGTTGGGAATACAAACATACCTAACTGTACAATTATAATGTAATTTATTAATACGACCATAAATTAAACTGCACATATCCGGCGGAAGCTTAGATCCCCAAAACCATTTCTTCATTATTCTTGTAACGTTATAAACCAATATTTCTTCATAAAGATTTTCTTTAATCGCTCCAGAACACATTCTTTGCAGAATTTGAAACATGTCTTAATTATTCATAATTTTAGCCGTATTTGCATAAAATATTTAAATTGTTATTCGTTGCGTGCTCCGTAAACTTGACCGTGGGCGAGTGAATGTTTTTGTGCAAAAAAATAAGAAAAAAATAAGCTGATCATTTTCTAAAAATAGCTGACACGGCGGAATTTGACTGTTTAAAAAGCATCGCAAGGTCAAGCCCTCCTTCAGTAAACAAACCTCTTGTAAATTATGCAACTTTATCTGGCAGATTTATTCATTTTTGCAAATGATTGTTTGCAAATAAAGTGGTATTCTAATTTGCAAGTTTATATCAAAATGTTGCAAATCAACTTCAAATTGTAACAATTGAGGATGCACCTTACTGCCCACCCTTGGGAAACATGACTAGGAAACAATGTTTCATGGTTTGTCCACCTTCAGGAAACATGGCTAGGAAACAATGTTTCCTGGTTTGTCCACCTTCAGGAAACATGGCTAGGAAACAATGTTTCATGGTTTGCCCACCCTCGGGAAACATGGCTAGGAAACAATGTTTCCTGGTTTGTCCACCTTCAGGAAACATGGCTAGGAAACAATGTTTCATGGTTTGTCCGCCTTCAGGAAACATGGCTAGGAAACAATGTTTCCAGGTTTGCCCACCTTCGGGAAACATGGCTAGGAATCAATGTTCCCTGGTTAGTCCACCTTTGGGAAACATGGCTAGGAAACAATGTTCCTAATAATTTCCTAACTAACGCCCGTATTCTAAAAGCTCACTCACACTCAATAGGTGGAGGTTCAATCTGAGCTTTTCTTGAGTGTCAATGCTGTTTTTGAATAGCTGGAGGGTGAATAGTCACATAGTAAGGTACGACACTAACCCTCCAGCTATTCAAAAGCAGCATTGACACTCAAGAGAAGCTCAGATTGAACCTCCACTCATTGAGTGTGAGTGAGCTTTTAGAATACGGGCGTAAGTCCTTGTGACAAGGTTTATTATTTGGCCAAAATACTAAGGTGTATTAAAAGATCTTTAGTTCTTACTTGGTCACCTGACAAGGAGTCCTTTCAATGACGGAAAAGGAATTATGATGATGAAGTTATGCAGTAGACAGCACCAAATACCGGTCAAGCAATGAATACCTCGCCAATATAATAAAGTACTTGCTGTAAAGAAATTAATATATTAAACCATGTTCTTTTCCAGTCTTTCGTAATGTGATGTTGGGAGACGATTTCTCGACAGGAAAGACTATAGTAGTGTCAGAGAAACCTGATTATCGCAAATATGATCTGAATCTTTGAACTAAAGTCATATATCTGAATGAAAAGCGAAGCAATACCCGATTTATTTTAGTCTGTGGTTCTACATAACTGGAGTAATATCTGTATAGTAAATTGCTACACTTTATATATTGTATGTCTTGTACCTTTTCCAAAAATCAGTCTCAGACATCACTATTTTCTCACACTTAACTACCATAATTTTGATGAGCGAGCAGACACACTTATATATAATTGCTACCAATCATAGTAATTGAGTGTTAAACAATGCTTTACAAGAAAAAATGACTTATGTTGTAACCATTAAATTATTTTGTAACAGTTTTCTAACGGCTTTGTTGCAATAGACGGATTATTGATAAGCAACGAGTCATAATTGTGGGTTATTCAATCATTAGTTACTCGCGTCTTTTTTGTCTCATGAAAATGTTTTGTCCAGAACTTTGGCCAGAACTGTAATAAAAGATTCCAACTTCTTAGAACAGGAGAATTTGTAGTATTAATGTAGAGTTTGAAGGATATTGTAGATGGAAATCAATTCGAGTGTACATTTTATATATATTTATATAGACCTAACCAGGAACAACCACGAAAAAATGCTCAGCTGGCCGGAATCGAACGTGCGATTCCGGTGCAGCGCTCTAACCAACTGAGCTACAGAGGCCAGTTGTCGAGCTCTAACCACAAGTTCATGGCACTCAACTGAACATCGAATGAGATACCCCAAAATCCTGGCCTGGCACGCGGCTTTAATTTCACCTGAATGTGAAGAAGAATGTTTCCAATTCGACTCTACAAACACTGATAGTTTTTCTGGTTTTCTTTTCTAGTTACATGTAGAAATCACACTTCTGCAGCATGACCAACTTACGCAATTTCAGTATCTCAGACATTAATGTTGAGAGCAGGTGGTTCTGGTTAAACAGGGGTCACCGATTACAATATTTAGAAAGAAACGTTTTTCAAGGACCTTTATATTCATAAGATGGAATCCCAGAATGAAGGAGCAAATATTGCAGTGTAAAATTACGCAATAGAGCTTCGTGGGAGAGCTCACTATACATGTGTGTCTAATATCAAAGTTGGGGAATATTTGCCATCACTTCTTATGATTGTGAAACAGAATGCATTTTATTTCGTCGAATACGCTTAGAATTTTTCTATTTTGACTTCAAGTTTGAATTCAAGAATCTAATTGTGAATTGCAGACGTCCAGGTAATTTAGTTCCTCCTGCAGTGGTAACACTGGATCAATAAGGGATTACCTTTACTGGACCTTTAGGGAGAACAGTTTAGAACTGATAGAGCTATCCAGTATAAATACAGTAAGTTTAGTTTAAGTTTCCTCCTGTAGTAACACTGGATCAATAAGAGATGATCCTTACTGGACCTCTAGAGAGAACAGTTTAGAACTGATAGAGCTATCCATTATAAATAAAGTTAGTTTAGTTTAGGTTTCCTCCTGTAGTAACACTGGATCAATAAGAGATGAACCTTACTGGACCTCTAGAGAGAACAGTTTAGAACTGATGGAGCTATCCATTATAAATAAAGTTAGTTTAGTCTAGGTTTTCTCCTGTAGTAACACTGGATCAATAAGAGATGATCCTTACTGGACTTCTAGGAAGAACAGTTTAGAACTGACAGAGCTATCCAGTATAAATAAAGTTAGTTTAGTTTAGGTCTCCTCCTGTAGTAACACTGGATCAATAAGAGATGATCCTTACTGGACCTCTAGAGAGAACAGTTTAGAGCTGATAAAGCTATCCAGTGTAAATAAAGTTAGTTTAGTTTAGGTTTCCTCCTGTAGTAACACTGGATCAATAGGAGATGACCCTTACTGGACGTCTAGGGAGAACAGTTTAGAACTGATAGAGCTATCCAGTATAAATAAAGTTAGTTTAGTTTATGTTTCCTCCTGTAGTTAACACTGGATCAACAAGAGATGACCCTTGCTGGACGTCTAGGGAGAACAGTTTAGAACTGATAAATAAAGTGGTTTAATTTAGATTTATTTCTGCAGTAACACCGGGCTAATGGCGATACATAATCCTCGCTGGACTTCTACAAAAAACAGTTTAGATCTGCTGGAGTTATCATTGAAACAAATACAATTAGTTTGTTTAATTAAATAACACAAATAAGATTGCTAAAATATTATTGCTAAATGATTATTCGTCTATCTATTTGATAACAGATTAAGCGTGCATCTATTTGATAAAAAACGAAACGACACATCACTTCGCTAAATATTCTAGAATCTGACTTCATGAAATTCCAAGAATTTGTTAGTATATTGTCAGTATTGTCACTTGAATATTCTTCATGTTTTTGCTCGCTACTCTGGTTTTAAGCGAATGGATGCAAAGCACAGTCGAATTACGTTCACGACCCAACGTTTCGACACTCCAGTCTAGTGTCTTCATCAGATTGGAGTGTTGAAACGCTGGGGCGTGAATGTAATTCGACTGGGCTTTGCATCCATTTATTAAAACCAGAGTAGCAACGTGACCGATATTATACCTGGTTATAAATTCACAAACTTTAAATTGAATATTCTTGTTTGCATGGGGCAAGGAATTTGAATTGAAATCTGGCTGGGCGTGTACAAACCCTACTTGAACTGTAAGGTATATATGATCGTTTAATACTATAGACATCAAAGGGACCGAGACCAATGTCCATTTAAAATAAAATTAGTTTAGTTTACGTTTCCTCCTGTAGTAATACTGGATCAATAAGAGATGATTCTCACTGGATCTCTAGAAAGAACAGTATCGAACTGATAGAGCTATCCAATATAAATAAAGTTAGTGTAGTTTAAGTTTCCTCCTGTAGTAACACTGGATCAATAAGAGATGATCCTTACTGGACTTCTAGGGAGAACAGTTTAGAACTGATAGAGCTATCCAGTATAAATAAAGTTAGTTTAGTTTAGGTTTCCTCCTGTAGTAACACTGGATCAATAAGAGATGATCCTTACTCGACCTTTAGGAAGAACAGTTTAGAACTGAACTGATAGAGCTATCCAGTATAAATAAAGTTAGTTTAGTTTAGGTTTCCTCCTGTAGTAACACTGGATCAATAAGAGATGATCCTTACTCGACCTTTAGGAAGAACAGTTTAGAACTGATAGAGCTATCCTGTATAAATAGTTTAGGTTTTCTCCTGTAGGAACACTGGACCGATGAAGAACTTACTGAACCTCCATAGCGAAAAGTTTGGAAGTGATATATAGAGCTATCCTGTATGAATAGAGTTAATTTGGTTACGACACGGACCTGTACGGGGTGACCCTACTGGATCTCTAAGAAGAACAGTTAGAATTGAAAGAACGATGCAGTATAAATGAAGTAAGTTGGTTTGTTTTCCAATCGTTCTTAAACGACGAAAATAATTAACCTTATCAACAGGTGGTTTATAGATATCCTGGTTTAACGCAAATAGATTAGTTCTTGTTTATTTCGTTGATGAAATGCCGCAACAGACAGTATTTTGCCGCAAACTTACTCCATCCTTCGTGTTGATACTGCTAATGAATGAATTAACATATTCTCTGGCTGTTTTTAACATACATGTACCTATTTATAGAGATGAGTTGTACCAGTTATTGATGAGAACTTCATGTAAACAGTGTGTAAAGTTTCACGTATACTATCATATAGGCACAGTTCTTGTTACGAGCTCAAAATAACGTTGAGAGCGAAAATTAGCTTTATTCTACTCCATGCGAAAGCGAAAAACGGAGCAACAAAACTTGGTTCCCAGGGCTCTTATCTGCGTCCCTCGTTTAATACTTTTACAATTGGCAAGATAGCTAGGACGTCATCTGAAACTTTATTAGCACTTTTAATCGGTTCTTGTCTTCTACAGATTCCTCATTTTCAGTTATTTCTTTTCAATTGCTGTCTTTCTAACATTCTCTTGTATCTCTTCTGTGAAAGATTGTACAGTTCCCCAAAGTCTTTTGCTTTTGAATGAGTAATTCCGCACGGGATGTTCTTCAGCTCTGGTAGGGAAGGAAAAGAAAATACAAAATAAACTTTTTGAAAACTAACTTCATTTATTCTGGATAGTTCTATCAGTTCTAAACTCTTCTCCCTAGAGGTCCAGTAACGATCATCTAGTGTTACTACAGGAGGAAACCTAATCTAAACTAACTTTATTTATACTGGATAGCTCTATCATGTTCTCCATAGAGGTCCAGTAAAGCCATTCTCTTATTGGTCCAGTGTTACAACAGCAGGAAACCTAAACCAAGCTCGCAACCTACCTTTTCAATATCTCCTCACACTCTCTCTGTCCATAAATCTCAGCAATATTTCTTGGGCTATCTCCATAGTCATCCTGGATATCTATAGGAGTCCGGTAGTCTGTCAACATTTGCAGGATCTCAGATCGTCCTGCCTCGGCCGCGCAGTGAGCTGGAGTCCAGCCTCCTGTCATTCGAGCATAGGGATTCGCTCCTGATTCTAAAAGCAGTTTCACACACCTTGGATTTCCTATAAATTATCACAATATAATCTATTGTTAGCTCAAGTTCAGCTAAAGTAGGGAGGAAACATTGTTTCCTAGCCATGTTTCCTGAAGGTGGACAAACCAGGAAACATTGTTTCCTAGCCATGTTTCCTGAAGGTGGACAAACCAGGAAACATTGTACCATGTGTGTTGAAGAGGGCTTTTCCCAAGTCCTGGACCATTACCCACCTCCTTCTGCGGCGCAATGTAAAGGCGTTCTATTTCCCCACTCCACATCGGGCTGATTTATCAAAATCTTTCCCCTTTTTATGTATATTTGTAGTTCCTCAATTCTTCTATCGTCACCATTTGCGGCAGCTTCATGAAGCATCAGTTCCATCACAACTTGAGCACTGCTGTGTCTCTCTGCCATTTTTCATTTATTGGTCTATCGGACAAAATAAATTACAGCATGTATGGATATGACTAAAAAACTAACTAAACTCTTCTCCCTTTTATCCGGTAAGGTTCATCTCTTATTGCTCCAGTGTTACTACAGGAGGAAACCTAAACTAAACTAACTTTATTTGTAGCTACTGGATAGCTCTATCAGTTCTAAACTGTTCTTCCTAGAGCAACTTGAGCACTGCTGTGTCTCTCTGCCATTTTTCATTTATTGGTCTATCGGACAAAATAAATTACAGCATGTATGGATATGACTAAAAAACTAACTAAACTCTTCTCCCTTTTATCCGGTAAGGTTCATCTCTTATTGCTCCAGTGTTACTACAGGAAGAAACCTAAACCAAACTAACTTCATTTATACTGGATAGCTCTATCAGTTCTAAACTCTTCTTCTTAGAGGTCCAGTATAAAGGATCGTCTCTTATTGATTCAGTGTTAACACAGGAGGAAGTCTAAACTAAACTATGTTTATTTATACTTGATAGCTCTATCAGTTCTATACTGTTCTCTAGATAGGTCCAGTAAAGATCATCTCTTATTGATCCAGTATTACATTCAGTGTTAACACAGGAGGAAGTCTAAACTAAACTATGTTTATTTATACTTGATAGCTCTATCAGTTCTATACTGTTCTCTAGATAGGTCCAGTAAAGATCATCTCTTATTGATCCAGTATTACTACAGGAGGAAACCTGAACTGGTATATTGATAATGGGTGATCACGAAATTCGCCGTTGACTTTCATCTTCTAGAGCCAGAGAACAGTTTGGAACTAGTTATGGGCTATCGAGTAAAAATTAGTTTGTTACCTTAATCTCTTTTCAGACAAGATTGCTAGTGAGAGTGACAATCGAATTCAAACTTTGCTTCTGTTTTCAACACAACATGGCATATTATCCGACGTAGGTCGTTCACCTTGTCGCAATAATGTCGGTATCATTGTATGATTGTGCTGTTTGTTACGTTTGCCAAGTAGATTTATAGCTTTTATACAGTATGTAAATTAAAAATAATTAAGTTGTCATCTATAATCTTTAGGGATTTGTTGAGCAAACACAAGCCAATGAGATGTTTTGTTTATTAATAATGATATTAATTTTCCACCAAATTCTTCATTTTGGGGTAATTAAACTGTCATTTGGCACTCGTTAACTATTCATCACGTCTGCTGTTGCAAGAATATTTAATGGTGCATTTGCACTCGCACGCACTGTCACTGAGGTTAGATTCCTGCAATCTGATTATTATATCACCTCGGAGATGTGAGGGGAGGACTTTCATTTTCACTCTAACGAAAACAGCAGGTTTTCTTCTGGTGAAGCTAGTTTCCTCGTGTAGTAATGTGACGGTCGAGAATTAAGGGAATGGCTTACACCGTACCTCAAGGAAAAACCTTTAGTACATATTGAGCTTTTCATTGTAAGCTAGGTTCAGTATGGAACAACGAAGGTTCGTCCTTACAGACACAGTACCTTTAGGGGGAACAGTTTCTAACTGATAGAGCTATCCAGTCCAAATGAAGTTAGTTTCCATCTGTAGAACACTGAAATACCGGATCAATAAGATATGATCTTTACTGGACCTCTAGGAAGAACAGTTTAGAACTGATAGAGTCATCCCGTATAAATGAAGTTAGTTTAATTTAGGTTTCCTCCTGTAGTAACACTGGATCAATAAGAGATGATCCTTACTGGACCTCTAGGTCCTCTAGGAAGACTAGGAAGAACATGGGCGTACCGGGTGGGGCAGTTTGTTGGGCAGTCGGGCAATATTCGCTGAACAGTCGGGCAATTTTGGTTTATTAAAAAAATAAATTGGACAAATTCTGTAAATTTTGTGATGTTTCGAAAATTTTTGTTAGGTTCCGGAAAATTTTGGTATGTCCGGGAAAAATTTTTGAGGGGGGGGGGGGGAGATCGCCAAAACAAATTCCGGAAAAAATTTTTCGGTACGTGTCGGGCAAAATCCGGAAAAGTCGGGCAAGTTTCTTTCCGCCCCCCTAAATTTTTCCTTCCGGTACGCCCATGAGGAAGAACAGTTTAGAACTGGTAGAGCTATCCGGTATAAATAAAGTTAGTTTAGTTTAGGTTTCCTCCTGTAGTATAACACTGTACAGTCTATATGACGGATAGAGCTATTCATTGTAAATAGAGTTACTGAGTTAGTTCGGTTTAGAGTTCCTCGTGATTAACACTGCATGACTCCATCAATACTGGATGGCTCTTATTAATCTAATAGACCTCCAGAGAGAACAGTTTGGACAGTTAGAGCTATCCAGTTACAGCTATCCAGTTTGAATATATAGTTAGTTCAGTTTAATTTAGTTAATCCAAAAGTGGTGTTGCTGACTGTAAATAATATTACATCCGTACTGAATATTTAAAACGATGAAGTACAAAAATATCCATGTAATAGGGCCTAAAACTAAATAGTAATTGTTTCAGAATGAAGGCCTTTTTATAAAGATTGCTCCAGTGATTGTATGAAATTGAGATCAGTTTTAGTCTAGACCCAGGCTTTCTTCCTACGCAAATCAAACGCGGTCACTTCCCGACAACAAAATTATTAAAAGGAAGACATTAAAAACACAACCATGTGCATGTACTTTTGCTAAAATATCTCGTTTTTTCAGCGCCGTTTTAATGGATGGCGTTGGTTGTCGAGTTGTTCGTGGTCCGGATTGGAAATGGGGCAAACAGGACGGCGGCGAAGGTCATTTAGGCACCGTGAGGAGCTTTGAAAGCTCGGAAGAAGTAGTCTGTGTGTGGGATAATGGCACGGCTGCAAATTATCGTTGTTCTGCGTTTTATGATCTCCGGATTCTCGATTCTAGCCCAACAGGTTTGTAAGATGTGTATGTTATTTCAACACGGTTTGTTTGTATTGATATAACAGTTTTGACACACCTTTCTTAATAGTATTATAGTATTTATTATTATTTTCCTGTGACAGTTGATGAATATTTTGCTGTCATCCTCTGTCAATAACACGAAAGTTTGGTGTAGTAAATTGAAAAATTAGTGTCTTATTGTATTGTAGGTTTTGTCCATGATAATGTACATAAGCCATAAAGAATGAAATTTGTTGTTTTGTACAAATGGAACATGATGTGACAGACTAGCTGTCATTAAATAATAATCACAAGATAATTTGATACAGGCCTATTTGCATAATATAGCACACACACGTCAAAATATCACAACTTGTCAACAAGATATGTTCACAATAGGCTTGTAGAAAACTTGTCAACAAGTTGTAACAATGCTGTTATTTCATCAAGTTGCTATGTACAAGGTTGTTGCTCACAACTGGTTGACAAATTGATGGAAATTGCAGGACGATAACAAATTGTTGGAACAACTTGTAGCAAGTCTGTTGAGCTCAACAACCTTGTAGCAAGTTGCCAACAAGCCGTTGACTGTAACTTGTCAACAAGCTAGGAACAAGCAGTGCGAACACATCCTGTTGACATGTTGCTAACAAGCTGGGAATTAACAAGCTTGTTGCGAACACATCCTGTTGACAAGTTGTTGGAATAGCATTGCTACAAGTCTGCTACAGGTTTGTTCTCACAAACTCAGCTAGGTGATAGGCGCTTGGTCTGAAAACTGCGCCACCAAAGCCCCCATTACAAAGCCCCATTTCCAAAGTGTGGTGACATTTCTTCAGGTGTAAAGCATGATGCTATCATGTGTGATGGATGTCGGCAACACTCCATATTTGGCAACCGATGGAAATGTGCGGAATGTGCCAATTATGATCTGTGTTCTGTATGTTACCATGGCGACAAGCATTCTCTGAGACACAGGTTTTATAGAATTGCAAATCCTGGCAACGAAAGGTACGTAATGTTTTCTTGAACATGCAGAAATTACAGCTGATGATTGTAAAGAGGAGTGATAAAAATGTTGCACGCTGAAGATCGCCGTTGTTAAATCTAGGGTGTTGGTTGAATCGAGAAGAAAAAGCAAGAAAGTGACAGCTCGAGGATTGTTTCCTGGTGCGAGGGTTGTCCGAGGAATTGACTGGCAGTGGGAAGAACAGGATGGTAAGTACAACTACAGTACCACAACTTTAGACTAAAGCCCCGTTTACACTACACTCAATTTTTGGTACGGCACGGATAAAATTGGTACCCGTACCACTTTTTTAGTTCTTGGACTACCTATTTAGCTAAGCCCCGTTTACACTACGCTCAATTTTTGGTACCGTACCACTTTTTGGTTCTTGGACTACCTAAATAGTCTTGGACTACCTAAATAGGTAGTCCAAGAACCAAAAATGTGGTACGGGTACCAATTTTATCCGTGCCGTACCAAAAATTTAGCGTAGTGTAAACGGGGCTTAAGTGTACTTTTTCTGAGTGAAGACCCTTTGTCGTACAAACATCCCGACAAAGAGCCTTTACCGAAAATTACTGGGCGATGACAGTACATAATTATGTAATGACAGTTTTCCAGTTGTTCTAAAAGCTAAACCGAAAAAAAAAAGTTTTAAAATAAAACTGATCAGAAAAAAAATGGTTAACCGCCCAAGCCTTGTATTATTGTCTGTATCTTGTGTATTACTGGCACAGTGTGTTTTCAATGTGAGGATCGAGTGTGCCACCTTGGATTAGAACACCACCCACAACAGGTAATTATTAGTGCGACAGTCTGAGGATTAAATATATTTTATAATTTTATTTATAAGGAGGGACAAGTCGTCGGGGGAAAGTGACAGAAATTCAAGATTGGAGTTCACTTTATCCAAGAAGTGCAGCTTATGTTCTCTGGGATAATGGTGCAAAAAATCTTTATCGTGTTGCCTTTGAAGGCATGGTAAGATCACATACATTGCTATAGGTTCTTATCTATGTGTGTTTAACTTGCAGTTAGAAATGAATGTACTAAGTAAATGATTGTGTATTTTCAGTGTGATTTGAAGGTCCTGAATGATGCTAAGACATTGCTATAGGTTCTTCTCTCTGTGTGTTTAACTTGCAGTTAGAAATGTACTAAGTAGATGACTGTGTATTTTCAGTGTGATTTGAAGGTCTTGAGTGATGCTAAAGGTGGCGCATATTATCGTGATCACTTGGCATTGCTAGGTAAAGATTAAATTAGATAACTTTATTTGAGCAGGGTGGTCCATTCAGCACTAAGCTGGTATACCCATAGGCGCCCTGACATAGGTCTGCTAACATTTAGTGATTGACCAGTAATCGGTATCGACATCGGGCCGATTTTTGCCTTATCGGTAGACAATCGGAATCATAGAATTATCTATATTTCCGATTGTCTGAAACCAATTGTTGAGAAAATACACATTTTAAAAATGATATGCATTGCACGTTGATACACGTTGTGTTTTAACGCAATATGTTAAATTAATGCATGAAGCGTGTTTCATGCCAATCATGTTTCATGCCAAGACATCTCAGACACATGATATACCAACTAAATTACAGTATTGAATACCTTGGACTTGGACTTAGAAAGGTCATGTACTACCAGCAAAAAATAAGTATGCAGATAGCAAGAGTTTCGCGTACCTACGTGGTACATGGCTGAAAACAAAGAAGTACCAGACAGTAATATTGGCGTACCTCCGGTACGTAAGTACGCAAATTATCACACCCTGCTGAGTCTAGTTCCTTCAATAATCGATATCAATGTTTCGAAGTACTCGGCCGAAGTAACATCACAAAGATCATATATCCACCTGAGTACATAACACCGACACACACAGTTTTAATCATGGTACTGTAAACTGTTTCAAATGTGAAATTGTTCTTGCTAGAAGTACAGTACTGTAAAAGCCATCTTTTACCAGTCTGTTACTACAGTAGAATTTGCTTCCTTGAACAACTAGGTGAAAGTGGTAGCAATGCCAGCCGCCCACAGTCCTTGAATGAGTTTCAAGTTGGAGATTTAGTGACAGTAGATCTTGACCTGGAGATTGTTCAGTCCTTACAGAATGGTCACGGTGGCTGGACGGATGGAATGTTCGAGGTAGGGCACATCCTCACTAATGTGGACCAGACTGAAAAGTTTTATTTTGCACAGGAAATGTTTCTTCCTTGGGGAAAATGTGCAGAGAAGTTTGATATTTAAAATCTGACTTTTCTATTCAGACATTGAGCACACCTGGGACTATTGTTGGTATTGATGAAGATCATGATATTGTTGTCACTTATCCCAGTGGAAACAGGTGAGATACTTGGTGATATACTGTAATTCCGAATGATTTGTACCAATAGTAGCTGAAATTATACAGGAAATGTTGAGCTAAATATCTGGCTTGTTTTTAATCCCATTCCTGACTTATTCGCACTTAATTTGTGTATTTTTCTCATAGAAGGGGCTAATTTTGTAGGGGATTTTAGCCTGCATGACATCTACTTAGGAAACGAGAACAACTTCCTTGCATGCGATCAGATCCCGTACTCGTTGCTAAAGCTCACTATCATCACTAGCGACACTGGAACAGACCGTTTGAGATTCTATTTCAACATTTATGTTTATGTTTTAGGTGGACATTCAACCCTGCTGTATTAACTCAAGTATCAAGTGCCACAGGTAGCAGTGGTGCTACAGCAATGTCCCCCTCCACCCCACCTATCACCTCACCCTCAACACAGTTTAACATTGGAGATCTAGTGCAGATATGTAATGATGTGGAGAGGGTGAGAGGTCTACAACTGGGACACGGGGAATGGACAGAAGCTATGGAAGCGGTATGTACAGTCGGGTTTAATGTATATATAGCTTTTTGGTAAATTAGTCCAAAGTTTATCAGTCTTATTTTGGGCATCTCACTTGATTGAACTACATGTACATGTAATGTTGATGGGTTTCATAGATGAACACACTCACAATTTCCATCTACAAAGTCTTGGATATTCATAGCCATCAATTTTTCCCATGTTTACTTTAATAGAGCTACAAATGAATGATTGCTTGAATTTAGTTGGTTTAATACAAATTCATTAACCCATTAAGCACCAGTGCTCTCCCCTTGATGAGTAAAATAATCTGGCGTTAGACAGAGTAAATAATAAAGTAGGGCGTATCAGGATGCAATGCGACTGAATGGGTTAACTAGACACATGGGCAGATAGGCCAGTTAACCCATTAAGCACCAGCACTCTAACCTTGACAAGTAACATGTAAAATAATCTGGCGTTAGACAGAGTAAATAATAAAGTAGGGCGTATCAGGATGCAATGCGACTGAATGGGTTAACTAGACACATGGGCAGATAGGCCAGTTAAACGCATTAAGCACCAGCACTCTAACCTTGGCCATTTTCTGGCAAGTGACAGTGGTTTTTTCTGCGTGACTGCAAGACCTGAATTGTATGAGTTTTTACTTGATAGACACTTGGCAAGATTGGTCGGATACAACAAGTTTATCCTGACGGCGATCTTAAGGTAGGTCCAAATTTTCAAAACTAATAATGGGTAATTCCAGCTATGGACTAAATTTTGATCAAGGCAAGAAGAATGAAATCCAACCACAGCTAGAAAGAGCGTCTTAGAATGAGTAAAACTGCAAAGATTGGTTGCTAAATGTTGTAAAATGAAGAAAATATATAGCCCTGTGAAGTTCGCAAATTTTGTATATATTTGTGCAATAAAAATAACCACCTCAAAATCTGCGAACTTCACAGGACTATATTTTCCTCATTTTACAACAATTTGCGACCAAACTTTGCAATTTTACTCATTTTAAGATGCGCTTTCTAGCTATGGTTTTGTTCTTCTTGTCCAGATCAAAATAGCTGGAATTATCCATTCATACTGTATAGCATTGATGACGTACCATTACAATACCACATTAATGTGGATGATATAAAGTCAACCATTCCATTTCTCCAGATTGATATCAGTGGAACGTCATGGACATACAATCCTTCAGCTGTGATTACAGTTGCTTCATCAGAACGTTCACAGCTGGCGGGATCTTCTGGAGGTATTTGGGAATAGATTGCACATATAGGGAGGGGGAAAGAATTTTCTTCTTGGGAGCACAACCTGGAGACAAAAATTCCCTGCAGACCAACGGAGTATTTTTGTGCTAAATCTGCATGTGCATAAATATATAGTTTTTAAATTCAAGGAATAATGTCTGTCAACCATATGTTGTTGCACCCATATAGTGGGGCATGGGTGTTAAGGTTTCCTTCAAATTTTCAATAGCAAATCTTCATTCAAACGAATTTCCTGCAGCTGTTTAACATTTCCTGCGAGCAGTGCTCGCGAGCTCGATCGCCTATTTTTTGCACCCCCTGATTGCATATACAATAGATTATTTTCTTTCCATTGACAATGTGTGTATTGAATAGAACGCCTGGGTGCTTTACTCAAGAAGTTGTTTGAAACTCATGTTTCTGGGGACCCTGTGGAGGAACTGGTCAAGGCCGCTGCCAGCGGAGATGTACCGAAAGTTGAAGATGCTTTGAGAAGAGAAACAGACGTAAGTAGCTTGTTACTATTCGAGGGATTTCTATACTATTATTCGTACATATTTCAATCGCACGCAAAAACGCACAAGTTGTAACAAACCTGCAGCAGACTTGTAGCAATGTTGTTCCAACAACTTGTCAACAGGATGTGTTCGCACTGCTTGTTCCCAGCTTGTTGACAAGTTGTCAACGGCTTGTTGACAACTTGCTACAAGGTCGTTGAGCTCAACAGACGTGTTACAAGTTGTTCCAACAACTTGTTATCGTCCTGCAAGTCAACAATTTGCCAGCAAGTTGTGAGTGACAATCTTGTAGCAATTTGATAGAATAACAGCATTGTTACAACTTGTTGACAAGCTTGCTACAAGCCTGTTGCGCACGAATCTTGTTGACAAGTTGTGAGATTTTTACCTGTGAACTTGGCGGTCCAGTGAAATCAATATACGTTGTTTGGGGATTACATTATTCGAACCAGAGTAGCGAAGCATATCTGATGTTTTATGACATATCTGGTGTTTAAGGTGAATGGTGTATTCTCGGGTCACACTGCATTGCAAGCTGCCAGTCAGAATGGACATATGGATGTAGTCAAATTGCTCATCAGTGTGAACGCTAATTTAGAAATTGAGGTTGGTTTCTGTTCAATTCTACTGTAAATCTAGATGTTCACTTGCAATCCATTTGCTGATATACTTTAACATCTTAAACGTGAGGTCCAGTGTACTGTATGTATTCTATTATAAAAAGTTGTCATGGTTTGTGTCTGAACTACCTGGAAAAGATCAAGAACACTCCAGTTTAATCTCTTCCGCGTAGTTCAGATGCGAACCACAGCAACTAATACATGTTATTCTGTTGAGTAGGATAAAGACGGAGATCGTGCAATGCATCACTCTGCATTTGGAGATGAATCTGAGATAGTTCACGAGTTGGGCAAGGCAGGAGCTGATCTAAATGCGAGAAACAAACGACGTCAAACTCCACTTCATGTCGCTGTGAACAAAGGACATGTCTTGGTTGTGAAAGTCATGTTGGATTTAAAATGTCACCCGAGTTTACAGGTCAGTACATTGATGAGTTTAGACTAAACTGAGCTAGCTTGTGCTGTTATGTGAGTAGTTCTGTGTCAGACTGTCTGTTGTAAACTGTTCTCTCTAGAGGTCCAGTAAGGATTATCTCTTATTGATCCAGTGTTACTACAGGAGGAAACCTGAACTAACCTGAAACTAACTTTATTTATACTGAATAGCTCTATCGTCTGTTGTAAACTGTTCTCTCTAGAGGTCCAGTAAGGATTATCTCTTATTGATCCAGTGTTACTACAGGAGGAAACCTGAACTAACCTGAAACTAACTTTATTTATACTGAATAGCTCTATCAGTTCTAAACTGTTCTTCCTAGAGGTCCAGTAAGGGTCATCTCTTATTGATCCAGTGTTGATACAGGAGGAAACCTAAACTAAACTAAATTTATTAAAACTGGATAGCTCTATCAGTTCTAAACTGTTCTTCCTAGAGGTCCAGTAAGGATCATCTCTTATTGATCCAGTGTTACTACAGGAGGAAACCTAAATTAAACTAACTTTATTTAAACTGATAGGATAGCCCTACTGTATGTGGTCTAAACTGCCCTCCTTGAAGCTTCCGTAATGAAAACCGAAACTAAACTAACTATATTTTTGAAAAACCTTCACTTCAGGATTCTGATGGGGACACCCCCCTGCACGATGCCATTGCAAAGAAACGTGATGATATAGTGTCGTTGCTGTTGGAGGGGGGTGGGGACATCACACTGTCAAACAACAATGGTTTCAGCTCGCTTCAACACGCGGCTTTAAGAGGCAACCCTAGGTAAGCTCTAAACAACCCTCAAGTTGGCATTGTCAAAACCAGTAGTTCAATGTTGAAACATCAATAGCGCAGTCAATATTGCATGTAAATTCAAGTGTTATATATCAAAATCTAAGTTAGTCCTTTCTGAATGCAATGATCTTATTTCATTGCGATAGCTTTTATAGCTTTTACGTTACACGAAATCAAACAGTATCCAGTTTTTTTGGGGGACACCCTGTAGTTCTTGTCCTAAACCTCTCGTTTGTAAGATAACATCTTTTGTTATAATATTTATATTGATTAATCACGGCAGTGCGATGAAGATTCTGCTGAGTAAGTTACCTCGAGCGTGGATTGTGAATGAAAAGAAAGATGATGGATACTCTGCTTTACATTTGGCTGCTTTGAATAACCATGTCGAGGTCGCCGAACTTCTTGTTAAGCAGGTAGCAAAATATTTATACGAGAAACCTTCTGGTATTAGCCTATGCATACTGCTATATCAAGCAATTTTAATCAGAAGTTGTAAAGTGTACAAACAAGTACATGTTTAGTTATAGAGTTTTGTTTTTGGTATTTTAGGGTAAGGCGGACATCAATATTCAAAATATAAATCTTCAAACACCTCTTCATCTTGCTGTGGAGAGACAACATACACAAATTGTTCGGGTAAGTCACCTTGTTGTAGAAACCTGGAGAGAAATTATAAACGGCAATGATAAGGAACAGTGTTTTTGGCGGACGAATTAACATCAACATCTTCTTAATATATATCTACTTTCCTTTTTTTCTGTAGCTTCTAGTTCGTGAAGGAGCAAGACTTGACATCCCTGACAAAGATGGCGACACAGCCTTGCATGAAGCACTGAGACACCACACGTTGTCGCAACTTAGATTGCTACAAGACAGACAGGATGTTGGAAAGGTATTTTTATTTTATTATTTAAGAAGTGTATGTTGCACAGTGGTTGGTTTCTATTCCTGTAGTCCGTATTTCGGGCTATCTTATAAAAAGAATTTAGTGTAGTTTGGATATCCTTTTATAGTAACACTGGGCAGGAAGGAACGTTTAGAGCTATTCGATAGATGAAATTAGTTTAGTTTACATTTCCTTTAGTAACACTGGATCAATAAGAGATGATCCTTACTGAACCTCCAGGAAGAACAGTTCAGCACAAGTAGTGAAGATAGCTTAGCTGTTAGCTTGTTTAGTTGGAGTCAATGTTGCTGTATGTGTATCTCAGTGAATATGATATTTTGACATCATTTTTCTTCAGTTGTTAATGGGTCTTGGCAGTCATGGTGGGGATAAGAAGAGCAGCGCTTCTATATCAATGTTCCTCGCTGCGAATGGAGCAGATTTAACATACAGAAACAAGAAAGGCCAGAGCCCGTTAGATCTTTGCCCCGATCCAAACCTGTGTCGTGCTTTAACAAACTGCAACCGAGATAGGAACACGTAAGTGATTGTCGTATAGTAGTGGTGTAGTGTTTTAATAAAAATAAAAGTAATCATTTATGATCATTGACGACCATTTAGGGGGCAATTGGTGCAAGATGGCGACCCCCTAATATATTTTTAAAGTTAACATTACGAGCTGATTAACTACAATCGTTGACAACTTGAAAAGGCAACTTGAAAAAACATTTTCAAACATTCCATTCTATTATGTACGCATTGGGTCGGTTAGCTTAACCCTGGGTTAATGTGAAATTCCCAGCAGCTTGTTTATAAATTATGGTTGCCATTGAGTAATTTGAAAAAGAGCAAAACAATAGACACTCCGAAAATGGTTAACATTTTAATCAACGTTTCGACTAGGTTTCATTCCTGATGATGACTGAAACCAAGTCGAAACGTTGATTAAAATGTTAACTACTTTCGGAGTGTCTACTGTTTTGTTCTTGCTTATAAACTTGGAAATATTTTTTTCAGAAATCTTGTCTGCATCATCAGAAACTTAATTTTCTAAAGTTTTGAAAAAACAGACGTACAGAGATACATAAACCAAAGCATTGGGTTAAATTTAATCCACGCTTAGCGCTAATCCTGCTTGGAGCAACCGGAACATATACTGTATCTTTTGTTCGGCTGAGGTTGTGAAAATAAAAGTCCATTTTTCTTCTTCAGTGATCAAATTCCTAACAATCAACTGGCTTCAGCTAGTGCGTCTGCGCAGAATGAGCCAATGGAAGACGAGAAACATGACGAGTGCATGGTGTGTTCTGATGCACGCCGGGATACGTTATATGGTCCATGTGGTCACGTGACTACCTGCTTCGTGTGTTCCTCGCGTGTCAAGAAATGTTTGTTATGTAAAGAACCCGTTCAGTCCAAAACCAAGGTATGTGACAGATTGTTAAGCCTTGTGTGAAACTAGATGGGTGTTCTGTTTAAACATTTCCAGTATTGGCTGACTGAGTAAATATGTAGGTAACTTCATAAAAAATCAAAATATGTTTATAGTTTACCTCAACGTTTGTCTACATATATCGATTTGAATCTTCATAGGTACGGTAAAAAAAGCGTGTGCGGAAAATTTCTCTTCAATGGTTTTTCTGATATGACGTTTTCTTCGACAACTTCGTGAATTATCAGTGACAAATCCAAGAGTCCCTGACTCTTGACCCTGGCATATCAGAAAAACCACTAAAGAAGAGAAATTTTCCGCACACGTTCTTTTTTTTACCATGCCTATGAAGATTCGAATTGCGATATCTAGACAAACGTTGAGGTAAACTATAAACATATTTTGATTTTTTTATGAAGGTACCTACATATTTACTCAGTCAACCAATACTGAAAATGTTTAAACAGAACACCCATCAAATGAAAATTTTCGAAATCAGCATTTTCCTGGCTTTCTTCGCCGAAAACCTGGTAAAGTTACACCTAAAATTCGTCGCGCAATGTCCAATAGACTAAAACGCACGTTCATATTTAATTTCATTTTTAGATTGAAGAATGTATGGTGTGTTCAGATCAAAAGGCCAGTGTGTTGTTTACTCCATGTCAACATATGAACGCATGTAGCGGTAGGTTTTCAAAGGTTTTCAGAAATGATTAGAGGTAATGGTTATCCCACGCCCCTCCCCCGCCCTCTGTAGAACTAGCTGCTACTGCCAGAACGGACAATAATTAAATGTTCAACTGTGTCTGTTTATATTCTTGCAGGATGTGCAGCATTGATGAAGAAATGTATTCAATGTCGAGAAGTGATTCAGAAATCCATTCCCTTCATTGTCTGTTGCGGAGGCAGAGGTGTGTTCGACATTCGTGTCTGCCTGTCTTCTCCGTTTTCCTCCAACAGTTCGGGCAAATTTTACTCTGTTCATGACCTCACGCCTGCTTTACACTATAACTTTTCTTTGACCTTTATTCTTATTGATGATAATTCTAGAACCAGAAGAATTGACTACAACTTGTTCTCCCAAGAGAGAATTAACTCAACATGACATTGGAACACTAAAACAACAACTGCAAGAGATTAAAGAACAAGTAAGGATATACTGTAACTTACTTTAATTTTATTATCTTAGCGTAGATCTTTGGGTGTTTTTTACATTTTATTTATTTGTATATAATTGTATGGATCGTTTTCCCCAGAATTTTATTCCAATTCCAGAATTCTTTCCATCAGTGAAAGATTTTGGATTTCGTCAGAGCAAGTCCTTATACCTCTGAGTTCGTGAGTTCGATTCTTGCTACGGACTCATGTGAAAAGAGTCAGTCAACGCTCTGCCGAAAGTCGTGGGTTTTCTCCGAGTGCTCTGGTTTCCTCCCACAGGGAAAGTTGACAGGGTGGGTTAGGATAAACACAGTTAGGAAAGTAATATCACAATTGTTGTAAAGAGGCTAACTATGTAATTAGGTAAGCATATGATTCTTGGTGTAAAGCGTATTTGGTCTTATCCACATGCAAATTTGCTAATATTCACTAATATTAAAATTTCTTTTACTTTACTCACTTTCCATCCTTTAAAGTGCCTATGACACGAAATTTCACCCCAAAGGTTTATGGTTGCATTGTAAAGATCACTTAAAATGACTTAATAATTTCTTTTATAGAATTTTGGTAACTTGCTCCCTTTACAAGATATTCAACTTTGTTTCATATGCAAGTATCACCGGTGTGACATCACATCACATAATGAGTTTTCAGAAAAGTATAGTTTTCTTGACGAATACGTATCTAAAAAACTTAAAAATTGCCCTTGTTTATGTATCAATTCCATAACTGGTAATTAACCCTCTGTATTTGTCTGTAAAAATATTTTATCAATGTAAAATATTGCGTTTTCAAAATGTCATTATGCGATGTGATGTCACACCGGTGATATTTGCATATGAAACAAAGTTGAATATCTTGCAAAGGAAGCAAGTTACCAAAATTCTATAAAAGAAATTATTATTAAGTCATTTTAAGTGATCTTTACAATGCAATCATAAACATTGGTGGTGAAATTTCGTGTCATAGGCACTTTAACATTTTTATCTGCGGTTTGCAGCGGAGGTTAGCTCGTGCTGCATGGCCCTTACTGTTCATAGATTTCGATGTTATAGTTTGTTATCTTTGTTAACCAGGACCCCCATTTTTTGGTTTATACTGTTGTGGTGTCCTCGCCATTCGTTAGATTCAGTGATATACATGTTCTGCTGTTGTAATGTTTGTGTGCACGTTTGTCTTGCGAAGTTTAATAAATAAAATAAATAAATAGTCGCAATTGATGATTCCCCTTATTACCTTTTCGTAGCGCTTTACATTGTGGTTATAGTTGTATCACTGATATTCAAGATGGCTTATTATTTTTCCTGCCCGTGCAAGAACTTTTAAACAAAGCTAGGGTCAGGTGCGCGATAGCTAACAGCAAAATATTCGCGAAAACATTCAATATTTTCATTCGAGGCCGCTATCTTTATCAGTGATACCACTATAACCCCAATGCAAAGCGCTACAAAACGTAATAAGGGGAATCATCAATTGTAACGTTGCGTTGATTCGAATACTTAGATATAACCTGTATCTGTTTAGACTCAATGTCCTGTGTGTTTGGACAAACGAAAGAACTTGGTGTTTCTTTGTGGCCATGGAACATGTCAGTTGTGTGGAGATCGTATGCACGAATGTCCTATCTGCAGAAAACCTGTGGAGAAACGAATACTGCTCTTCTAACGAACATGTTGCAGTTTTGACAACTGTAAGGTTCATTTCGAGAATTCTTAAGGGCTCAGGGGGCTCAGCCTCTCTAGTAAAAATGTTGTGTTGATTTGGGGGCAATGGTTTTTTTCAGATTACACAATGATTGTACATGAAAAGTTTTTTTGCACCTGTGTGTTTTAAATGACGCGGTAATGATTTCAGTAATCTGGGGCCGGTTGTTCAAAGCCCGATTAGCGCTAACCCTTGGTTAAATTTTAACCTGCTGTTTCTGTTTATGTATTTCTGCATGATCATTCGTTTCCAAACTTTAGAAAATAGAATCTCTATTGAACCAGAAAAGATTTCTGGAGAAACATATTCAACTTAATTGTGAGCTGTTGGAAAATTTAATTTGTAGATTTGTGTTAACCCAGGATTAGGCTAACTGGCATTTGGCCAACCAGCCCCTGAATACTTGATTACTACGATCCCTACCATTGGATCATTTATATGGATCCGACATTAAAGAACACCAATTGAAGAATTGCAACTAACCAAAAATAGATACTGGACAAACACAACAGCGAATGATGTATATAACTTGTCAATTGCCTTGAAAAAAAACATTTGTATTCTTCAATAGTCTTTAAGACAGGTGAGAGAAAATGGCCGTATCTAAATCAGGAGGATTTTGGATATATCAGATATACAAGTTCCTTCACAGTAATGATTTCCTTTTGGTTTTCGTCATGAATTAGATTTTTACAAGAAATATTACTTGAAACTTCCACTCTCCACGCCTTGTCACCTTTACACCACTGAATACAAGGTACGAAAAATGCGCAGGAGAAATCTTGGTGGGAAACTTGAAGCGAGTATATCTACACGCGGTGACATAATTCATCTCTTACCTACCCACTATTTTCATACCATTGATATTTTGGGAAGCAAATTCCGCGTCAACGCCATTTTATTATAGCAATGAAATATACCTCTACTGTGAATCTAACCTAAACGTTTCTATTATTTCAAGGAATACCTGTACATAAACAGTCGCTGGTCTTTCAATTTGGACGATATTGAATCTATAGCAATCATTAAGCACGAAGATGAAAGGAACATTTATAATAAAAATATAAGGACTTGTACAAAGTAAAGAAAGTTTATCTATATATGTATTATATGTTAATTACGTGGTAACTAAGTAAAATTGATTTATCATTGCATATTGTTGAGTGAAATGATCTGAAATATCTCCTGGTGTTATATTACCTTATAACTTCAAACGCATCCCTTGCAAAGTTTGCAAGGAGATGCAAATAAATCACCACAGCTAGAAAGAGAATACTAAAATTAGTACATTTGGGCCGAAAGTGTAGCAATTTCCGCACGCAATACAAAAGTATACAAAATTTGCAAACTTTACAAGGCTATATTTTCCGCATTTTACAACATTTCGCAACCAAACTTTGCAATTTTACTCATTTTAGTATACTCTTTCTAGATGTGGTGATTTATTTGCATCTCCTTGCCTAGTTTTAAAATTAGTCTATAATTATCACTTATTTACTGAGACCGAGGGAAACAGTGTGTTTTGTGGACCCGAGACCGCCGTTGTTAAGTGTTCTGTAATAATTCACCGGTTATTGGAGTGAACTTAATTTGAAACCAAAACTGTATAAATGGAACGCCGTAAATGTTTAATAAAAAGTTTAAAAAATGAACTTTGGAACTTCATGGTTGACACGCATGCGTATTGCACCCATTTTATTATTGACCGGTCAATAAATGTTTCATTGCGGACCGGTTGCCGAACATGACGTTTTGTGGGCCGGCACGTGATACGGTTTTGACCAATCGGCAAACAGAAAAATTGAACTTTGACACTAAATATAACAATGGGAATTGTCTAACTCAAGACCGTGTAATTTTTTCTTATTTCATATCACACTCTTTGCTTCGTCAAATATCGTCGTGTTTTTGTTGTATCAATTTTGACCAAGTGTTTATGGTTTCGTTTTTGTGGGGCCACCCCGCCCCCCCCCCCCCATGAATTAGGTCTGCCCTTATAAACTCTATAAATAATTTATTTTACGATCTTTTGAAAAACTCAGACATGCATGCAAAACTACAAAAACCAAAACAGATTTATGGGATTAGCCCAAGGAGTTCTAGAATTTTTAAGCATATGTACTGTAGAGTTTGACATGAAGAGTAGATCCAGTGACTTTACGTGAAGTAACATTTCAACCGTGGGAGTCTAGTGTACGTCCATTCTAAAATCGTTTTCAAGTAGTTCAGACACACAAACCACGGCAGCGTATATACAGTAAAATCAGTAAAATGTATAATAAAGTCTAATAAATGTATCGTGCAGCCACGAAGTTCACAAAGTACCAGACTTTATTGGAGTCATTATTCTCTTTACATTATCATGATTACATTACTGTTCAATTCATTATATCGAAAATAACTATAAGACTACAGTTTTGTTACAATATAGCATTGGCTATTTCACGTCTTAAATTGGGTCCAAGTTTTGAATTTGTCTTAAATATTAGTTTCTTGTTAGACGTTCCAACATTTATTCCTAAACGTTCTAGTGCATTTATCCTCTGCGAGGTCCGGTAATTTCATCCCTGCCTCGTCGTGGTCCAGTGATTTCGTCTCTTCCCTTTCGTGGTCCAGTGATTTCGTCTCTTCCCTTTCGTGGTCCAGTAATTTCGTCTCTCCCTCTACGAGGTCCAGCAATCACGTCGTTTTGTCCCCGAGGTCCACTTATTTCGTCTCTTCCTTTACGTGGTCCCGTTATTTCGCTTCGCCCTTTTCTAGGCCCGTCGTTTTGTCCCCTGGGTCCTGTAATTTCGTCTCTGCCTCGTCTTGGACCATAAATCTCGCTTCGTCCTCGTCTGGGTCCCGTGATTTCGTCCCTTCCCTTCCGAGGGCCCGTTATTTCATCTCTACCACGCCTTGGACCGTCTTCTTCATCTTCATCATAATGTAACTCGCGTCCTCGTCTAGGTCCGAGCGTAATTTCTCTGCCACGTCGTGGTCCCAATTCTTCCAGCTCCACCATTTCGTCGCCCATTCTCGGGCCTTCAAAATCGCTGTAAAAATCCTCAAATGCCTTAAACAAATCATTATTTTCGCGACTTTCTATGTGTCGGCATTCCGCTAAAAATATGCAACTAATTGCAACGAATACGACTCTGTAGAACGATGCCATGTCTTCTTGATGAAAGAAAGCTAATTATTAAGTTGCCTGTTTAAACGTTGCTTCTTTTATGCTTCTGCGCGCCCACGAAATGCGTTTTAAAAATTCATATCTTCCATTGATAAGCACTGGAGTTGCGTTTAAACAATCTAACACGCGCAAGCCAAAAAACACCTGTCCAAACATTTTCCAAATACAACTCGTAATAGTATGTCAACTAATAATTTACCACATGCTGTTTTGACAAACTCTCATTCATGGTTTAATCCTAATCCATTTTGTAGCATTTAAAAAAAGATATATATTCCATAAAAAATACTTGCATTGAACTATTTATTCCATGGTTGTTTTTCGTACCTGAATAGCAATTTTATTTTCAGATTTTGCTTCGATAAGCGGCTCACCTATGGTTTTACATCAGAATAAGTAATTTTCAAAAAGATAAAACTGTATTAAATATAAATGCTTGTAGTTAGTATTACTGTAATAATCTCTGAACCTAGCTAGTATTGTTTGAATAAAGTTTATATTTCTAACAGGTTAATAGTTCTAAAATGGCCGACTCTTAATTTTAAATATCAACAGCATTAACACAGTGCCATATATTAAATGATTCATTGAGGTTTTCTCCTTGTTTACATTCGCTTTTGGCGAACTGAAGATAACTGTGGCAAAATTGATAACTTTTTGCCAACGCATTCTGCCGACACAATTAAATAGCAATCAAATTATACTCAAGATAACACAGTTGACATTATCCCGTGTGAAATGGATACTTTCTAATACTGTTTCACATTTTAAATAGAGTTTAAACGTGGTTTTCATTGGTGTAAAGGTTTTTCTTTCTTCATTAGTAATGAATGTGTTTTGAGTGTTGACGAAGGGACGGTTTGTGCCCACGCCGCACTATCATTAGGCACTTTTTAATTATCTGCACAAGGAAAAAAACACCAAAGCCTCTTGGCATGATAACCCTTCTTTTCCATATCGTAATACAAAAGAATATTTTGAAGAAAAGTGAAGAAATGTTGGATCTCGACATTCTAATTGAGCCATTTGAGGAATACTTTTATGGAAGAATCTTAAGCCCCTTTCAAAGTTGGATGCAGAAGATTTTATACAAAATCAAACTCAATCCAACAGCTTCGAACATCAGCCAACGTTACCCAACCAGGCGAGCAGTCTTCCTTTTTTTTTGGGGGGGGGGGTGAGCAACAAAAAATCTACCTGGTTTTTACCTAGTTCATAATTTTACCTGAAAATATCCAACTTTTTAACGACTAATTAATGTTTCTTTTCTCCCATGTTACCTGAATTTCCAATCAAACGTCTCCCATATTTACCCGAAATTGATTTCAGACACGATTGTTATCTTAATTTTCATTCAAAGTTATCTGGCATTTACCTGAAATTTATTATTCACAATTAATTATTTGGGGGGTGTCACACACCCCGGTCGCTACGGCCCTGTATCCAACATATAGTGTTCAAACGAGGGCCATCAATGTTGGATATGATGGACCACCTGTTTCGAAACTATATAAACTGGCTGTTTTTGGAAGATTTTGGATTGAGTTTGACTTCATTTCTGAGTTCGCAACGTTCTCTTCAATCAAAGTACGCCTTCAGTATTCTGGTGCAGAAATGAGTTTTCTAGTAATTTCGTTCCTAATACAGTCGGGAGCAATAAAAGAAATTAAAAAACCGACTTGATAAGATGAGGCGCCGGTGTATAGTCATTATGTTTGCTATTTTCGTCCTCGGTTGGGAAGATGGCTGCAAATGAGCCTTTGAAGATCCGCTTTATCAGACAGTGGAATGAGTTATGGATATGTTTTGATGAGAAAATTTTTAAATTGGATTTGCTCTTTTAAAAAGAGTCTCGGTCTCTGAAAAATATTTAGGGCCATATGTTACACGAGGTGATTTTTGCTCAACTTTCAATATAGGAAGCCCACTAAACGGCTGAATTTAAATTAAAACTACAGTGAAATTATAAAATTAACAAAAATAATCACAAATTAGCGAAATATATGGCGAAATGTAGCTTATATTAAATCGCCACCCGATTGAACTATCGGCGAACTGACGTAAAAGTTATTACGTATACTCTATAACTATACGTCAGTTCGCCGATAGTGCAATCGGGTGGCGATTTAATACTTACTACATTTCGCAATATATTTCGCTAATTTGTGATTATTTTCGTTAAATTTTATAATGTTAGATATCAGACTTGTTGGAACAACTTGTTGCGGGTCTGTTGGCCTCGTCAACCTTGTTACAAGATGATAACAACTTGTTCCAGACTTATCAACAACTGGGAACAAGCAGTGCGAACGAACACATCTTGTTGACAAGGTGTGAGATTTTAACGCGTGTAATAGACCCAGACTCCTGTAGCCAAAACGTTTCGGGCAATTTTTTTCACACTGATCTGGAACGGGACTGGATTGAGGTGGACATTGATTTGCGCTATATCCAGTTTGGACTTTGAGATCAGCGAGTTTCAACTTTTTCCGATTTTTCGTATCTGCTGAAATTTAAAATTTAATCTCTGCTGTGGTTATTCATATAATATAGCCTTATCTTGGCTTGTGGTTTTGTTGTAGCCAAATATGTCTGTTCTGACAACTGACTGCCAAATCTATCATCTGTGGGAATTCTTTGTATTAACCAAAAGTGTTTCTTAATTTTTTGAATGAGAGCTTTCTACCGATAAAGACCTGGTTGTTATTCAACGCAAGCGAGATAACAAACCAAAGAATATTTTAGGAATCCATCCACAATATTTTTTCTTCCCTAGCTTATTATCATGTCCATGGCGTCGTCTCGGGATCGATATCGATCCACCCCCATTTTATCCAATACGGTTTAGTTTCTTCAATTTTGTAGAAAAACATTTTTTGAGAGAGGGGCAAAGAAAACGCACAAGTTGTTACAAATCTGTTCACAAGCTGTGGACAAGTTGTTTTCGCACTGCTTGTTCCCAGTTGTTGGAACAAAATTTGGAAGAAGCTGTTAACAACTTGTAACAAGCTTGATGGCATCGTCAGACTTGTTACAAGGTTGTTCTAACAAGTCTGATACAGTCATGATATAACAAGAATGTTACAAGGTTGACGACACAAGGTTGTAGCAATATTGTTATATCATGACTGTTCGGACTTGTTGAAACAACCAGTCTGATAATATCAACAAGATTGTTACAACTGTTCACAAGTTGTACCATACTTGTTGTTTAAACTTGTGACAAGCAGTGCGAACACATCTTGTTGACGGCTTGTTGGCAGACTTGCTACAAGATGTGATATTGTTACGTGTGTACCTCGTGTGTTACCGCATCAATTATTTGTTTTATCGCTTTTCTTTTTATCTTTTCTGCATCCCACATGTACTTGTGTTACTAGTGAATATTCTGTTGTTAGATAGACTAGCACGCTCTCAGAGGTTCACCAAGGATATTGTTAGATAGAATAAATTAAAATCCTCTTAGAGGTTGACCATGGAAGGTGGAAATTTTATGTCACTTTGTTTTCACAAGTAGATAAACATTGGAAAAAACATCTGCAATGTTATTTCAGTTTTTTATGTATTACTGCAGTAATAAGTTTTCGTGGTGTTTCCAACTTTCCACAAACAATAGTATTATATGTTTGCAGTTATAATTTATCGAACCTTGAGTATTCCACAATTGAGAGATGATATTTAATTAAAGTCGAACTACACAGCTGGAAAAGACTTGATGCTAATGGTAAATTTGTGCTCATAGGTTTTCAGAGCTGCTGCATGTTTGTTTAATTTAAACAAGTCGTTATCAGTTTGAGGTCACACAGCTTGTTCCCAGCTTGTTCTCAGGTAACCAATGAATCAAGTTTTTATTAAAAAATACACAAATGTGGTGTAAAATTAACGCACATGTAAAAATGTTGTAACAAACCTGCAGCAGACTTATAGCAATGCTGTTTCAACAACTTGTCAACAGGATGTATTCGCACTGCTTGTTCCCAGCCTGTTGATAAGTTGTCAACGGCTTGTTGACAACTTGCTACAAGGTTGTTGAGCTCAAGTTGTTCCAACACAAGTTGTTCCAAGTTGTTCCAACAACTTATTATCTTCCTGCAATTCAACAATTTGTCAACAAGTTGCGAGTGACAACCTTGTAGCAACTTGATAAAATAACAGTATTGTTACAACTTGTTGACAAGCTTGCTACAAATGTGTTGCGATCTATTAAATCGACACTATATCGATCACTTGAAGTCTGCGGCAGCGTTTACACTGTACCGTTTTCGTAGCGTTCTCGTATTGTTCGAGAGAACTAGACTATTGTCTTGCGTTCCCTTGAGGATTAAGAACAATACGAGAACGCTACGAAAACGGTACAGTGTAAACGCTGCCTGAGATTACATCAACGTTCAAACCACATTGCGTAGGATGTCTGCTAACCATTCAAGAAAAATACGTCGCGAATATTCTAGAAACGATACACTCGATGTAGATTGCTATCTTGTCAGTTAATAATACATCAAAGCAATTTAAAACAAAGAAACTAAGATGGATGTTATTAAATATAGCTAAATGAGTTTTACTACATGAAATTCTACGTGATTTATTCATGATTTGGAACTCCGAAATATTGCAGAGATGAATGAATCATCCATCTTAAGCCGTGTTTCAAATGCGTCGAAATTACAGCAACATTACATCGCTTTAGCCGAACTTAGCTTCAATCAGTAATCAAATTGCTTAGCCACTTAGGGCTCATTCTTGAGCTGAAATTCAGACCTTAAAGTCTTTAAAGTCTTTTAAAATAATCAAATATAACCTTAAAATCTTTTGAAATAATCAAATTCAAGCTTCAACTCGTAAACAAATTATATTTTAATTGTATTTATGAATTTATAATTCCAACTGTCTTATTAACATTCCTAGCGACTGTATTTAATCCCCAAGGGAGTTCAGACCAATAAAGAGTTTTGGCCGTAGCCAATCATAACAAAGATCTTTCTAGCTACACCAATCAGAGCCCGTGAAAATCTGACCAACGGGAAGCCAGGGTGTGGCGTGGCATATTTGAACTTTTCTGCTTGGGGCTTCTGGGCGTCATTTTGACTCGAAGTTTAGCGAAGAACATGTTAAAGTTAGTCCAAAACTTCGCTTTTATGAAACTTTTTCGAAATAGAATGGCGATGCATTGTAGAATGACAGGTTAGTAGTAAATTTAGCTATCTTTTAAACGTTTGTGAGTTGTTCTTGTTAAGTTATAGTTGTTGTTTGAAACGCGTGTTATGGCCGAAATGCATTGAATTACTTCGCTTGTCGCTCGAGAGCTTCGTCCTCACTCAGTCGCTTCATTTCCTTCGTATTTCTGCCACATTTTCTGCCAGTAATATTCAGAAACACCCCTGTTTTATTTGCAGTTTCAGGGCAAAAATTTGACGAGATAGTTAACCGACTCAAGTTGCCGACTGGTCGAAGTCTCGAACCACGAGGTAAGCATAATGGCCATGATGGCTTTTCTTTCTTGTTTGTTTCTCGCTTTTTAAGCTTCCCTCGTACAACTTCAACACTTTATAACATTGTTGAAGCTTTATAAACACTTTGAACTAAGTTTAGTTTAAATTTTGTTGAACATTTTGTCTGTAAGCGAGCGACATGCAGACTCATTTTAGGCATGTTCAATTCGACATCATGGCGCATATATTTTCAAGCGTTCTAGCTTGTACAAACTTGTAGTTTATGTACATATTGTACTCCGAATGAAAAAGGCTAAGCTTTTTAAGTTTTTTAAGATTGTCTAAGTTGAATTTTACCGAAATTTTTAACCAAATTCAGGCATCAAATGGCCTCGTGGTCGTGTCCTGATTAAATGCATGCACGAATTCTTTCAAATTATATTGATAGAAATATTTAGTTTAGTTAGTGCGCTACACTCCCCTGTTCTTGAAAGCTCGTGTATGTAAAGTTTGGTTGTTTGTCTTGTGTGCTTCTTTGCCTTGTAGGCGGTTTTTCTTCGGGTTTCTTCCCTCGCTTAAACGGAGTTTAAGATGCACCACGCGGTCGGCTCAATGACGCTGTTTTCTAAATTTCAGCTCAAGTGAATGAACGCTAAAGCATTGGTTTACTGTAAATGTTTGAAGCTTTTTCAAATAACCTTACAAACGGCAAGGTTCGGCTAAAGCGATGCAACATTTGCTGAAATTTTAACTTTAAGAATTAAGAAGAAACCTTGTGGGTCGCAATAAGTTTTCACGTTGGTTGAAAGACGTGATAATATGCTTAGTTTAACGTTGTGAAAGAATGACGAAGCCGTTCGGAATACCCTAAGACAAGAAATTATTGACAGTTTCTGTCTGCCGGCCGCGTCGTGGACCTTAAACTCTCTAAAAACTAGTTGTCGACAACGTGTGTCGCGAGCCTTTGGTGAATTGAGCGACCACACCCTAAGTTGTGTTGTCAATATTAAATAACTTGATTATCATCATCATCGACTTTGAAATATTTTAGATTAATAAGAGTTAATTCTTTCAAATCTTTTAGGCTGTCTCAAGGCAAAACACTAAAGAAAGGCCTCTGCACTTGGAAGAGACGCTCGCCTGATAGTCTGAAGACAATGACGGAAGGACATGACAAATGCCGATCACACCAGCTAGTCAGCGCTATAGACATTGACTCGATTCCTTTCCTAACCATGAGCGTTCATCGTCAGCTGTTATTTGTCGGCCAAATTTCACGGAGATTGCTGCAACAGGATTTCAGATCACAACCAGTCCTGCACCAGAGACCATAGTAGCGTACACCACAGCCCGACACAAATCATCATTGGATTTCATTGAACGCTCCAAATGCGACTGCGATGCAAAGGTCTGTCAAACCACAACCAACTCTGTGCCACCAGATACGCTAGTCAGAGACGCTATAACCAATGCATCACACCATAGGCTGAGACTAACGGATGCCTACAGCAGTTGCATAAGAAGAACGTCGTATTGCACAAGGTAATTTTTTCTGCGCTTTGCAATGTGATTTTGTATTCTTTGTTTGCAATCACGTGACTTTCATCCAAATGACGGGCAATCAAACAACTTCTCCTATCAGAATGGTTGTAGCAAGAGAAACTGAACGCTAATTCAACTTTTGAGTCTTAAACTGTCTCTAATCAAAATAGCCATTTTGTGACTTATGTATACTTTGATTTTTTTCATTTCAGATTCTCGACGAAAGTGCGTGATTCTCGTTGATCGTGTCCTCGAAAGTGCGTGATTCTCGTCGTAAGGTACGTGTTTTCGAAAGTGCGTGATTCTCGTTGTGCGTGTTCTCGAAAGTTCGTGGGGCCACCCTGAGGACGCCCAAATGCACAAAACATATTTAAACGTGGCATTTTTTCTATAATTTAGAATTTTTTCCAATTTTACACATTTCTTGGTGTTTATGAGAAGCTCTTTGATGAAATCGAAAATTTTTGAAATTCGGAAGGTTTCATCTGGGAGTTTGTTTATTTGAAAGAAATTTGAAATGAAATTTTGAAGTTTACATCACTTTGGTATTTGGTTAAACGCTAGATAAAATCATGCCAGATGAATGGCTGACCATTCGTCGAGGTTCGGTGAAATTTTGGCTCTGACTTTTCCCGACCTGCAGCCGAGTTTCTCCGATCGATTGTTACGAGTCAACTAGCACAGTTGTAAGACCTGGCCATTCTTACATCTCTGCTTTTTGTACGTGGCATGAGATTGGGATAATTCGTCTGCAGGCCTGGAAAAATCGAGTCGAAATGTAGCCAAGCCTTGATTAGTGACCAGTTTTTCGACTGTATGGCTTTATCCAGCGTTTTGCTGTTATCAATTTGATGCAGACTTTGGGATTTCTGCTCAAATTTTTTCCATATAAACATTCTTTGGGGTTTAACTTTTTAGCAATTTCAGAATTTTTGACACGTTAAGGTGTTGCTCGCAGATACCATAAATTTGTTTCTAAAAATTCACAAAAATTGACCAAAACGTCATTTGTGATGTCGGATGGGAGGCCTAATGGTAGTTGTGGATATTATTGGATTACTGTGGATTAATGGATTAATGTGAACATTTATGGATTACTACGTACACCATGGACTAATGTGAACATTTATGGATAAATATGAACATTTACGGATAAACATTTATCAACGGTTACCACCAGATATACGGCGATAACGAAGCTACTCGACGGTTAAAGAGATGTCTGTCTCGAGGTTAGAGGGTTTTGATTGTTAGCTTGTTAACAGGTTGTAGTTAGTTAGCCTGTTAACAGGCAGTGTGGTAGTTAGCCTGCTAACAGGCTGTAGTATTTGGCCTGCTAACAGGCGGTGTTTCGGTTGAATTTTGTACCCAGGACTTAAGTATGCATGTGTTCGGTAAAATCTCTGGGTCAAAATGATTTAAAATTCCTGGCGGTCTATCGTTAGCAGTACATTTCCACGCAAGGTTGATTTTCCGTTCAGATGCAAAAACATTCAGGTCCAATTTTTCAACGTAAAAATTTATTGTGAATTTCGATATTATCTGCAATCGAAAGTCGATCTTAAAGAGGTATACATTTGAGCTTCTGGTTACATGTTGCATGCTCGGTTCGGTTATTGGTGGGTTTCAGTGAGCGTTACAGACCAGATATGTCAACTTTGGAGCAATTTATTTTGTCTCCAAAAATACAAGACTACTACATAAAGTGAAAAGGGAGTGAACTTTATTTTTCACTCTTGTAACTCTCATTAAAACTCACTAACTATTAGTCGCAGTCTGTTCGTGCCAATGTTCTCCTCTTAGTGTAAATGTACTGTGTGATAAATGCAGCGCGCAGCTAGTATCTAGAATATAGGCAGACAAGCAAAACCTTGCCAGACTTAAATTTTGGTTATATTCCCATATATTACGTGCATTAATGTATAGAAATGTCATGAAATGGATTGGGCTTTGGCTTGGGGTTAATCTAACCCTATATCCTTAACCTTAATCCATTACATGATCTATATATTGGTGTACGTAATATTTGGGTATGCATGGGTAAAATGTTATAGGTTGAAAAGCTGGCATAGTTTCTCTTGAGGATAATGTAAACTGGATGCAAATGGTATCCATAGCTTAGAGGGTACAAATGGTACCTGTAAGAAGATTGGTGGACATCGTCGTGGACATTTTGAAAGATGGATGTTTCATCCGGGTAATCCGGTTCCTCCCACAGAATGGTGGATATCAGCTTAGGACTGTAAATAAAATTGTTGTGAAGATAAATAGTCTAGGATTTCATCGCCCGTAGTGCATGTATATCGCTGGCTTCGAACGTTAGTTTTCTGCCCCGTGTTATATGAAAACAGTTCGCTACCAGAGATTAGGTCCCCTCTCTGTTATGGCGACTCGACGATGGAAGAAATTAACATAAGGCATGCCAACCTTTGCCCCTGTTTGTGGAAGCTCACTAGGTGCGATGGCACACTAGGTTAAGTTAAGTTAAGCTGAGAGCATGACCGAGATTCCACATTCGGGGGTATTCCCTTGCAGGTTTTTGAAAAGTTATATGCGCGTGCGCTCTAGTTAGGAAGGTCAGGCAGCTAGAAATAGGGCGGCGTACTATAAGAATGATACATTTATTACTATAAAGTATCGTTCTTTTTGCATTGTGGTGTTTGCCACAAAGCAAAATAATTATTTTTCAACATGCTTGCGTTAGTTCAGATTTACTTTAAAGTGTTGAATACAGCAAGAAAATGGAATCTGTTTTCCTGCTGAAAAATACTTTATTGTAACCAAATCAAAGTGGCAAGAAATGCAAAAAAAATTGCGAAAAAAATAAATGGAAGCGCGAAGCCACTTTGAATTTAAGCAACGATAATCCAAGAATACCGATTGCATAAAAACAAAACAAAAAAGAAACACAGTTTTTCTGCCTAAAATATCTTGGATTAGGAGCTTAACGATAAGAAACGTAGTTCTAATTCCCAAGTGGGAGCAAGGCTCGTTTCTTTAGGTGCATCGCTCGCGCTTTATACGTTCTACTATAGGTTTCAGTTGAGAGACCGCCAGGAAAAAATAGGGTGTTTTCATATGTGGCTTCGTTGACGGACAAATAGTTAAAAAGGATGGTTTTGTTTACTCGAATTTCGGCTTTATAAATTTGTCCCCAAACATTGCCGCCATGAAAATACTCTGCAGATTAAGTTTATGTATGGTCGCTACAGCAGCGTTGAATGTTCGCCATGTTGCATTCCGCGTTGCCTTGCTTTGTTCATACATAGGCTTGGTCGAACGCAGCTAATTAATATAAGCGGCGCACGCGTGCTGCTGCAATGCGGAGTACATTCAATGAGTGTACTCCACGCGCGCATATATTGACGTGTGTGCTCTGGACTTAAAAACAAGTCTAGTTTCGAAAAAAGAAATTAAGGTGCATGTTGCATGATTAGAATTATAAGTGCGCGAATTTTATGCATAAAATTAAACGCGCTGAGCTGCATGCTTAGTAAAATTAGGGGCATGACGTTCAGTGCATGCTAATTAAAATTAAATGCGCGTTTCTACTTCATGCGCGCGATAAAAGCCAAAATGTAGAAATGCACACATTATATCACACTAAAATGCTTCCAAGTGTCCTAGCAGCTTTTACAATGGCGAATTGCCGTAAAATATGCTGGACCATTGGATTCATTTGCCACGCACCTTGTCCTGAACATATTTTCAATATTTTGAGGTGTCAAGGTTAAGATAAATATACCTTACCTGGAGCAATTTTTGTGCCAGTAAAAAAGGGTATTTGTCTTGCGCGATTTGTAGACTAAATTTTCGGCTGGTCTACAATTTTTTCGCGACAGATTTTTTTCGAGGTTAAATTTTTTGCAAGAAATTTTTTTTACAGAATTTACTTTTTCACATTTTTTTCCAATGATGGGTAGGTATGGTAGGTATGGTATATTTTTTAGTTCGGTATTTCGGTTATAACAGGGTTTGCCCCGGGGTTTCCGGTTTCCGGCACAAATAATCACCAAGGTTTTTCACCAGATCTCGCCATTCACATGCAGCAACTGTCCGTGCATGGCATTTCTGGTTTTCCTCGGGTGATTATTATTTTTTCGTTTGGCAAAATATATAAAAAATCCAAAACAAAAAACAGTGTCCGTGTTCGGAGCGAATTTAGTACTGTTGTTCGAAGAATACAGAATACTAGTTGTTATTGACTTTTGTGATCTGCCCAGCGTGGGGAGTGACCAGAACACAAGAAAGCTGGGGTTTGAGAAAGATTCAACTACCTGATACAAGTATTTTAAATTACTCGCGCAGCGGGTGTTATTGACTTTTGTAATTATAGGGTTTAATTTCTTGCAGTATAAAATTGTGAGTATAATTTCTACCTAGCTAGGTCTCCACTAATTCGCACGACATTCCAATGTTTTTGGCAAAGATCTAATTTTGCCTCAAAATTATATTCGATGCGTTCATGAAATCTTCAAGGACTGTTTCATTTCTCAAAACATAGATTTTCAGTTAGTAATAGCATGATCAAAAGATTGCTCAAACTCGTGCAAAGAGAGATATAGGGAGACCACACACCCACAGGCATATTCATACTTTGTCACATTTCTCGACGTACAATGCTTAGAAATATATGTACAATATAAGCAAAAATTTTAATAAAATACAAAGATAAGCTAATAAATTGAAATTATGTATTAAACTTGTAAAATCCTGACTTGAAATTTCAAAGAATACAGTACTCGTTCGTTTCTGGGTTGAATTCCCAGAACACTGCACTGTCCTTATCAGCAAAATCATGTTTCTACTTTTATAACAAAGTTTTCATACAAACACTTCAGAAATGACAAAAACGAAAATGCTAACCCCTTAACCTCGCATCATTTCCAGACATTGTCGTTTTGATGTTTAGCTGGGCGTTTTCACGTGTTTTGAAACTAGATTCGATAATATTTTACTGCAGGCTAATTTCCCTTAACAGTTTGGCAATTTTTGGACACTTGAATGTTTCAAACCAGGCCAAAAATGCTAAAGGCCAAAAATGCTAAAATGCCAGGCCAAAAATGCTAAAAATTAAAGTAAAGTGTTACTTTTCTGAAAACGGTTAAGGAGTTTACCTCTACTTTTTACCATTTTTGGGCACAAAAAATGGCTAACTTCATATCTTTTTGTCCATTTTTATTAGCCCCTCTTTCTCACTTTAAAAAAATGGCTCCATCTTGAGCCCCCATTTTTTCACTTAAATATTCAGCAAATAAGTAAAAAAATAGCAAAAAAGTAAAGATTAACTCCTTAACCCTTCGTCCACTTTTAGATCCTTCCACTCGATTATAAAAAGGGCAAATAATGACAAAACAAAGGCTAAATCCTTAACTTTTCGTCCATATTAAAGCCCTTTGTTAACTTCTAAAAAATGGCCAAAAATTGGATCCATTTTTAGGGCGCCCTTTCTTAGTTTGACAAAAGGGCAAAAAGTAGAGGCTAACCCCTTTTTCACTTAAAAGAAGTGTTGGGGAGGGGGGAAAGGAAGAAAAGTAAAAAACAGTCCAAAAAGGAGAAATAGTTGGGGAAAATTGTGGAAAAGTGAGTGTGTGGGGGAGGGGGAATGGAAGAAAAATGTGAAAATTCTTTGGTAGAAAGAAAAAAAGGGGACCACAGCCAATTCGAAAAATCCCCCAACCCACATCAAACTTTTTGAAATTGTCGAAAACCATTTCTCTCATCAAAACACACTATATTTTTTTCTGCCCATGCAAATCTATTTAAGGTTATTGATAACTTTTAAAAATACGTCACTATAGTTCCTCGTAAAGAAGTCTAACTTTACAAATTTCACTACAATACATGCTGTACCGTTTGCCACAAATCCTAGCTCTTGTAATGGTTAATGTCATGTACTTCATGACAAAATGAAGCGCTTTGGTCTTGTTACAGTAGGTGTTCGTTGACGCTTAATGACATTTTGACAACCATTTGTTAATTGACACTGAAAAAATGTGGAAAGTATAAAATGATGTTATTGATTTAGTCAATATATGGTTTTTAAAGGCAGGCTATACTGATGGTCTCAAGGATCTAATTCCGATCCTAACAAAATTTGAATATCAAGACTCACGAGTGTTTGTTTAAAATTAATGCACTTCGACCGTCGCCAAAATATTCGAAACAGTATACAGCTGTTTCAATTAAGGTTGTCCCCGAGCAAAGCGGCAAAGTCGAATACGAGGGCGAAAGAATGCTGGGAATCGCTAATAAATTCATTAATGTTTTAGCGATTCCCAGCAGCCTTTCGCGCTCGTATTCGACTTTTCAGCTTTACTCGTGGACAACCTTAATTGAAATAGCTGTATGCTTTTGGTCTCCCCTTGGCATTTTGATAAACTTTTTAAATTTATGGAACACGTTTGTCATTGTTCTAATGATAGGAGATAATTTGCCCTACAAAACTGATTTTCTCAAACATTAGCGGGTGTCATGCCCCCCTTCTCAATTCCCCTAGGATTTACCCCTGATTTTTTACAACTTGCCCCAAGGCGAATACTAACCCCACCACTGATTGGTTTGCAGGTACAGCCTGATTGATCACATGACGCCTTCCAACACATTTCACAATGAAACTTCCACAGACATAAATCCACACATCCTTTGCAGTCTGCTTCTAATAACAAATATTAGAGAGGTTTCTGTATTGGAGAGATGTCTGGTATTAGAGACATGTCCGTATTTGAGAGGTGCTACTGAAGGAAATTGATACTAACTTAATGCACGTTTTTCGATGTGTTGGCCATCTTTTCTGTCCATCATTTCACCTTGTAAAATCATATTTATTTGGTTATTTGGCAAGTAAAGGTGTGGGGAGGTAGTATTCTACAATAAGCTGTCGTGGTTTGTGTCTGAACTACTACCTGAAAAAGATATCTCGATCTCAAACGTGGTGGTCCAGTGTAGTGTGTTGGCCATCTTTTCTGTCCATCATTTCACCTTGTAAAATCATATTTATTTGGTTATTTGGCAAGTAAAGGTGTGGGGAGGGTAGTATTCTACAATAAGCTGTCGTGGTTTGTGTCTGAACTACCTGAAAAAGATATCCCAAACGTGGTGGTTCAATGTAGGTAGTATTCTACAATAAGCTGACGTGGTTTGTATCTGAACTACCTGTAAAAGATATCTCAAACGTGGTGGTTCAGTGTAGGTAGTATTCTATTCTGCCGTGATTTGTGTCTGAACTAAAACTATCCTCTATCGTTGAATTTTATCTATAAACAATTTTCATATATACAGTACCTGTGATGTTAGCAACGAACACGAGAAGTCCAAGGACAATTCGTACATTCATCTTTTTGAACAATTTTGATGCAGTATGTGGCTGGAATTGTAGCTCTGTATGACAGTTTTGCTACTGGTTAAAACTACAGTGTATATACGAAATAAGAGCAATGATGTCTCTGACTGGTTTAAAACTCTTAATATTGCTTTTTCAGTAGAGCCTCGAGGAATATCGATAATGACAACATCAATGGAACCACTTAAAGTTACCAGGGAAAAGAAAACAGAGCCGCTATATGTCTTCAAATTACTCCCATGATCTTTTGTATGCGTTACATCATGAGCTCAATATCGGCTCCAAATACCCCATCCAACATTCGTGTCATTAACGTCAGACATAATTTTTTGTATGTGTAATATTTAGGTGATTCTAAGATGAAATGTATCTTCATGGTAGAAGCCTCATTTAAATTAGTTTCCTTTAATAATTGTTGTTCTTTTTCAGTCTACTAAAATTCATCTAATAACATATCTCGCGCGCGTCAGACTTTACCAGAAAAGAAAGGTTTGTGAGACAAGCAATATCCGCCAAATTTGCAACTTCATACCCAGGAAAATTTGTTGACCGTACACACGAGAAAGTTAACTTGTCAAGAAAACCTGCTCGTCTGTATCGGGCCTTAGAGTGACTCAAATATTACCCATATACCATACCACATGTCTTGAACTATATAATATGGAAACAATGGAAAGACAATGGAACATTCCGATCACCGGATCGTGTGACTGGATTGTACTTGTTCCCATATTCAATCATGGCGTAGTGTCCAGTGTTATTCAAAACACAATATTTGAAGTAGTTTTGTAAAAAATCAAATATTAAATCGACCCCCAACCCGGCGAAAATGTCTTCATCTTTGTATCGCTGCAAGCTTTGAAGGATTTACTCAGTGTTTAATTCCGAGTCAGTTTCTTTAAACATTTCTCATAAATCCTTCAAAACGTAGAATTTTCTATGCAAAATTCCTACTGTGATCACAGAAACTTTGATAGTGTAACCCCAGCCTTAAGCAAACCTTTTTTATTTTGCTTGACACAGATAAGAAAATATGCAAAGATTCTTTAACGCATGATTGTATATTCGCAACATGTGATTCAAAATGAATGAAACTGTTCAAACTTTAATATGCGTATTTTAATTCTTCCAATCTCAGTTACATGTTATAAAATTCAACTGCAATTTTATCCCGTCGTACGCCTGTATTCTAAAAGCACACTCAATGAGTGGAAATTCAATCTGAGCTTTCCTTGAGTGTCAATGCTGTTTTTGAAAAGCTGGAGGGTGAATAGTCGCATAGTAAGGTACGACACTAACCCTCCAGCTATTCAAAAACAGCATTGAGACTCGAGAGAAGCCCAGATTGAACTTCCACTCATTGAGTGTGAGTGAGCTTTTAGAATACGGGCGGTAAACACTGCGTCCTGACTGGTTGACTTATATCGTTACGGACACAGAAACTTTGAAGAGGTGTCCCCACTCCACAGTTTTGTGAAGTTGATCATCTCCTGTCCTGGAAAGTTCACCAAAACCCACTTAATAACTGGAATGAATACAGTCTGAGTTATGTGTGTGTACTGTATAAATTATTTACAAGTATGGATCGAATACTTCTGCCATGGACAAGCCGACACCTTTGTCAACGTCGTCAATGTTTGATTTTCTTCACTTTCTTCGTTGGCGCCCATCTCAAGCAGGAAGTGTCTACAGTCAGTACTGGTTTGCGGTATTGCGCACTCTTGACATGCTCCTCCACTAGCTTTGGTGTGACGCAAATCACGTGTTGTCCCTTCCAATATTTGATCATGTTGAGAGATTGTAGCGTACTGATGATGTCCTCCTGGGTGATACTTGTCATCGTACTGCAAGAAAGAGGAAATAAAATTATTTTGTATTTATGCTTGATAGTTGTTCCTTCAGTTCTAATTTGACGTTCCAGTAAGGGCCATGCCTTGCGTTGACACTGTACGAAAAAAACAACTATCCGCACCTTTTAGGAACGCTATTTTCAGAGGAATTATTTGTAACGGAGAGATGTTGTCTCGCTCAGCTTCTGAAAGTTGTACATTCCGTATCGGATAGGTGTTTTTTCGCGCCGCTACGGAAACCTATCAGGTATAATGTACCCTTAATTACAGGAGTTTATGTTTTTATCCGCAAAAAGTTGTCTTGCTTTGAATAGGTAATTACCCTTTGTATAATTTATGCATGCTACATAACTTAAACATACTTCTAAACGCGTACCTTAAATCTTTAATAGAGAAAGCTCCTCGCAGATTTCTGAGAATATCAAGAAGTACCCACGACCAGTAACTACGATAGCTCAGTTTTCCAAGATCTGACAGAGGTTTCTCTGGTGACCCAACCGCTGCCTCTAACTTGGACAGCTCGTAACCTATCAAGAATTAGTAGAATTTGTACATTTTAAAAGTATCAAGTTGCTACAAGGTTGTCACTCACAACTTGTTGACAAATTGTAGAACAACAAGAAGTTGTTGGAACAACTTGTAACAAGTCAGTTGAGCTCAAAAACCTTGTAGCAAGTTGTCAATTAAAATTAAATACTGTAATAGAAAGGGTCTTCTTACTGAATGCAATAAGAAATTTCCCATATCCTTTTCGTTGGTAAGGTGGTAGCGTTAGAATACATGCCAAGTTATTCCCATCTGGTGATTCTTTTTCCTAAAAAGTAATTCATTCTTTTTAAATGACATTTTCTGGCTGAAATCTGTGAATATATCCAAGCAGACACTCAAGTACCTTTGAGAAATATCCCACTAAGTGAGCTCCATCTCTGTCCACTTCTGTTAAGATGTTAAACACAAACGGCTCAACGTCGAAATAAAGCGTCTTGTGGTCCAGAAATAACTTTGCTGTTAAACACAAGTTCTGACAGTAGATCTAATGTAAAAACACAATAACGCAAACTTCAAATTAGCACCTCATTTGTGAGCAGATTTTCTCCACTTTGTGATGAAAAGCAGTCCACGACATACCTTATGATCTTTGCCATCAACTTCATAAACCGAAATTGTTCCTTTACGGTAGATTTCCTTCCCAGGAGGTTGACGGAATGTACATTTTGTCTGAACAAATGGATATAATATCACAAAGAAACAAAATTAAAGTGATTAAATGTTCAGATGAATAACAGAATATGAGCAATGTTGCCAAATCATCCTGATCAAATGATTGGAGAGTATACTACTACCGATAGTTAGCCCCACTTTGAACTTGTTGTTGTCTAAAAGTTGCTTAACAAACACTTACCATGTGATCACAAAACGTGTGTTCGTATTTCATGTACTTGAGACAATATTCACAGATCCAGAGCTTGTTTTGTTTACCATAGTCGTCAGGGAATGGTGAGAAATACCATGCGTCTATTTCATATTTCCCTATCTGGATTTTATCCACATACTTCACTTTTGTGATCTGCAATTAAAACACTCAAAGTCAGCACTCCAAAAAGAACAGGATACACACTCAGAGTCACATCACAAACATCATTTCACCTGAGTACATAACACCAACACACACAAAAAGTATCATAATACACATTGAATACAATACTTACTGCTTCATGTTCTTTTTCTAATGCAGCTGTTGTAGGATCCATTTCAGCGTACGTCTAAAAATATATTGATAGAAACAACTTGATAAATAGTTCAATAGGTAGAGCTGGCTGGAGTTTTGAAGATGCGAGTTCAAATCCTGCCCAAGTCAAGTCAACTTTTACAGTTTGGCAGTGTAAGAAATCATGTTGGTTCTGTAATAAAAATGTCTTTATTTTCACCTTTTGCACATGGTTGATCTCATCGTGTTTTCGTTTTTGATTTCGTGTCAGTTTTCTTTCAGGCCCTTCGTTATCAGACTTTTCCTCTGACTTTTCTTCAGGTATACTTGTCTTAAATACATCAACCCTGACGTCCGATACCCACTCATCAAGACGACGATTAACTGGGAAAAATAATTGATTTCAGTCAAAACACTTGATAAGGCCCGTACTATTATGCAGTGCCTAGCAAGTGCATTACATATATACATAATTTGAATAGGTTTAGAAAAATGTCAGTTTGTCATTGCAGAAAATATCCACACCACTCCACAGAGGAAATTGGAAACTTCAGACATCCTAATACACTTACTATTATCGGAAACAATTTTCTCCCCTCCCCCTCTGGACGGCAGAAATTTCCTTCGCAGTAGGAGTGTGGATTTTTCTGGAACGACCCGATTTTATGTTTTGTGCAGCAACTTGAACCCTTACTTGTCAAATTTTACTTACATCCACTGTAATGAACGTAGTATTCAATTGAATTATCATCAATGTTAGTTCTTTTTTGAATAATTTCCGCAGGATCTATAATATATTAATATAGATTATAATAATTAACATGAATTATAAGCCTGACTAAAATATAAACATACCCAAATATACAGAAAATTTCCCCCTTAAAACTTGCTATTAAACCAAGAATTTTTAAAGGAAAACCTCAAAATCTATCACAGCTAGTAGCTTGTATAAATATATCACAAGCAACAAGAAAAAAATTGTCAAATTTCAGTAAAAACGTACGCCAATTGTTATCCGCGGGTCGTTTCACTAGGCAATAGTCACCAACGACGAACGACATTTCGGGCGATCTTGGCGGCTTTTCCTCGGATTTTATAACTTTATTTTCATCCTTAACTTCTTTTACAGCCTTTTCCGGCTCTGTTTCAGCAGGAATCGTGTCAATTTTCATCTTAAAATCGCTCATATACTCCAAAATAAAAACAACTTTTCTACGTTTCGCACGAGTTCGCTATTACAGTAATGCGGGCGGTAGAATTTAAGGTGATTCAGGTGATGCGGGCTAATATTATTATGAACCACGTCGATACTTCATGTAGGCCAATCATTGGGTAACGTTTATTATTGACACAAAAATTACAAAATACACACAGAACTCAGAAGGCTGACTTCTTGGTTTTGTCTATGATTTTGGCATAACCATTGCAATGCTGTTGCCATGGTCACAACCAGTGTGCTTACGAGAGGCATTACCCCCCCCCCCTGAAAATATTCAAAAATGGCTGACATTCAGTTCAGGCCTCAGGGTGGTGCTCATAAGTGCACTGGCATAGATGTCACTGGCTAGGACCATGGTGACAGCATTTTGATGAAGAATTATTGAGAATTATGGCATAGCAGCAGTATGCATTTTTGGCTGAGTCGACTTTCTGTTTGTCTATATTGCAAATTGATGATTCCCCTTATTACGCGTTTTCGTAGCGCTTTGCATATTGTGGTTATAGTGGTATCACTGATATTCAAGATGGCTTATCTTTTGTCCTGCCCATGCAAGAACTTTTAAACAAAGCTAGGGTCAGGTGCACGATAGCTAACAGCAAAATATTTGCGAAAACATTCAATATTTTCATTTGAGGCCGCTATCTTTATCAGTGATATCACTATAACCACAATGCAAAGCGCTACGAAAATGTAATAAGGGGAATCATCAATTGGCGGGCAATAAATTGAGCACTATATGTTGCTCACCTAGTGAGATCTATCTAGTAGTCTGTATTCTAGCTATAAATCTATTTCATCTTATTAATTTTTCACTGAATAGTTCTTGAAGTAGTTGGAGAGTTTGTTTCTTCTGTGACTGAAGATGTGCTCTCATTCTCAAGTGTTAATTCATCTGAATCAGGTTGTTGAGTTTCAAAATCCTCTCTCACAGTTTCTGTATAAACGTCATCCAGATCAACAACCCTGCCAGCAGGATTCTCGATATTTTCACTTTCTTGTTCTGCCGAGGGAATGCTCGACGTCTCTTCTGCCGTGTTCCTCACTTTTCTTCCTCGCTTGAAACCAAGAATCTAAAAAATTGAGCAAAGTATATTTTATAACCTGGTTTACAGTATCAAAGTTTCTGTGATCACAGTAGGAATTTTGCATAGGGTAAATTCTTGAAGAATTTGAAAGAAATATTTGAGGGAACCAACTCAGTGTTTAATACTAAGTGATATTTTTGTGAGAAGAGTCAGTCAACGCTCTATCGTTGATGTCAGTTTTGACAAAGAGTCATGAAAGACACGAGTCACATAAGGGCGCCCTTAGAAAGCCTTCGACTCGATCAGGTTGAGCTGCATCCTTCGCAATTCAGCTTAGCTCTCAGCTGCAAGTAAGGATGATTAGCACAGCTTCACTTAGTACACATAATCAAGCCACCTTCTCGTTTGAATTCCTTGCTGTATCATAATAATTTTATATTTGGCAGGCACAAACCATAAAATTTTTATCTATCTTCCGAGGAATTATTGCAATGGAGAGATGCTGTTTCGCTCAGCTTCTGAAAGTTGTACATTCCATATCGGATAAGGTGTCTCAGTCACTGCTTTTCATGTAGACTGCTTACCTTAATATAATTGGCTGGGACAATTCCCTTGCTGCTTCCATCAACAGTAGCGAGCAGCCAGCCCCTGATTCTTGGCTGTCTCTGTTTTGGTGCAATCCTGATACACTCTCCAGCAGTTATAGACAGCTCATCGTCACCTTCGGCAACAAAATCATACAAAACTTCGCCAAGCACATGATCGCCATCTCCTGAAGGTAGAATGAGACATGGTCATTTTATGACAAGGTGCATGGGCAGATTAACCCATTAACCCAGTCTGATTAACCCATTAAAGTGGCAGCACTCTTCCATTGACAAGTAAAATTGTCTGGAGTTAGGCAGAGTCGTGCTTAACTCCATTGCTTAACTCCAGCAATTGTCTGGAGTTAAAATAATAAAGTACACTAGGTAATTATCTCACAACTTGTCAACAAGATGTGATCGCAACAGGCTTGTAGCAAACTTGTCAACAAGTTGTAACAATGCTGTTATCAAGTTGCTATAAGGTTGTCACTCACAACTTGTTGACAAATTGTTAAGTTTATTGGAACTTGTTACAAGTTTGTTGCGCTCAACAACCTTGTAGCAAGTTGTCTGTACAAAGCAGTACGAGCACATCCTGTTGACAAGTTGTTGGAACAGCATTGCTACAAGTCTGCTGCAGGTTTGTTGCAACTTGTGTGTTTTTACGTGTGTGCTGTACCTGTCTTCCAGTTGTGAATGTCCTCATTGCCAAGTGACGATAAAAATCTCCATATCAACCATGGTGTTCCTAACACAACACCAAAAAACAACAACAGCGGCCAAGATTTCCACACGCGACTTTGTTGTTGCTTAGATGTGTCTTGTGCCATCGATCTCATTTGGTTCCAAACTTCTTCAACGCTTGCCGAGCTCCGCAAACCAAGCAGAACCATTATTTTACGGAAAACACTTTGTATCCACTTGATTAAAAAATTTTCTCCAACAATCTGGACAAGATTCTCACGTAAACGGCTAAAGTGATCAGCGACTCCGAGGACCGCTCTGAATGAACTATGGACGGCAAAAAATGTTGATTCAAGCATCATGGCTATTGAGCCAAATGCTTGAACAATCGAATGTACAGAGTCAAACGCAGTACGTGAATTTTGCTCGGCTTGCTCGACAAATGAACTAGAAGGTACGTTGTTGTATCCCATGCCGTATCTGTTGGCTCCGTACCCACTGTACATGTTATTGTACCCACTGTAACCTCCATATCCCCCATATCCCCCATATCCATTTGTGTATCCACCTGAAAAAGATTTTCATTGAGATAAACACTGCCAGCAAACTGTCAAACTTAATCTTCTATCCCATATATAGTACGTCACTTTTGCTATATAGAGTCTTGTTTTCGTGATTGAGTGGCTTGGATATAACTGATCTTACATACATGAAAACAAACCTCTATAGCGAAATGAAGTTCTTTCCCGAAGGGTATAGTAATTGCATAATTGGAATCCACATATATAATTATGTTTAAAATTCTATTTACCAGAATAAGGTCCCATATATCTACCACCAAAGCCACCATAGTTGCCATATCCTGTCATAAAATAGATTGAACTGAACATTAGAAGTCCTTCCCTCCAAGGCGCCATTTCTGCTGTCCCGGAGGGGGAGGGGACAAAAGGCGTCATGTGGTTTTGACATTTTTCAAGAACAGTCGAACCTCTCTGACGTGGACGCTGATAGAGAGTTGTCCATACGACAAGATTCAACTGTTGTTTAGACGCAAATCATCAAAACTGGGAAAGAGTTGCCTCGATAGAATGCCATGATAGAGAGGGGGGGGTGAAAAAGTTTAATCCATTTATTAAATGTACACAAATAAATGCATGTGATAAGATCTAAAGCCTTTTACTGGTACATAAATCATTAAATATTACAACATCTTCATAATTCTAACACATCAATGCCTGCAAATATTTGAGCCTAATATGAAACCTACCATAATTTTGATAACTTTGACTCTGTCTTGAAGCTGGTCTCGGTGGAAGGGCCGGTGCTGTTGTGCGATCATTTTCAGCCATATTTGTACGTCTAACTTGTCTTACACCTCGAGCAGGCCTGTAGCTTGTGTTGCTTGATGTTGCTGGTAAATGTCTGAAGTTATTTGAAGAAATTTCCCAAGGTTTTGGAGGAGACCACATTTCCCAAAATGATGATCGTTGTTTATTTTGGCAAGAACGGGAAAAAGTACTGGGTAGGAGATGCTGGATTAAGAGATTAACTTTAATCCGGATGATATTTAAGATTAGTTGGCTTTAATCCATGAATCATAGCGATTAGCTTTAATCCATTAATCGTGGATTAAATATGAATCATAAATCTGGCTTGACTGCATCACTCCAGTGCATTACTTCCTGCAGTGTCTGGACAAAAAGACCAAATTACAAGACCAAATTATGGACCAAATCTGCCAAAATCTGCCACGTTTTCCAAACTTTGTTTACAACTTTTGTTGTTTTCTATTTCAAAATGAGCGCTGTAACGTTACACACGACAAACTTTCCTCTCTATACAGTGAATGTATTGGACAAAGATCATTTTGTTGTTGCAGGAGGCGGTGGATCGGCAAAAACTGGCGTTCCAAACGCTTTGGTATGATGGCTGATATTTCTATAGCTAATAGTTCTTCATCTTGAGTCCTTCACTTCTTGATATTCGAGACTTGCATGATGCATCAATAGATCCCTTGCATTGTTTACGTTTTTTGCCCGGCGAAGTATTTTAAAAGCTCCCAAGAGAGCTTTGTTATTGTGATATGCATTGTTGAATCACAATGGAGCATGTAATCTTTTGTATATATAATCAGAATTAATTTTGTCAGCAAAATGTAAACAAAACAAATGGTCTATATGCTAGTTCATTATATTCGAGCCTCGCATCAATACCGGCTTCCGGAAAGTATGTCACTTTGACTATAGAGCCTTGGTTTTGTGATTGAGACGTTAAGTTAATGTCACAACTACATACATGAAAACGAGGCTCTGAGTGGCCACCTTCCCCAATGGTTTTGAGTGTAAAGTCATACTTCAAAAGGAAAATATTAATTGAATCTTTATATAATCCTGCTATAGCAAGTATTTGAACTCGAATATAATGATAAGGAAATAAAAGCGAAGAAAGTTCACGAACATGATTCGGAAAGGAAAGCGATTATGAATTGTGCTGCACATCCGAAGGAGAAGTCACTGGCAGTTGGCAAAGAGAATGAGTGTCATTTGCTCTTGGTCGACATCAAGAAAAAAACACAATCAAAAACTGATAAAAAGAAAAAGGAAAATGACACTACCGGGGGAGAATATAAGGTGTCGACACTTTGTTCCGAAGTGACGGTGAAATGCGATGATGAAGATGATGATGGTGATTTTCAGAAAGTAGTTCGGTTTACGAGAGATGGGGAGCATATTGTTACTGGAGGTTCAAATGGATATGTTTGTATACTGAAGGTGAAAATTTGAAAATTAACCCTCTAAGTGGCAATGCTCCCTACTTTAGTATTTACTCTGTCTAATGCCAGACGATTTTTTACTCATCATGGGGTTCGATCGAGAGTGCCACCATTCATTCGGTTTATTGAACTAACTGTATTTATCACTGCCATCCCATTAAGTGTCAGCCCTCTCACTTGGTGACCGCCCGTAGCAAGAAGGGAGCGCTTGAGAAAGACGGAAGCGAGCGACTTGTGTCACTTGCCTGATTTTGAATCTTACTGAAAAGTTTGGCGCGAAAATCAATAATGACATAGTGGGCGTTCACCATGTCGATTTCACTAGTTCATTATTGTTTTGTTCATAATAATAATGAGCATTCACTGACATCACCGGAGCAAAAATGCACCGGTGAATTTGGTGCGCTTGCGGGTGACAAAAGTCCGTCGCTTCCAGGAACCACGAACCGCGGACTTTGAAAAGTCTAAGTTTGATTTTAAAACCCATTGAACACCAGTGCTCTCTCCTTAACAAGTGAAATCGTCTGGCATTAGACAGAGTAAAATAGTAAAGAGAGGCACATCAGGGGTACATTATTTGCCACTTAAAGTACCAAACTACTTACTGTTCTTCAGCTAGGGGTCCAATAATCTCATTTTTTATTGGACCAATGTTATTAAAAAGAGCCCAAGATTTGATGACGTAATTGTTGAGGCCTGTCGCTACTAATAATTGCCCCTTTTGGATTTTCAGCTCTGTTTTTTATGCATTTGTCACTATACTTCTTACAGTATCCCACGTTAAAATGTCTTCATAATTTCAAAGCTCACGAGACAGATGTCGATGATCTCGATATACATCCAAATGGGAAAAGAGTAAGTTAAACCGATTTTCTTTATTAATACACTTACTAATAAGCAAACTTTTCAGCTTGCCCGGTGTCGACACACTCAGAGACAACATCGCCGACAATTATTAACCAACATTGAAATTTCAGTTTGCATTGATCGTAACATTATTAAAAGATTAATTAATTGATAATATTGCACAATTATATTATAACAAACAGTTTGTGACAGTGTCAAGAGATACAAAAGCCTATGTTTGGAAATTGGACGAAGGAAAACGAGAATTCGAATTATTTTATACTGGACCTGATGGCAATGACAGTGAAGATGCTTTCAGAATAAGAGCGTGCAGGTACAGTAGAATACAAATATTGTTCAATATCAAAATTGTATTAGTTTACCCATTATTTAATGCACAAGACTCTCCCCTTGACTAGAGTAAAATAGTCTGACGTTAGACAGAGTAATGAGCTTGAGAACTAATATATAATTTATGTATCTCTCTATATAGATTTTTGACAAGTGAAAAAGGTGAAATATTCTTGTACACAATTCAAGTTCCATCAAAATTTGATCGTCATAAGCCGTTACCGTCGCTCATTGTGAAATGGGATTGTTCTAAATGGGTTCCGCAGCTCAGCCGTGTGGCCGGACTTGAACCGCTGACACAGATGGCTGTGAGGTAGGCTGGAAACATGGCAGAAAGCTTTTATTTATTTCAGAAAGCTTTTATTTATTTGTAATTGCTGGGTACTTTAAGCAAAAATTGCAAAGTCTATACTAAATACCTAATTAAAATAATATATAACTCTGTTATAACAACAAAATATGGATAGTACACTTTCTGTTAATTTAAGATCAAGGTATTAATTTTGGTTTCAGTGATGACGGTCAATATGTGGGGGTTGGTACAGCTTCTGGATCTATTGCTGTTTATATCTCTTGGAACTTAGCGGTAAGATTTTAAAGTTCACATGCCCTACTGTAGTTCTCAGAGGCATTACATGTTACAGTACGTGCAGACGATATCAGACTTGTTGGAACAACTTGTTGTGAGTCTGTTGGTCTCATCAACCTTGTTACAAGATGATAACATCTTGTTCCAGACTTGTCAACAACTGGGAACAAGCAGTGCGAACACATCTTGAAAAAAAATCTTGTTGTTGGCAAGCTGTGATTTTTACGCGTGTAGATCGCGTGATTCTAGGTAGTTCGGCTGGATTAATTCGTCTTCTTGACAGCGGATTTTAATTTATATATCTGTACAGGCAGTACAGCACATTGCAATAACTCTCTTATTTCTTATTTTCAGCCTCTAGTTTCAATCTCCGAAGTTCATAACATATTCGTGACTGGCCTGGCATTCCTGCCTCCCTCACAATCGCTGGAGCAAGCGAATAAAGAATTTGGATTGCTCACGATATCAGCGGATAACACGTGTAAACTCGTTACCTTAGCTAACAGGAGTAAGTCACCTTGTATTTCTCATGACAGTGAAGTACACACGCAAGAACTTCGCAACTCGTCGACAAGATGTGTTCGCAACAGGCTTGTAGCAAGCTTGTCAACAAGTTGTAACAATGTTGTTATTTTATCAAGTTGCTACAAGGTTGTCACTCACAACGTGTTGACAAATTGATGAATTGCAGGACGATAACAAGTTGTTGGAACAACCTGTAACATTTTATCAGATATGTGTATTCACTGTGAAAAACAACTTGGTTAAAACCACCAACAAAATTGCTTGTCTCAGATTAGCAAAAACTTTGTTTAAAAATCTTTATTGAAACACGCTGACAACTTAAGCTGCTTTCCACAAGGGGCTTTCACTAAGCTACATTGTCTGTTGATTTATTTACAACATGCGTTATTTTACTGTTGTAACAAAAGTGTCAGCATAGCAATTTTATTTTCAAAACAAGAGAAAGATTTGCTTTCTCTTATTTCTTTTGGTATGATATGCCTCGAAGTTCATAGCTTGTTATTTCCGTTTTATGAGTGAAAAGATCTGTCAATGATTTGGCTCCCATTTTAATTAATTTAGTTTAATCGATTTCTACAACATAACAAGTTTTACAAGAAAAAAATAAGAACACAAAGAGACAAAGTTGTAAAATTGCCAATATTGTAGTAAGGAAAGACCAGAAAGGAATATGAATTTCCATCTAAGGAAATAAAGAAAGAAGAAATGAAAGAAAAGAAGAAGTCAAACATTAAAGAGTAAATTTAAAAAGTACAATATTAGTTCTGCCCAACGTCTGAGTTCCCCAATACATGTGTTCTTTACAAGCTCTTGTAAACGCAGTTGAAGAGAAACCAGAAGTTCTGAAGTCTTTCGGCAGTTTACTCTAAATGTAAGGTATTCTATTGAAATACGTCGATTTGAAAAGTTCTGTTCTACATTTTCCTAATTTCAGTTTACCCTGGGAATAAGTAATCTGTCGTCAGAACAGAATTTTATTTGGAAGCTTAAACATTATTTTTGCTTTAATTTGCTTTGCCCCTTTCTATTCGTTTGGTAAAAAACAACCTGAACTTCAAAATGAATCTGAAACGGCTAATTTGTTTGTTGTTTTTTATTCAGTAACCAAGTTGTTTTTTACAGTGTGTTGTTTTTTAGCCGTGCAAAACTTCCCGTTGTTTGTGAAACGGAAAATTCCCACACACTTGGCAATTAGTGAAAGCGATAGTCCCTCTATTTTCCTAGTTTCGTTTCCGCCCCTTTCCGCCAGTTTTCCGGGAAACTAAAGAAGAAAACAGAGGCACGGAATAAAGACAAACAGAAGATCGACTTCTTGGTTTTTCCTATGATTTTGGCGTAACCGTAATTTGTCATCAAAATGCTGACGGCATGGTCCCAGCCAGCGCGCTTATGAAAGGCATTCACCCCCCTGATAATATTTAAAATGGTGGACGTCCAGGGGGTGAATGCCTCTCACCATGGCGTCAGCATTTTGATGACGAATCATTGCAAATCATGACGAGGCAGTGGTTACGCTTTCATAACCAAGTCATAAGTCATTTTGTCCGAGTCCAAGTGAAGTCACAAGTTAACAAATCAAGTTCCAAAAATCCAAGTCGCATGACTCGAAGCTTTAATATTAATCTTTAAACTGTAATTTTTAATTACTAAAGTTTAATCTGGATGATACCAATAAACGCACATTTTTAGCCAAATGCCTAAAAAATCACCAACCCGTCGATAGCGCTATCTGGCCTTTCTATACGACTCCCAGGGTTGTATTGCGTCGTTCCGCACATGAGATTACTGTGTCATCATTGGAGCACGCTGACACAAATACCTTTTTTCATTTGTTTAGGAGAATTTGGAATCTGGTGGTTGCTGATTGGATCTGTACTGCTACTGTACTTCACGTTTTTAGCGCTGAGCTATTTTGGGTTTGATTTGTAACGATTCATTGGATACGAACAGAGCATTGGCGAAGGATATAGGATTATAGCTCTGACAGCATGCGTGGTTTTGTCCAAACGAGTTTTAGTATCGTGGGTATTGTCGAATGGCAGTTATCCAAGTGGAAAAATAGTGAAAATTCTTTTCATATTTACTGTATTTAGAGATAAATGAACGGAATGAGGAGATGATGGTGTTAGCTACAGTAATACACACTAACGATGCCACAATGTGCGTCAAGCTTTTAAGCTGTGAAAAATTTTTTCTCAGTAATTAAATTAGTGTAGATAAGAAATTATTAATTCGAATTTATTAACAAAAGTAACAGGGACCAGCAAACAGAGAATAGAGCTTTAAGAAATTCATTAAATATGTCATTATTTAACATATTTTAATTCTATGAGTAACTATATGCTTGTTCCAGTTTACAGGGTCGATCGATGGAATGCTTAAATATTAGTCAAATCCGATCGATGGAATACTTAAATATAGTATTACATTGTGTTACATAGCGTCGGGGACGTCGCGAAGGCATCAACATTGGGGGAGGGGGGTATCGTCATATTTTCACCAACCTTTCCTAGAATTTTGACCAAGTCGTAGAAATAACATAACCAAAGCTTAGAAACTGTTAAAATTGCGAACGATTTCATAACTTTGAGCAAATTTGGCCATCTTTTATCTCGGACTTTGACCAAATTTTACCAATTTTTGACCTTCAATTTTAAGCACATATTTTCCATTTTGACCAACTTTTACCAACATTCACACACCCCTCCAGTAGCGACGTCCCTGCATAGCGTTACACACTATTACACAATGTTACATGGTGTACCACACTGTTACATATACGGGTAAAAATCTCGCAGCTTGACAAATCTGGAACAAGTTGTTATCGTGATGTAACAAGGTTGATGAGGCCAGCAGACTCGCAACAAGTTTTTCCAACAAGTCTGATATCGTCTGCACGTAACAAGTTGATGACAACAAGCTCGTAGCAACTTGTTACGAACACCCTGTATTGGTCTTGTTGGTCTTGTTGGAACAGCTTGTAGCAAGTCTGTTACCGTCATCAACCTTGTAACAAGGCGATAACAACTTGTTCCAGACTTGTCACAACAACTGGGAACAAGCAGTGCGAACACATCCTCACATCGGCTTGACAACAACTTTGTTACAACTTGTTTGCAGATGGTATAACACATGGTTATACATAATGAACAGTGTTAAAATAGTTGTATGCATGGTGTTACACACTTTCACGTAAGCCTGATTTCCGATCCATTGCGAGTGACCGTGGAACGTGTGTGTGTAAAGGTGCCCCAGCTCCGTGTCGCTACTTTTTAAATGTATCCAATTGAATAATAATAAAAACTGTCAATTAAAATACAATTATCATTGATGTTATAAAGGTCGACGCCGTATTTACAGCCGATTTAAAAATTTAACAATTTGTCTGCAGTCATAACTAAGTGTCTATAGTTTTGAGCGCGTGTTACATAACATAAAAAAACCCAAAATAAAACTGACTTTAATGCGTTGTTACCGCCAAATAACCAAATTAAAATGTTTTGTAAATTGGCCCTTGCCGCCCTAGATATAGGCCCGAAGCCAGAAATTCTTAATCGCATTGTAGTTGAAAGGAATTTATTTCATTTTAAACATTATTTTTTTCATTTCTTTTTAAAATTAATTCGTTCCAGCCTGTTGCCTGATTTAATATCGCAATTTCAATACACCCACCCACGTAATTTGCATTTCAAAACACACTTGAATAGCCGTGCTTTTCACGTTTAATAATTAATAGCTCATTATAAAAGACATTCCTTTTTGCAGCGAAATAGTCGATTAAGGAATTCACAGTCACGAGGGAATGCTTTTACTGAACAAAAGGAATCAATTTCGCTTTTATTTTTGCCAAAAACGGCGTTCTTCGCTTGGGAAAAAGGTTTTTTTCCGCTTGTTTGGCAAAGTCAAGGCATGCATGATTAGTCGCCGGTCCTATTGTTATGTCTGTTAGCCTCATTTTGATGCCATTATATTTATGCGAGTAAACAAAGGCCTTTGAAAGCGGTTCTCCTTTTATGATAAATACAATTGAAGCTCAAAAAGAATGCGTAATTAAGAGCAAAACTCGCTTGAATTTGCTGGCAAGAAACTCGTGTTGCATTCGTTTTGATGTGAAAATTCATCGCGAAAAACCGTGCATAATTATTATAATCCGAAGCAAGGCATTCTTGGCAGTATTACGTTAGAAAATCCCATCAAAATTATGAAGGGACGGTAAGGATTCATATTACATGCCGTTTGACCTATGTAAGACAACAGAAACGAGCCAAAATTTTTGCACTGGCTTCGTTTTCGCTTAAAACATCAAGAAATAACGCTGTAATGTTAACGAAAGCGTTTGTAAGAGGTTTATAATGAAATTGATGCACTCCTGTTAAATTTCAGACGGAAAAATCTACATTCTATCATCTCGAAAATATCGGGAAACGTGGACTCGAACGTTGAAGCCGATACGCAGGTATTGTCTTGAATCTTTTATTTAAATATGAATGCATTTCATCAATCTAGTGGGTTAGAATGTTTCCAACGTTTTTGCGAGTATTTGTTGCAATATATTTTGTAATTGCTACAAGTACAGCATTCGAACTTTCGTAGAAAACTGCATTTTAAGATGAGGATTTGGCAAATCTATTCTGTTTCCAAATGCAAACCTTGCAATTACTCAAGCATTCAGAAAGCGGTCTAAATATAGTTTAAATATTGTCGGGTTTGTGTGTGTTAAAGTTATAATATACGTGAATGTATAGAATTATTGATGTTTTCAAGAATAATTGACAGTCCAAAGTACCATAGAATGTTAGCCTGTACTTCAGCTGGCCATTGAAGCCAGAAAATACCATATAACCATAGTGACCTTCTCGTGCTCGGCTGAATGCATGAGTAAGTAAGCTGTACACATCCAATTGGTCGTTAGTCGATGGCAGTCTTATATACTGAACTACACCCTCCAAATCCAATTGCGGGGCGCCGGGGCATTTCGAATTGGGGTCAACCTTGCAATTAAATCTGATCAAATGTGTTGTGCATGTTATATTTTGTTTGGCATTCACTTAATAGATGGCATGCTTTTCACATGTCAAAATTTAGAAAATATTTTTTCAAATTTCTGCACATGTTAATTAAGTGGTTCTTTCAAGTAAACCTAGCCTGCGAATTCAGCCGCCTCACTTCGAACCAGCTTGCATGCCGAAGGAATGAAATTGAACTAAGTAATTTTTTGAACATGAAGAGTAATTAGCTTTTCTCACGCCGCCATTTTTGGGTGGCTTTTCAGCCGAAGTCTGTGAGATAAGTCTACATAACAGCGACTTTTTATAATTTTTTGGACGAATGATGTCAAACTTGCTTTGTAAATGATTAGTTTATTTTGAAAAATTGCTTTTCGCATTGTTTTAATTGTCTGTATTGGTTAATGAGAATTAGATGCCACCCAAAAATGGTGGATATTCGTCACCATGAGAAAGGCTAATTGGGCTCTAAAGCTGGGCCGTGAATTCCTAATAATAAAAACTGAACATGACATAAATTTACATGACCAACGTTTCAGTTAGATTTGTACGACGCAGGCTGAAATGTTCATAGTGTATTAAATGAGGGTGTTGATGGGGTATATTGTGAGTCGTGATTCACTCAATTTCGGTTACTGTCAGTTGTGAAAACACTAAAAATTTAGCGTGAATTGTGAGGAAAAAATACTGTTTAATGTTTCAGAACACTTTTCAAAGATTTACCGTTAAAATACCAAAATGTTACTTATTATTACCGTTAAAATACCAAAATATTTACTGTTTACTGATTTTCAGATCCCCCCCCCCTAAACCCTCTTAAATTCATGGTAAGTTTAATTTCAGACCAATTGAAATTCACAATGCCCAATACCTTAGCATTGTGGTGAACTGCTTCATCCCCCCCCCCCCTAAATCCTCTTATATTTATCATGGCAACTTCAAAACGTCACTTTTGGACAATTCTAGAACAAAATTGCAAGAGTTCCTTATGTGGGGACATTTTTGAACTGCAGGGATCTTCCAAGAACTTCTGTTGACAGACAGAATTCTGCGAGTTGGAAACCGTCCCAAATTCCAATGGGTATTATCATTCGAATTGGAATTCCAATTGGATTTTTTATTTGAGTTACACCATAGTGAATGTAACAAAGTTTTTTTAACGAATAAGGAAGTTTGACGCAACTTTAACCTTTGTGGACCATATCAGGACCGTATAAATAGCTACGGAGCAGCTTAAATATTCTTTTATGTACGTCATAAATAAGCTTTCTTGGCGTTGTTCGTTCATGTAGAGTATAAGATCAATTTTAAATCTGTTATGAAAGTGGTATTTAATCTGTGCTACCTTGAGGCAGAAATTTCTGTCATGTATAAACCACAATACATTCAGTCGGCATTTAAAAAGTTTAAGGCCCATTTATGCAATGCGACTAGTCGTGTATGATTGTCATTCTGGCGTATGAAAACGACTGCTGATTGCTGAATGCCACTATTCCTGGTTCATCAGTTTATTGCAAAATTTGAAATGTGACATCTTTACATGCGTTTATTTGAGTACATAATTATTCGATATGATTGAATAACTGATGAATCCCAGTTAAAATTGCTGGACATGTACTCAAAGTGTTACAGTACGTAGGCATTGTTTTCTGTGTAATATTATGCAAACAAACTACCATGAAGCTTGGCTGGTCAACCCATTAAGCTGCAATGCACCCAAATAGATCTGACTTCATTACATTTACTTTACTCTGACTGTTGAATGGCAGATGATTTTACTCATCAAGGGAAGAGTCTTGTGTGGATTAAATTACCCGGTTAATGGAACCAGTGGCGTAACGTTATATCAGGGGGCCCCCGGTTCAAAATTTTCGAAGGCCCTCCCCCCATAGTAGAAATGCCGAATGCACGAGTTGAGCGCCGTATATGCACGAGTTTTCCGGAAAATTTTTGAATCTAGACTCTCTGAAATGCCATTTCCCGGACTTTGGGGAGAGATTTTACAGAATTCTGATGGTCAGAAAACGACATTGTAACATATTTGTTCTACAGCCTGAGCCTGGGGGCCCCCATTTGGCCCATTGGGGTTGGGGGCCCCCGGGTTCTCACGGTCTGAGCCCATAGTAGTTACGCTACTGAATGGAACTATATGCCAGTGCATCTTGTTAACCCATTAAGCTACAATATTCCCAACTCTGCCTGACTTCATTGCAGTACTTTACTCTGTCTAATGCCAGATAATTTTACTGGTCAAGAGAGAGTCTTCATCTTAAATGAAGACATTTTGCAGGCACATTTTCAAATAACTTTTGTGACCCCCGCTATCTGCCAGTCCATCTTGTTAACCTAGTATAAAGTTGCATTGCACCCCAATGTGCCCAATTTACTATGTTACTCTGTCTAATGCCAGATGATTTTACTCATCAAGGGGGAAAGCACTGGCACTCAGTCGGTTGGTAAGATATTACACAGGTCAAATTATGATTATTATGTCAAGTTTTTGTGGCTAAAAACAGTGCATTCTTTTAGTCACTCTGCAAATATTTAGCTATAGTCCAACAGCTATGTTTTAGAAATCATTGGGGCATGTTGGGGGGGCGATGGGCATTGCTCTCCTGGTTGCAGGAGCCCATTAGGGAATGAGACCCTGTAATGGGCCTAATGGACAACTTACATGTTAGACTAAATTTTAATCTAAGTATATAAGAAGGGGATCAAACACAACAGTTAAAAAGAACGTAATGAAATTAGTAAAATTGCAAAATTTGGTTGCGAAATGTTGTAAAATACAGATAATATTGCCTTGCGAAGTTTGCATATTTTCAGTATATTTGTATTACGTGCGGAAATTGTTACCATTTTCGGCTGAAAAATAGTAAAAATTTCCGCACGTAATACAAACATACTGAAAATATGCAAAATTCGCAAGGCTATATTTTCTGTATTTGACAACATTTCGTAACCAAATTTTCAATTTTACTGATTTTGATAAGTTCTTTACGGGAATTTACTTTTTTTTTGTCTAAATCAAAAATTAGTATAACATGCAAGTTGTCTATTGTAAACCTCAAAAATGCAGATCTTTTTTTAGTCTTTTCTTCTAAAAGCTGTTCTTTCATATTTTTACCTAAATCCCGGGGGAGGGGGTTTGGGCAAAGGGTGGGAATTTGAAAAAAAAACTTGAGTAAAATGCCTGGAGTTGCAAAGACATTGAATAACAATGAAGCGTGTCAACTTAGATGGCACTCCGCAGACCTCCACCAGCTAATTATATATCATGCATAAATTATACAATGCGCTAATTGCGTCGCTTCAGTTTTACCCTGCCTGCGCAAAGTTTCGTACTAATACGTTTGATAGTTCCTGAGTTATCCTGCTGACAAATCAGGGTGTTAGCCAGAAAAAAAGTTTGTCCGTTAAACGTAAATTGGGAAAGTTTTTTGACCCATCAAAGTCCTTGTGTAGGAATAAATAGTGTTCTTTTTCAACGGTGGCTTGGTTTTGTACATTTCATTTCCGGTGAATGAACACTGACAAATTCACCCGATGGCACTTCGTTTTGTATATTTCATTTCCGGTGAATGAACACGGATGCACATCGATTACACTTTGTTTTGTACATTTCATTTCAGTGAATACACACCCAATATGAGTGAAACGCGATACATTTTGAGAAAATAGTTAATGGGAAAAAGTAAACAAAACGTTCTTTGATATAATAATATAAAATCAAACCCAATGCACTTTCTCATGAGAAAAAATGAAAATCTTCCAGTAGACCCAGTTGGGAAAGCTACTTCAATTGGGAAGAGTCCGTCAAACGGACAGTATATGGGCTAGCTAACACCCTGCAAATACACATGCAAAATAAGTGACACACACGCATACAAACGCTGAAATCATGGCGCACGGCAGGTAAAAAAGACCCCTGCTGGGGGCAGTAGAAATCCACATATAACAAGAGATAGAATGAGGAGATTGTGCCCTAGAATAATGTATGACCATTGGCATTGCCCATAAGTTCACCCCCCTCAAATCCACATATAACAAGAAGTAGAATAAGAAGATAGCGCCCTAGAACAATGTATGACCATTGCCCATAAGTTCGCACCCCCCTCCCCCGAGGTTTGCATTTGATAGGTGCAATAAGCTATAAACGTGCGCGTGAAAATCCTTAACGCTTGCGCCCACGTGACCCCACGCTATTATTTGTTATATAAACAGAGTGTGCATCAGTGCACGCGAACGCCACGCGATCGCCAAGCTTTAAATGAGACCGAATATATCGAAGAAAAGCTTTTAGGCTCACTATACTGGCCGATACGGAAGGTACAACTTTCAGAAGCTGAGCGAATCAGTAATTCCTCTGAAACCAACGTTTCGAAGCTGAGCGAATATTTGCCCTGAAAATAGCGTTCCTCAAGGTACGGATAGGCGTTTTTTCACGTCGTTATGGGAAGCTATCCGCGGTACAGTGGCGACGTAGCCTTAGAAAGGTCTAGCATGAATCTGTATTTTTGCGCTGCCTATGTTAATTAAACAATGCCACATCAATATAATGCGATGATGACGATGTGGTGATTTTCAGTGCTGTTTCAAATCGTGATTCATTTCTCTCCCGAGGCTAAAACATAATGCCAAACAAAATAAAAGTTTACAAGTGTTAAATCCAATAAAAGCTGCATTCAGTATTTTTGGAAGTGTATATTTTGAATTGGTTAAGTGGGCTTATACCCAGGAAGGCTTAGGAATTGAAGGTTTACTGTAAGATGTGTTTCGGCCACACAGACTGATGATCGAACAGAACCCTTTCGATGCTGATATTCATCAACGTAAAAAAAGATTAACAAAACCCCCTATAACTATGCCAAACTGTGTCGCATGCGACCTACTTACAACTTGAGTTGTACTGTGTAAATCAAACACACAACTCACTTACGTTATCGCAGGTAAATCGCCCAGTGCTTGGATGTGCCACACCCCACCAGGGCCGCCGAGAGGGGGGAGGCAGGGGGGGGGGCAAATTTCCCCGGGCCCCGAAGTGCTGGGGGGCCCCTCAAAAATTTTTGTTGGGCCCCAGTCTTTTTTGTGTTGTTAAATATTTCCGCGCAAAGGACAAGATATCTGTTTTCTTGGAGTAAGAACTGAAATTTGGCATAAAAAAATGAGATAAAGTCCCTGAAACGCAATAGGAACGTAATCGTCCGGAAAATTTTTTTACTCCGGAAAATATTTTTTACCCCTAAAATGGTACACTGACCGAAAATTTTTTGGCGGGGGGGGAAATATTTTTCCGGAAAAATTTTTTTTGATAGGGGGTCCCCAAAAAAAAATTTGCCCCCGGCCCCCGCCAACCTCTTGGCGGCCCTGCACCCCTCGTTCATGTCTTATATGTAAAGATCTCTTTAGGATCGCCAGTGACTGTCATGGTTGACCTTCATTACCGTTCCCGTTGGATAATATTTGGGGCACAAATTTGGACTGCCAACGTATCTAAATTCTTCAAATTTTGCTGGCTCAAATTTAATGCAGATTTGCTTAAATATTTTATGCTATATGGCATGAAAATTACGTGATTTGCGGACATGACGGACTTAGACACTTCGTGCTCTCCTCCGTTATATAAAATTACTAAATATCTCCGAAGCCTTGATCAAATGAGATGGTGTTAATGAGAGTTACACAGTCACGCGTTTCTATTCAAGCTCTAGAAATAGAAGTGTGATGAGTGTTTCAACTATATTTTAACTCAAATAGAATACATGATAGTGTTGGGAAAGCATTAAGAACAGCTAACCAAAATCTCGTGACTGCCAAGGGATATCTTGTCGGGGAATTGCGCAAACGCGGCGAGCGACTGGTCATCACGCGACCAAATTCGACGTCGCGTGCGGCCGAGTTTCCAACGCCGAAAGGCAGCTTTTCACGTAAGCCATTTACCTAAAGAGTTTTGAGTTTAACTTGTGGGTTTTATGACGTGTACAACGAGGAAAATCCTTTAAAACAGATTTCTCTCTACAAATTACGTAAATACTTATTAGTCTGCTGAGCTTTTAGTTCAGAAATAAGAAGGAGCATTTTCTCGTTCGTATAGGAAGCCGCTTCAACCAGTGTCACAGGTGGTTCAGAAAGTATAAGGTAGGTGATGTAATCACATTGTATTCATTGTCAACCAGCACCTGTTATGTCGTGGTCACCACGCTTGCCTTTAAAGCTTGGAGAATCTGGTTCAATACTTGGTCAGACCTCTACTCAAGCTCTTAAAATAATTGAGGAGAAAGAGCTACCTTTACATTGACATCAGTAAATGGTTAGACTTTCGCGTCTTCTCGGATAAGGACGTTAAATCGTAGGTACCTCGGATCCCCTATCATTTGGGCGATCCCCTATCATTTGGGCGATAGCCTGTTAGGAAATCCGCTGACCAATGAGCGAGAAACTCACTATCAAAGTTCCTGTGATCACAGTAGGAATTTTGTGTGGGTAAATTCTATATAGGAATTCTGTAGGATTTGTAAGAAATGTTTGAGGAAACTGACTCTGTGTTTAACACGGAAAATTTCTCACAAATCTTTCAAAACTTAGGGCCTGTTCATATGGGCAAAAGTTATCCCGGTTAACGAGAAAACTTTTCGACTAGCCAAATACTTTTGTTCTGTTCATATGGAGAAACGTTATCCCGCTTACCGGGTAAAGTTTTCGGCTGTGACGTGGCACTGAACATCAATTGAATTGAAAAGTTGCTGACACGACAGAAAGTTATCCCGCTAAGCGGGAAAGTTGTGTTCATATGGGAAAAACATTATCCCGGTCACCGAGATCTCGCCTGTCAACAAGCGAGATCTCGGTACACGGGAAAACTTTTTGTCTCGCAGTGTAACTTTTCGTATTATTTTCATACCAAGGCGAGATCTCGCTTGTAAACTTGTCGAAAAGTTTTCTCGCTAACCGGGGATAACTTTTGCCCATATGAACAGGCCCTTAGAATTTGCCTTTGCAAAATTCCTACTGTGATCACAGAAACTTTGATCGTGTATATCTTTACGCTATTACGTATGTAACAACAAAATATACTTGACTGTATTTATGTTACACGTCTTAATTGACGAAGAAGGAAGTGCGATATAATGATTGCTTAAAGATACTCCCGTGAAGTATGTGTCAAATATTTGCTATGTTTTCATCGAACCATTGTGTAATAATATCACGACTGGGTAATCAAACCAATATATTGCTATTGGTTGGTTGGACGAAAAACAATACACACGTGACACGTGACGATGAACCGAGCATTTTTTGCTAGATAGTCTATTATACCCGCATCGAGTTCCCTAACCTGCTTACTCTATTGACTGTGGTGGCATGGTCGAAACCAGAGGGTCCCTTAGTAAGCTTTTTACTCGATTACGATTGAGCTTCATCCTTATACAATTCAGCGCTCAACAGCAAGGAATGATGATTGACACCCCCTACCTCGGGATCATTATCAATTGACGTCATTCTATTTTTAGTGATGACAACGCAGTTCCAGAAATGAAAATTGCCGATGAACAACTCCAACGACCTGTAACAAGAATGTACGCGAAAGAAGGCGAAGATCACTTACGGCAAGACGCCGCCATAAGAAGAATTAATACTCAGCTGCTGGATCCGGCAGCATCGCCTCCGTTTATCTGTGACCTCTGCTCTGTGGCCTTTCTCACGAAACGTGAGCTACAGCTGCATGTCATGTGTCATGGTATACATATAGCTGGGAATGTTAGCGGAGAAAAAGTACAAGCTGTCATGCAACAATCTGGCGAAGCGTCCGCGATGGGTGCCGTCCAAAGCAGTGAAGGTAACCAAGGATGTTTGCGCTTTTTATTGATTACTTTTACAACTTGTTATACATGAAAAAATTGAGATTAAATTTAAGAATATACACATAGATGAAGGAATAAGGTTGAAGGTATAGTCAACAGGACAAGAATCCCATATTAAGACCAACCCAAGAAAGACAACAATTAGTTATGACATATATTTAAAGACACAAACACACATTTACACACTCTGGTATATTTGAACAAATATTAACATGAAAAATGCTTGGAATTGACCTTCAAGAGCAACAAGTTGGACTGTAAGAACGCCACTTGGAACAACAAGTTTTCCAAGTGCGCATTCGATTGACGTTTTTATAATTAAATACGAGGACAGTATACCCGGAAAATGTAACACATTCCGGTAATTGGTGAAGGCGCGCGTACATTTAGCATCCCTTAATTTCCCAATGTGTACCGAGCGCTCCCTCACTCGCCGTTAAGAAAATCGTGTGAATTCCCGGAACTCTCCAGACTAATAGGACGAGCCTTTGCGGACGAGATTGTTCCCAGGAGGTTTGCGTTTCTATGTAATAATCGTAGAAATAATATCTATTATTTCTATGGTAATAATCCAGTTCACCCCCAGTGTTCCAGATTGAAAAGTTATATTTTGCGCAGGAAATACTTTTTCCTTGGGAAAATGCGCAGAATTGTCAGATATTTTCACAGAAGATTTATGGCAGACCAAGGGATTCTATAGTCCTAAAGTGTTTTAGGAAGATCAGAAATGTGCTTGGTCTTGATTCACAAAGGCATTTTGTGCAGATTCGCCTGAAACTATTTGCAGTTTTTTACAATCTGAAGAATTGCAAGATTTTTTTGTCACGAAGCTACAAGGAGTGTTTTCATGTTTTGACTTCGATTCAAAGACAAAAACTGTTCTTAATTTTACTTCTTGTCTGCTTGTGTCCTAGGATCAACCACAAGTGAAACGACGAACGGTCAGCCCGACCCAGAACCAGTGGTTGTGAACAGCGAGGTGAAGATTGTTGACGTCCTCTCGCTAGCTACGGCAACAAGAGGGTTTAAAGCACCTGGGAGCATTTGGTGCTCGTTATGTAAATGTACTGTCGATAAAGGACACACTTGTAAAGTTTATCAGACAAGGTAACGTCCCGTCAGGGATTGAGGTGACAGATGTGGTTAGTTGGCCATTGGTCCCAGAAAAATTTTGAAGTCAGTAGAAAGAAAGTAGGAAAATTTCAATATCAAATCAAATGAAATAAATTTGTAGTCAGCTACACACGTAAAAATCTCACAACTTGTCAATAAGATGTGTTCGCAACAGGCTTGTAGCAAGTTTGTCAACAAGTTGTAACAATGCTGTTATTTTATCACGTTGCTACAAGGTTGTCACTCACAACTTGTTGACAAATTGTTGAATTGCAGGACGATAACAAGTTGTTGGAACAACTCGTAACAAGACTGTTGAGTTCAACGACCTTGTAGCAAATTGTCAACAAGCTGGGAACAAGCAGTGCGAACACGTCCTGTTGCTACAACTGCAGTATCAGACACTTGAGGGGCCAGGTGCCCCCACACAATAATTTCGAAAGGCCTATAAACGTCTGGTGCTACATATCACAATTAACGTATATAATGATCAAGTAAGCCTTAATTAAACGGACACCGAAACCCATTTGGCATGTATGTTGAAAATGTCGCCCCCAATATTTCGTGTGTCCGCCATTAGCTACAAGTTTGCTGCAGGTTTGCAGGTTTGTTGGGCGATATACGATTATCGTTTCGAAGAAAGAAACTTGAGCGATGACATATCGTAATTTGTATTTTCCATATAGTTACCATGCCGAGAAGACTGAAGAGGGGTTTACATGTGAACTATGTGGTCGGTTCTATAATCAAAAACGCAAACTCCGCACACATCTTCGCAACAGACACAAAGGTTTCCGCCTTCAAGAAGACGAGGGGTACATGTGCTGGCAATGCTGGCAAGCATTTCCTGAAATTAAGATCTTAGAAGAACACATTGTGCAAGTCCATGGGCATGGTAAGAATGCTGACAGTCTAACCTAACATACAGACATCTCTCTAATATGAACACCTCTCTTATACAGACATATCTCCAATACAGACGTCTCTCTAATACAGACATCTCGCCAATATGCTAACATACAGACATCTCTCTAATATGAACACCTCTCTTATACAGACATATCTCCAATACAGACGTCTCTCTAATACAGACATCTCGCCAATATGAACATCTCTCTAATACAGACACCTCTCTAATACAGACATCTCTCTAATACAGACACCTCTCTAATACAGACACAGCTCTCTAATAAGGAAAGATGCACATCTTTAATATAAAACAAAGTAATACCAGGCAATTTTGTCATATTTAGAAAGCCGTCGTCAGAATTCAACATGGCGGCCATTCACCCAACCATCTACGTTACCATTGGATGAAAACACAGACGAGGATGTTAGCCCTGACCCTAATGGTAGCCCAGTCGAGAGCTCCCCAAATGCTGAACAGTTAAGCAGTGCCCTGAAACGAATCAATGAAGAAGCGCCCGCCAGTTCTCACCCAAAGAGACCTCGTATGGATGTAACGAATGGCATCATCAGCGTTGCAGAGGTTTACAATTATATTTTATTTCTTGTTTAGTGTTGGGGGAGCATCGGTGACTGATGTCGTTAGCGCCGCTGAGTTAAGGGTGCCACTGACGGGAATGAGGCAGACGCTGGGGTGGGGGGTCAACGGTTTTTGAAAGGTGGAAGGGTCAGTTTGGGGCTTATCCCAGCCCACCCTGTCGACATTCATTATGGGAGGAAACCAAAGTACCCGGAGAAAACCCACGATTTTCGATAGACCGTTGACAGACTTTTTTCACAGAAGTGTCATGCGTCCGCAGCGAGAATCGAAGCCACGATCTCATGAAAGACGCTTTCTCTAACAATTGTACCTACTATCATTGTTACTCGTTGATGACGTAGTTTTTCTGATTTGTTTTAGGTTAATGGGAAAGTTGTGGTCACTGATACCACAATACGTACCGACAGTCCCACACACCCTCAGGTGACTGTAGGGATGTCTGGTATGTCTGAACCACGAGATATTGAACCACGAGATATCCCGATGACTGCTGTGGTTGTTGGTAACCCAAATGTTATCGATGGTAGTGACATCACCAACCATACAATGGACATCACCAACCATACAATGGCTAATTTAACCACCAACACGGCGGTACCATCGGCTGAGAATTCGAAAAAGAAAACATCGGGCCATCTGAAACAACAATGTCCACATTGTCCTGAAAAATATGGCAAAAAATACATGCTCCAACTTCACATCGAGGAAGCGCATGGGGAGAACATGCATTGCTTTTTCTGCTCGACTTCGTGCGCTACGAAAGAAGTGTTGGCCTCACATATCAAGAGTATTCATACCGAGGAAGTGAAGAATGGGAAATGCCCCATATGTCAATGCAAGTGTCTGGGCGAGCTACATCAGCATATAGTTCAGTATCATCACAAAGATCTCTTGACACGGAAGGCCAAAGAGCGCGTGCTGTCCACGTGCCCAATATGCCACGCAGCCACAACTGATGCTTATCATCTCCGCTGGCATATCTTGAGGGAACATCGCGGGCTACAGCTTCCCAAGGAAATACAAGATGGTTTGAACGAAGATACCGGAAGTGAGAGCGGCAGTTCTGTGAGCAACGAGGGACAGGACAGGGTAGCAGACGGTACTAAGGTGCACGATACTACTTCTGAGAGTAATGGTGGACATAAGAGTACAACTGAAGATCAAGAAAACTCGAAAGAAAATGACCTTGAGATAGTGTTTGTGTCAGACAAAAATATCTCGTCCGATTGGTCAAAGCGAACAGCCAATGGTGTTCCTCCAACCAGCCAAGCCTCAAAGCCAACAGCCAATAGCGTTCCTCCAAGTAGCGTAACCAACGACAGCACGTCTGGTCAGTGTATTAAAAAGCCTGCGGACAGTTCGGTCGGAATGAGTCCAAAAGTCGATCAACGCATGAACACACAAGGCGAAGTCCACAGTACAACAGGACAAGTTGAACAGACCAATGAACGAGGCAGTCCAGTCAAGTATGATTATCACAGCATCAGTGAAGATACCTGCGTGTTTTGTTTCAAGACACTAACGAAGGAAACATTATCGTCTCACTTACGTACAGACCACGGCTGGGTAGATACATTCACTTGCCCGGTATGTCCTGCCAAAGCTGAGAAATACTTAAACATCGTCGAGCATTTCTGTCAATCTCATTTTCATCCAACTGACGAAGTGTCCATGACGCAATGTGATGCAAAGTGTTTGAAATGCGACATCATATTCCAAGACATATCCCACCTCAAGAAACACGCGTCAGCCCTGCACTCTTTCCAGCTGCCATCCGAGGCGTCGTACAACACTTTCAAATGCAGACATTGTAATATTATCTTCGAGAAACAGTTCGACGCACAAAAGCACTTCGATGTTTACCATCTTTTCCGTATTCGCTTCAAATGTGAATCGTGTCGGATGGGTTTCACGGCCAAGCACGATTTTCAAGAACACGTGACCTGTAACCACCCGGAGTTGGTGAAAAGCTTTTGTCCAGTTTGCGGACTTGGGTTTGAGGTCAGCTCGGACCTGGAAGAGCACGTATTTGAGATGCATCGACGAAAAGCGCAGTTCTGCTGCGCGCAGTGCGGAAACGAATTCGGGGATCGTTTTCACGTCCACATGCATATTCGTTCCAATTGCTGTGTCACGTGGGCTGATAGCAATTTCGAATGTTTGGACTGTTTGACGGCATTTTCGTCCATTTCTGAACTGCGAATCCATTGCAAGCAACGAAGCTGTAAACAAGACGCGAAGAATTGATCAGGTGTGTTTTGCATGTTGTCAAGGTGTATTTTAATGTGTCCGTAACGACATAAGTCAGGACGCAGTGTCTACGTCGAGATAAAATTGCAGTTGAATCTTATAAGATGCAACTGAGTTGGAAGAATTAAAATACGCATATCAAAGTGTTGAGCTGTTCAGTCATTCATTGTGAATCACATGTTGCGAATATATAATCACATGTTGCGAATCCTTAGACTTGCATATTTTCTTATCTGTGTCAAGCAAAACAAAAAAGGTTTACTTAGGGCAGTTTACACTATCAAAGTTTCTGTGATCACAGTAGGAATTTTGCATGGGTAAATTCTAAGTTTTGAAGGATTTGTAAGAGATTTTTGAGGACACTGACTCAGTGATTCAAAAACGGCAATTTTATCCCGACGATTTCATGCGGGACAGTACCGAACTTGTCTAGTGAAAAACTAGAGTAGGTAGGTAGGGTTATATAAAGGTTTACGCACGAGTTTCATAGGCACGAAAATATCGGGAATGGTTTGTTCCCACAAACATTGTTAGTATAGATCACGTTTTTCTAACTGGGTTGTTCGCCTTGTGTTTACAATGCATTTTTGAAGGCAGTAAACTTGAATCATTTCCAGAAACCTATCCTATCGATACTTGAATGACATCCGCGGTTCCTTAAAGCATAATTCAGTATTTGAGAAAGCCATAATGAGTTGAGATATGTATTATAAACGAAAGCCATCTGAAGTTACTTAGTCTTTTTTGGGCGTCGGTGAAGTAATGTTGTAAGGGATGGGATTGTTTAAATTTCACAAGAGTGTGAAGGATATTTTGTTAACAAACGACGCCGTAATTTGTGTCTGAACTGCATAAAAATGATTAAAAATACTTGTAGTTGGAAGCTGAAATAGTTCTAATTACCCCGTGACGAAGGGCCTTTTCCCGAAATGTTTTCAATCTTTTTCAGTGGCGAAGTTAGCCATGGCGAAGCTGAGCTGTATCTAAATAGGTTAAAACGATCGATACATTTCTAAAGATTTGAATAATCCAAATAAGTAAACATTTGCATAGCACGACCTGTTGCTATGGCTAGCTTCGCCATCGATCTTTTCCAGGTAGTTCAGACACAACCCACGGCAGATTATTGTAGAATACCATAGTAGTCCAGTATTTTGACATGCATTTAAATTTTAAAATGCGCAATTTTTCAGTTTTAGAGATACCATACTATAAGCAAAAATATAGGGCCAGGGGTTGGTTCAAATCGCGTTGGCATAACCTATTTGGCATAAATAAAGCCTTTGGAGGAATCTTTGATTTGCTTTGATGTAGTTTGCTATCGTTGATTGTAAATATTCATTTTGAAATAGCAATGTTGGATTTTGAGAGCTCTGTAAAGTATATGTTACAGATTGATGCCGTAGATTTAAAATTACAAGAAAAATGTTATATATTGATTAAACATTATGTTTCTACAAAAGCTGTAGTAATAATATTTATGATTGAATTATTTATTTATATTGAAGTGAAGGTCTCTGTATATCTACAGGCCTGTGGTTATCAGATGAGATGATGAAATTGCGAAGATAGATTTTGATGTATATATTTATTTTGAGGTAATTTATTTTCGCGTGTGAGAGAATTGATAAATAAGAAAGGCGCAGTATTTTACTAGGTTGAATATCCGTCCCAAAAATGCCACTCGATGGATGTTTCAGAATTTATAGTGGATGAAATGACTATCATATAATTTTAGTTCCTAATATTTGACTGATGAAGTGGCCAAACGTTTGCCTTCTAAAATTACCGAGGGTGGCGAATAGTCCAACTTACGCAAATTATGTTAATTAGGTAAAAATTATTTCAATACTTTTAGAGGAGCTAGTATTATTAGTATTCTAATAAAAATGAGTACAAAAATGAGTTTGATGCCCAGATGTATGTGTTCGGAATTTTCTGTTTTGCGACAGAAAGGATCCTTTAAGCCCCCTACATTAATATGTATTACCAAAGATTTAGCGCGTTAGGCAATTTTCAAAAGTCACCTTTAATTAACAAACATTGTCCAAATTCTTAATTTTATGGTCTTTAATTTCATAAAATATTTCCAGACTTGGGGGACCTTGAACAGTATCAGAAGGATTAGGTCAATCGTCTCTACGGCACAAGAACTTAGCTGTGTAGTAAGATACGAATTTCTATAAAATCTCTTCAGATGGCTTTCGTTTTTGAATTTTCTTAACTTCGATCCAAAGGAACCATTTACAATTAACCAACCAAGAACTATTTGCATAACGTTTACAATAAATTCAAGTTAATGCTAGTATTTCTACGTTTTATCACAATATTTCTGACTTTTGGTAAATAAAATATAATGGCAAGGAAATTTCAGTTTGTCCGTCCTTAAAGAACTCTAAATTGTAGAATAGTTAATTTTGCAAAACAATTTCATATTTTAGTTGAGATATATATTTTCACATACGGTTATAGTGAGGTTCGTTTGCATATCAAACGTACTAAACCGAAAAGATTATTTTACAGTTTTACTTGTTCAATCTAAACAGACTTGAATTTCGTTGCCATTATTTATTCAAGCCCTGTTTCCATCTGGTCGAAACTGTTGTCAACAAGACTTGTTCGACAAAGTCAGTCTTTACTGATTACTAAGGTATATATCGCGACCGTTACGATCAAATGAAAACCAGGATTTGTTCTCGACGATGGCTTTTATTCAGCCTAATAATTGGGTAGTTAGTTATTTTTCAGCGTTTATTGTCACGTCTGACCACGCCCATCTTGGGAGAGCGTAGTTACATTGTTGTATTTATTAAGCCTGCGAGCAGGCTCTACATCGGGGCGGGCCTAGTTGCCTGCTCGCAGGCTATCAAGCCGAGCTCTCATGTGTCGAGATTTTGAACGTGCATAAATTAAAACTTTTATGTTGGTCACGTGACCAGCTAGAATATTTCCGTTTTTTCAATGGAACAAGGTTGTTGTCATGCCAATATCAGGATGTGTTCGCACTGCTTGTTCCCAGTTGTTGTGACAAGTCTCGAACAAGTTGTTAACACCTTGTTACAAGGTTGATGACGGTAACAGACTTGCTACAAGCGTGCTATCATCAACTTGTTAACAACTTGTTGCGAGTCTGTTGGCCTCATCAACCTTGTTACAAGATGATAACAACTTGTTCCAGACTTGTCAACAGCTGGGAACAAGCAGTGCGAACACATCTTGACAAGCTGTGAGATTTTCACGCGTGTAGTTTTAAGCAGATTTAACATCACGTGAACTCTTAGTACAGTCGCCTATTCAGTGTTATTCGAGGGGTTCATGAGAACTCCGCATGAGGACTCTCACACATGAGAACGAGGCCTAAGTAGTTCATTTGCTAAGCATTTGTATGATTAATAGAACATTAAGTTATTAAGTAAGTAGTGGGCGTAGTTAAGTAGAACTGTAATGAAAGCTAGTGTCTGGTGGCGTAAGGAAGAACTAAGACATGGGTTTTACTAAGCTATATCTCTTAATTCTATTTATTGACAGATTATGACTTACGATTCTAAGGCTGACGTTCACACTATACGGGCTAGCTTTCCATAGCGGCGCGAAAAAGCACCTATCCGATACGGAATGTACAAGTTTCAGAAGCTGAGCAAAACAACATCTCTCCGTTGCAATATCTGAAAATAGCGTTCCTAAAAGGCACGGTAGTTGTTTTTCACGTCGCTACGGAAAGCTATTCGATACTAGTGTAAACGTTACACTCGAATTTCGATGTACAAAACTCTTAGTGAAACCATCAATGTACTAGTGCTTCCCTGCCGCTCACCAGCACTGTTTTCAGATATGCAAGTTTGACTGACCATCATTCACACGAGTTTTTCTTCCATCAATTTTGACTGCATCGTTCTTTAAAATATCGCTTCTATTTCCCCCTTCGATAGTCAAATTCTGGAATTAAAGTCTGTTGTTCTGGATACATTTTAAATTGAAAAGAAATTTTTAAAGAACGAGACAATTTAGCGATAATTTATTAGTGGTCGTTTGTTTCGATTCTAGTTATAAAATACAATTTTTATGCAGAGGTTGGAAAACTTGGTGAATGAAATAAAATGGGTGCAACGAAGTTTAGCAATATGCTAGGCTGTATTTAGGTATTTATAACTGTAGAGCTGTTGTAGTTTGAATAAAGCGATGTGAAAAAATTCTTTGACTTTTATTTCGACTTGGAAATATGGGAAACATGGCTACGAAAACACTGTTTCCTGGTTTACCCATCTTCTGGAATTATAGCTAGGGAAGTTCCTGGTTTTCCCACCTTCAATGTTTCGTGGTTTGTCCACCTTCAGGAAACAATGTTTCTTGGTTTGTCCACCTTCAGGAAACATGGCTAGGAAACAATGTTTTCTGGTTTGCCCACCTGGGATTATAGCTAGGGACGTTCCTGGTTTTCCCACCTTCAATGTTTCCTGGTTTGTCCACCCTCAGGAAACATGACTAGGAAACAATGTTTCCTGGTTTGCCCACCCTAGGAAAACATGGCTAAGCAATAATGTTCCTGGCTTCATTTGTGTTAAATATAATTTAATAATAAATATTAAAATACTTTTCACAACATGGAATAAACTATAGATTGCGGTCTAACTTAAATACAGTTCAACTCAGTCGCTACTAAATCAGGCTACTTCGTTTTTCTGTGTGTAAGCCTTAACGAAGTAAGTCCGTTGGAATCTACAGATGAATCCGAGCTATTTCTGTTGAAAGTGGGAACATCGTTATGGATTTTTCCTTTATCATGTTCCAAAGACGAACACGATTCGTCCTCAGACGATTGCTTGCCCCTCGCTGCGTACGACTGCTTCAATCTTACGTCCAACACGAGAGGATCCAACTTGTAATAGTCTAAAAACGTCCTCGCTACGTTCCGACCCAATCGGTGATACGCTTCTTCGGTGTAAGGCGTATTCACTTGGCCATATCCTGTAATATAGCTTGCGAATGATACCTCGAGTGTGTAACAATGAGCTCGGGGGTTTAAGGCGTTCCCTAGAAAGCGTCTGCCTGTCCCAGCCTTTAATGCATCGCGGTTGAATGAGGTGTTGGACATTGAAAAGTCATCAGCATTACCATACAAGAGTCTAGGAAAGGCCATTTGTCTCTCGAATCTATCCTCATTGTCGTAGATGTTTCCATACATGAAGCTGTTGTTCAAGGTGGAATGAGCGTGGATATCAATAAAGAAATCGAGGTCGACGTTCCTGTTTTCATCTAAGGCCATGATCACATCTTTTGCTGCAGAAATGCTGGGATGTGCCCAAACCGTGGGCTCGTTCCAGTGACGGTTTAAATCGAAACCCATGAGAGAGGAGCGATAGTTTCCCAACACCACCCCGTCTGGGTTCAGCATTGGGATAATTTTAAATATGATGTAATCTCGAAGTACTTTGGCCATCGGATGCTGACTGACTAGGAAATCGATGATACCTTGACATACGTAGGATGCGGGTGTTTCACCTAGAATGAGAGAGGCAGTTCTTTAATTCAATTCATCTTGAATGACAAATGGACGTAATATCTCATGGACGTATTAATTTCCATGGACCTATTTCATGTGAGTTCACTTATATGCCTGGGGCGATTTATTTTCCAATAAGAATTCACGAAGGGATTGAACTCGGGCCCCATTATGGAGACCAGGTTGACTAGAACTGAGAAATCTTTCCGAGCATGATAAACTTTTCATGAATTTATTCCGAACACGTTTTAAGACGGAAAATGTTTCTATTTTCACAGTCTGCAAAACGATATTTCATGCATTTTACACACGTTTTATGATGATCTGAAAACCACAGGATTTGGTAGATTTTATGTCATGGATGAAAACACTAAGAGGTTTCGGCCCATCCTCCCCCCCCCCCAAGTCCTTCTCAGTTTTGAAAGGATTACAAAATTGGTCATGAAGAAAAATGCGATCTGGAGTCTGGATGTTTCACACCAGACTTGATTTGCTGAAAATGGTGACTCGAGCCGGAGTCAGTGACTCGTTAATACAACACTACAGCGTCATAGTCGGAAGAGATTATTTCGCTGGCCTCAGAGTGACAAAACGTAACAAAGCAACGGGTTTACTAACACTAACCCTACTCCAAACACCAACTCTAACCCTAATCCTTACCCTAACCTAACCCTACTACAAATTTGTTTCTAAACCAATTTTGAAGAAAAAGGTTTTGACGAAATGTCATTCTGAGGTGAGCGAAATAGTTGATGCCGTCATTGGAAGCCGTCATAGACTACCTGGATGAACTCTAGCAGTAAAAAAGACAACTCTCTTTCGTTGGTTGCCACCATTTCCTTTCGATGTTATCGTCAAGAGATCGACTTTTCTTTGCTGAACTGACAGACACAACTGCTTTCTTTGAAAATAGTCCATCCCACGCCTTTGCAATTGATTCAAATATTTCTGCAATCGCGTGTAGGTATAGGGATATGAGTACGCGAACTGATACATGTCCTCGTCTTTGTCGAAGCAAAATGCAAAAGACATGACATAGTTCTTTCTGTGATCTGGACAACGGTAGTAAAACACATTCTTTGCTGCGATCCTTTGCCATTTCGGTCGACTTGAGGATTTCACAACGGGGCTCATTCCCTCTCGATATAAACTTTTGGTTTTACTGAAGTTCACAATGTTGAAAATGACTCGCTGGTACGCTGATACATTCTTCACTGTGAAATTGAACCAAACTCGAAATCTATTCAAATGCAAAAGGTGTTGTTTTAAAAATTAAAATGGCCAGGTTTATAAGAAAGCATCGATTTCAGGTAACTTTTCAACACGCTGTTCCCAAGTTTGTGCGACCTTGCCAATTATGTTAAGTTCGGCGTGAACTTCGCAACGAAGTTCGCAAGTTCATTTCAAAGTTCGAACTTTGATTGTAAACAAATGTTCATAGTTGGAGTTGAAATTACTGTATAAGGCCCTATGCACATATTACTGCAGTAAAATGTTGGTCCAGTGGTTTCCCAAGACGAAAAATGCCTTTATAATACAGTAATTTGTAAACAAATTTTTACATTTGTTTACAATCGAAGGTCAAACTTTGAAATGAACTTGCGAACTTCGTTGTGAAGTTCACACCCAACTTCCGAATTTGGAAACGTAATTGGCAAGTTGACAACAAACTTGGGAAACGCGCTTTGAAAAGTAATATGAAATCGACAATAAAAGTTAATCTTGAACTGACTTTGCCAGTGTTGGTAGTGGCAATCAAATGAACAAGCTTTCGTTGGTAGGGATCAACTACCTGAAAATATAAGGAGAATTTCGACGTTACGAGCGAAGGCCTCTTGTCTGGAGTTACTAACGAAGGGCCTTCACTCAAAACATCGAAATTCTCCCTTTATATTTTCAGGAAGTTGCAACCCTTTGAAAGTTACGCTGAAGAAAAGTGACCATTCTTAGCAATGTTGTCTCTGTCATAAAAAGCATAGACTGTATCACAGACCTAACCTGTAATTCGATAGCCCGCATAAAAAAAGCGATCCATGTATAAATACAATGTGTAAGGGTTTAATATTTTATTTTGAATAGAGAAACGGTCGTTCTCCTAAAAGTTCCACCAGTTTCGCTCCATTTCTTTTGTATGTTTTCTGCTACATACTGTTTTCTGCTACAAACTGTGCATATTATAGAATACTACACTCGCTAGAAAGCCAGCTGTACTGTACATTCGGTTTACTGTTTACATAGCAAAGTACTGACTGTACTGTATTTTGTATACATAAACTTTTAGACATAAGATTTTGAAAGCACAGATTTCAGTCTGTCTTTAGTATGTATTAAAAGAAGATAAAACAGACAATAACCTTGCGTTACAAGTGTCCGGTCGGACAAAAAGATCATACTCAAAATCATTTATCAAATCAACACGACCCAGATTCCCACTTTCAAAATTTGCGTCAAAAATTAGAATCCCTTTCCGCTTCTCGCCATTATAGCCCGCTGGTTCAGCGACATAGTCAGAGACATTTCCAAGCGGTTCTTCTGAGCTCTTCGACATGGCGTCTTGTTCTCGTTCAATATCATTATTTCCCAAATTAATCTCGTAATCTGACATATGTGCTCGAGCCGCCATCTTGGAATGCCCTCGTTGTCATAACGACGCCTACATCTTTAGGTTTGACAGGTGTTGCGGGCGTTGCTAACTAAATTTCCACTTTGAAAAATCAGATAAAAATTAGAGTTTAATTTGAATATAAAACATATAATGAAATAATTTCACCGTTTTTAGCGTAGAACCTGAATAAAATGGACCTAAAATAAGACAAACATACTTTAAACTGCACTTTACGAATAAATAGGGCTGCAGGATTGATTGTGCATAACAAGTTGTGAGAAAAATTCATTTAAATATTTTTGGGAAATTTTCTATCATTGGCCAATAAAAATGCAAACAATTAGAAATTACTTGACTAAGAAACGTTAGAAATTTAAAGTTATTGAATAAATCAATACACAACAGTTTAAATTTAAAATCTACGAATTATTTTTGCAATATTCTTCGATTCTTTAAAGAAATTTCTTTTAAAGTGGAAAATACATCATTCGAATGCCCCTCGATGTACCCGCGAAACCCCGTTCTTCCTCCAAAAAACAATAAAACATGGAAAAATTTTAGAAGATAAAATTTGTAAAACTGTTTGAAATATGGCCAAAACATCGAAACGAAAAGCTAAAATGAATGAAAAGAACAAGGAGAAGAGCAGGGGAAGCAGTACTAATCCAGGTTTGTGTTTATTTTGTCCGGGGAATTTGTAAAAAGCGAGTAAAATATGTTATTTTTTATCAAATTTGACACGTGCGTTTGGGTGTCGTTGGAAAAGATGTAGCAATTAATAGAAGTGAGATATTCGGAGCTCATTGTTATAAAGTTGAAAATGAATTATTATGTGCAAGGTGACAACCCCATTTGGCCCTTGACCACAAACTTATTCTGGATTGCCCCCCCCCCCCCCTGTCCCCCTCGACCCTACCCACCTCACCCCACCCCCTACCCCAGTCAAAGTCCTGTTATATAGAAATGTCAGTATTCATCTAATTTATTCAGTCATTTGTAATCCCTCGTTCACTGAATGGGTCATTCCAGAAAATATGGTAAAATTCAATGGATCATCTCAGCTATAGGCGAAATTTTGATCTTGACAAGAAAAACGAAACCATTACCATGGCTGGGACGAGCATCTTAAAATGAGTAAAATTGCAAAGTTTGGTTGCGAATTGTTGTAAAATGAAGAAAATATAGCCCTGTGAAGTTCGCAAATTTTGTGTATATTTGCATTACGCGCGGGAAAGATAACCATTTTTTACCGCGCGTAATAAAAATATATACAAAATTTGCGAACTTCACAGGGCTATATTTTCCTCATTTTACAACATTTAGCAACCAATCTTTAATGCACAGTTTTACTCATTCTAAGACGCTCTTTCTAGCTGTGGTGTTGGATTTCATTCTTCTTGCCTTGATCAATACTTAGTCTATGGCTGGAATAACTCATTATTTCCAACAGATACTCACAGCAAGAAAGACGGCGGGCAGAATGCAAGATCAAAGAACATAGTTTCAAGATTAAATATGTATCGCGATGAAGGAAAACCAACTAGGAACAGACATGGCAAAATTGTGAAAGCCGCTGCATTTCAATCGAGAGCTACTCCGGGCGAAGTGGCTCGTGTCGAGCCCAACAGAAAATGGTTTGGTAAATACGCTTTTATCTCTTTGTGAAAACCATTGAGAGCCAGCACTTTCTCCTTGATGAGTACAACCATTGAGAGCCAGCACTTTCTCCTTGATGAGTACAACCATTGAGAGCCAGCACTTTCTCCTTGATGAGTACAACAAGTGAGAGCCAGCACTTTCTCCTTGATGAGTACAATCATCTGGCGTTAGACAGAGTAAAAGAATAAAAATACCTGACATTAATGGATGACATTATATTCATATTAATGAGCTTACATTTTTTTATATTTTTTGTTGATACACTAGGTAATACCCGTGTTATTACCCAAAATGCTTTGCAAACATTCCAAACTGAAATGGGAAGAGTTATGAAAGATCCATATAAGGTAGGATCATCTTGTCTCTTTATTGCTTGCGGCAAGAAATTCAACTTGTCAACTTCCGTCTATATTGCCCATGGACGGCGCAGGTGGCTGATGCAGTTAGTAATCTGGCGGCTGAGTTAACCCATTATAACGACACGCTCGTCGGGCAAAAAATATGTAATTCAGAAAAGAAATACGAAAATATTACTGAAAAATTATACAAATTTCGGTAAGTTAGTGAAAAATGGTATGTCCAAAAATTATTTTCTCTGCCCCTCTGCCAACAATTTTGGGAAAAGCAATATCAATTATATTGTCTGATATGTCTGTCTTTGCCACACCCTTTTGGTTGGGCAAAACAAGCTCACACCTCCCCAGCCATATTATCCAAGTTGCGGCCCTGGTCAAAACTCAGTTTTCAAATACCAAAACTCAGTTTTCAAAACCAGAACTCCCTTTTCAAATGCCAGAACTCCTTTTCAAATGCCAAAACTCCATTTTCAAATGCCAGAACTCCCTTTTCAAATGCCAAAACTCAGTTTTCAAATGTATCAATTATATTGTCTGATATGTCTGTCTTTGCCACACCCTTTTGGTTGGGCAAAACAAGCTCACACCTCCCCAGCCATATTATCCAAGTTGCGGCCCTGGTCAAAACTCAGTTTTCAAATACCAAAACTCAGTTCTCAAATGCAAGAATTCCTTTTTCAAATGCCAAAACTCTTTTTGTTATAACAGATGATAATGAAGCAGAGCAAATTGCCGCTATCTCTACTCCATGATAAAACCAAGGTATGGTATAAATATCTTCATTATCAGTCAAGCTATACATTTTATAATTATCATACACTGTACTGTAAATCCAGGGATGGCTTTGATCGCTTCTTTTTTAGACATCAAGAGTGCATTTACTGGATACAGAAAGCTTTAGTACGACATTTGGTCCCAAAGCACAAAGGAAACGACCAGCGATAATTGCGGCTGACTTGGAGGTACTTTAATAGCAGAATTTGAAATTGCCAAGTGAATCTTTAAAGTTTCATTTCTGAAATAATCTTGTGCTTTTTAGGCTCTAGTCACTCATGTCCAGGATTCTGCAGGTAATAACCACTTAGCTCCGTGTATATCTGGAGCAAGAGACAAACTAAAATTTGTAAACTAGATTAAATTGGTATTAAGGTGGCTCTTTCATATTTAGGTAGCTATGACTCAAATAAGGATCAAGATCTTACTAAAAATGAACCAGACTCAAAGTAAGTTAATCTACAGTATACAGCCAATTCAAAAAAGGTTGTCCTTTGCAAACCTTAAACTCTAAGTATACAAAGCTTAATGGGAGCACAAGTTTCAAGCTTAATTGCAGCTATTGGTGAATACATGATTGTTCTTGTAAGGGGATATTTACCATGTCTCTAAGAAATGGGCCCCATATATGATTAAATGATGCTCCCATTATGCTTTGCACACTTAGAGTTTAAGGCTTACATCTAGGGATGAGCCGATTAATCGGTAAATAATCGGCAAAGCCGATTAATCGGCCGTTTTCTAAAGAATCGGTAATCGGCCGATTATTGCCTGATAATCGGCCATAAGACTTTTTCTGCAGCTGCCAATCACATGCTAAAATACTGAATACAAGCGAATAGATTTTCACATTTTGTTGCAAAACCTGTGTCTTTTGTCTCAAACGAAGTGAAGCAGGGAACATTTCCACTAAAAAAACGCAGCAGACTAGCTCCGCATAGCTGACAATGTCTTGTTTTTACACCATAATCTGCCAAAACTAAACTTTGACTACTGACATGCGAGACTGAAGCTGTTTTTAATTGTACAAAGTGTGTATTGTAAACAATAAAACCGCATTTACAACTTTATTGTTGGTCATCTTGTGATTTTTCGCTTGCTTTTTAAAATAATCGGTGGGTACCGATTAATCGGCCGATTAGTTACAATAATCGGCTTATAAATAATCGGCCTCAGTAATCGGCAATTTTCCTTATCGGCTCATCCCTACTTACATCCTTCCAGAAAGCATTTCACCATTGGATGGCTATAGAGTCTTGTGATTGAGACGTTTGTATTTAACTGACATGACGTGCATCAAAACAAGGCTCTCCAGCCAAAGTGACATACTTTCAGATATATTGTGGTAATTGTACAGTAAACCCAGTCAATGTTTCAAATTTTAGATCGCTTGCATTGGAATCTGTCTTCAGTAAAGGACAATCGAAAAGGATTTGGAATGAGTTATACAAAGTAAATACATTTTATTAAAACAACCTTATGTTATGTTCTTAAGATTTGTTGTTAATTAATTAAACATGATTTAAAATATTGTCTGTCTTCTTGTCCAGGTTATTGATTCCTCAGACGTCCTACTACAGGTAGGTTTACAAGTAGAACTTCAATGTTTCGATCGAGTAATTAATAGCCCTTCGTCACTAGGTTTCCATGGCATTAAAATAGAGTGCATTATCAAAAGGCTAAAAAGTCAGAATGTCTGCAGTATTATCATTAGGGAGCCATCCTAATGTTGAAAATAATTTGACAGAATTATCGTAAAAACTAGCATCAAGTATAATTCACATATTTCCCTGTAGGTTCTAGATGCCAGAGATCCCCAAGGAACAAGATGCTTACAAGTTGAAAAATATTTGTCAAAAGAAAAATCACATAAACATCTTCTTTTTGTTTTAAATAAATGTGATCTGGTCCCAACATGGGTGACAGTAAGTCTGCATGCTGATTTTGTTTCAGTTGTGTGAGAGAACTGCACAGTTTGATTCTACCAAACAGAATGGCTGCATACAGAAGTTTAGTTTAGGTTTCCTCCTGTAGTAATACTAGATCAATAAGAGATATTCCTAACTGGTCAAACTGGAACTCTAGGGAGAACAGTTTAGAACTGATAGAGCTATTCAGTATCAATAAAGTTAGTTTAGTTTACAAGGTTTTTTTTCTGCTGTAGTAACACTGGATCAATAAGAGATGATCTTTACTGGTCTTCTAGGAAGAACAGTTTAGAACTGATAGAGTCATCCAGTATGAATAACGTTAGTGTAGGTTTCCTTCTGTAGTGACACTGGATGATTATTTTCATTGTGTAGCAACATTGGGTGACCATCCTTTCTTCAGAGTATCCAACACTCGCTTTCCACGCTAGTCTGACAAACCCTTTTGGAAAAGGAGCCTTGATCAACATGCTCCGTCAGTTCTCTAAGGTATTAACACCACGTCTTAGAAATGTGAAAGATCTTAGCGTTTGAAGCCGTACAATCTACACATGAAAAACCAGCACTAATGTTTTGTCAGGGTCACCACGCTTCCCTTTCAAGCTGGCAGACCCGAGTTTAATCCTTGGTTGGACCTCTACTCGAGGTCTTACAGTGAAAATACAAAAAGTGTCCCACTTCCGCTTCTGTAGTTTGTTGTGATTTACTGTAATTTGTTCTGTTTTTCTGTAGCGATTACCGATTTATCGGTAAATACCGCGATAAAACTTAGTTTTTTCTATTTTTAAATATGATAATTTGTAGCAAAGGGAAATAATACATTTTTCGTGAGTTTCATTGCATAAAAGGAACGAAATTTAAATTTTATCGCAGTATTTGCCGATAAATCGGTAATCGCTACAGAAAAACAGAACAAATTGCAGTAAATCACAACAAACTACAGAAGCGGAAGTGGGACACTTTTTGTATTTTCACTGTAAAATAATCATGGTTAATACAATAGATGGTTTGGAAACTCATTAGAATAACAATATAACTCGTTATCTATGTTAGTCAATGTTTATTCATAAATCTGGTCGTTCACTGTCACGTGCTTATTGTATTTTTGCCCAACTAACCAATAGCAATGTTTTAGGAAAGTTACCTATCCATGACTCGAACAATAGGGTAAATTGAAAATTGCTATTGGTGGATTTGGCAAAAATACAATACGCACATGACGGTGAAGGACCATATTTATGAATAAACGTTGACTAATATAGATAATGAGTTATATTGTTATTCTAATAAATTTCCAAACCATCTATTCTATTAACTATGAAATAATTGAGGAGAAAGAGCTACTTTTATGTTGACATCAGTAAATGGTTAGACGTTCCCGTTAAAATCGTAGGTACCTCGGATCTCCTATGAATTAGCCATTCCGAAGTTGATGAGAGGACTGGGGACGAGTGTTAAAAAGTGCCCAAATTAAGAAATGAACCAAATGACTAAAAAGACCACCTCAAAATTAGTAAGTATACAAAGTTTGAAAACGTTTACATGAATACCCTTCGAATAATAAGCTTTCGAAAATTGTGAAATTACTGATTAAAAGATTGTTTTTGAGACGCCCTCCCAAAAACAAAAATTACAATACATTTCATAGTAAATATCACCATTTTCGAAAGCTTATTATTCGAAGGATATTCGTGTAAACGTCGTCAAACTTTGTATACTTACTAATATTGAGGTGGTCTTTTTGGTGATTTGGTTCATTTCTTTATTTGGGCACTTTTTAACGCTCGTCCTCAGTCCACTCATCAACTTCGGAATGGCTAATTGGGCAATAGCGTGTTGAGAAATCCGCTGACCAATGAGTGAGAAAGTCAACAAACTATGAAACTAAACTAATCTTAAACGTCTTTACGTAATATGTTTTTTTACAGCTCCACAGTGACAAAAAGAATATCAGGTTAGAGTTGGCAACAATAGAAATCTACACACTTTCCAAGAAAATTAATTGCATCTTTCATTTCATGATCTTTTCTTTCGATTTTTAGCATTGGTTGTATTGGATATCCCAATGTAGGCAAGAGTTCCATCATTAATACATTACGGTCGAAGAAAGTTTGCAATGTCGCGCCCATTGCTGGCGAGACCAAGGTAGGTTTGCTGCTTGTTAAATGTCATGTACAGTAGGTGACAACTACTGCATTCTTGATATTTGTCTCTTTGTGTACTGATGAATAATTCTCTTACAGGTTTGGCAATATGTGACACTAATGCGAAGAATATATCTGATTGACTGTCCTGGTGTTGTTTACCCATCAGGGGATTCCCCAACTGACATTGTTTTGAAAGGCGTGGTGGGTACATGAAATTTAGGGATTCGTTGAGCTATCCAGTATAAATAAAGTTAGTTTAGTTTAGGTTTAAAACAACGGTAACTTCGAAAATAAACATTTTAATATTCTAGCTTTCGACTTAGATTCAGTCATCATCAGGAATGATTCCTATGATTCCTGATGATGACTGAATCTTGGTCGAAAGCTAGTGGTTTCCGTAATAGTTTAGGTTTCCTCCTGTAGTAACACTGGGTCAATACGAGATGATCCTTACTGGACCTCTGGGAAGAACAGTTTAGAACTGATAGAGCTATCCAGTATAAATAAAGGTAGTTTAAGTTTAATTTAGGTTTCCTCCTGTAGTAACACTGGATCAATACGAGATGATCCTTACTGGACATCTATGAGAAACTCTGTATAAATGAATGAGCAAAAATTATGTTTTTCTGTTTTTTAATTGTTAGTGAAAGTTGTTAACTACATTTTCTCCAGGTTCGTGTTGAGAATGTTGAGAATCCGTCTGACTATATCGAAGCAGTTTTATCCCGAGTGAAGAAAGAATATCTGGAGAAGACTTACAAACTTTCGTCTTGGTCGGACGCGACGGATTTTCTGGAAAAACTTGCCGCTAAAAGTGGAAAATTATTAAAGGTAATCTTGACCGAGAGCTCTAACCAACTGAGCTACAGAGTCCAGGAAGAAAAGAAACTGAGTATCTTTTCTGTCATTCAGGGCGGTGAAGCGGATATTAATACTGTTGCCAAGATGGTGCTGAATGATTTTCAGCGAGGAAAATTGCCTTATTTTGTCTCACCCCCATCTCAGGTAAGTTTATAATATATTAGTGAAGGCAGTGTCAGAAAGCTTTATTTCTATACTCGTGAATTTGTGAGAACAAGTTGTGTGTAGATAATATGGAGGTTAAAGCTGGAGTTACACGAGCAACAAAATTGCTGCAACTTGCAACAAAATCTGATTTCAACGCATGTTAAGTAGAAATGTCGACACATGTTGCCTTGTGATTTGTAATTTATGTGTAAACATTTTCAATTAACATGCGTTGAAATCAGATTTTGTTGCAAGTTGCAGCAATTTTGTTGCTCGTGTGACTCCAGCTGAAGCAAACGACGTTTTTTGTCAACATGGATGTCAGATTGCCGCGGGAGGGACTGGATTTAAACTGTGTTTGTATCAGTTTGTGGTAATGTTCAATACATATGACAAAACATAAGATTTTTAAAGTTTTTTGCTTCCTTACATGAGCACTATGATGCAAAATACCGCCAAAATTAGTTCTACCAATTTTCGGGTGTTGACAAAAAACGTGGCTTGCTCAAGTTCCCTAATAATAAACCAAGACTAATGTCTGGCTGCTATAAATGGTGGAGTTTTCCTAATGTTTCCCTAAACATTTCTCATGTTTAATTAGCAGGGCACGTCAGAAAAAGATAAGAAAGAGAAGACGACGCGGATACCAGCGTTGGAAGAAAGTTTTGTGAAAAGCTCCACTCACAGTTCTTCACTTGACATTGCCAGCCCAGCTCATGACATTTCTCATGATCATCATAATCTCAAAGATGATTCTGGTGACGTCACTACGAATAGCGATGACGTTAGAATCAATATGACTGATGACGTCACCAACATTAATATCGATGACGTATCGGGGTCCGAATCCTTAATTGTGATGGACAACGATGACGTCACGGCAAACAAGCCTGATGACGTCATGAGTGACTTGTCAAACAAGACTGATGACGTTATGAGTGACTTCGCAAACAAGACTGATGACGTCATGAGTGACTTCTCAAACAAGAGTGATGACGTCATGAAAAATATTGATGACGTCACAGATGATGAAATTGAACTGGAAGATAAGGCAGATAACTGTAACAATGCCCTAGCTACTGATTCAGCTGACAGACCGACTTTCAAAGTGAAGCAAGATTTGAGAAAGATCAGAACTACGGTTGAATTTGTTGTCGAAGATGTGCGAGGTATAGAGAGTGATGAGGGGGACCTAATTAATAGTGAGGGCGAGGAAGAGAAGCGGAATTGGAAACTAGACGAGAGTAATGGTGACGATGATAATATCGATAATAGTATCGATGATGATATCGATAGTGATATTGATGATAATATTTGTAATGATGGAGACCACGATGATAATATTTGTGATGATGATGATGATATTGGTGATTATATTGATTATATTGATGATAATGATAGTGAGATTGAAGTGAATTGGAAACAAGCATTGAAAGATGATGCGACAGTGGTTCCATTTCAAAAGAAGAAACTTTCAAAAGGTCGGTGAATGATCTCAGTACACACACGTAGAAACGCACAAGTTGTAACAAACCTGCAGCAGACTTGTAGCAATGCTGTTCCAACAACTTGTCAAGAGGATGTGTTCGCACTGCTTGTTCCCAGCTTGTTGACAACTTGCTACTGTACAAGGTTGTTGAGCTCAACAGACTTGTTACAAGTTGTTCCAACAATTTGTTGTCGTCTTGCAGTTCAACAATTTGTCAGCAAGTTGTGAGTGACAACCTTGTAGCAACTTGATAAAATAGCAGCATTGTTACAACTTGTTGACAAGCTTGCTACAAGCCTGTTGCGAACACATCTTGTTGACAAGTTGCGAGATTTTTCCGCGCAATAACTAATCTTTACTCTGTTTAAACTTGAATTCAGGCAAAAGAAATAAAATCAAAGTTGTGGGCGAATTGAAAGGAGAAGTGATCAAAACTCCGTCCAAAGAATTTGTCTTCAAAGAATCATCAGAAATATATATTGTGGAGGCTGTTGATACGAAAAAAGGTAGGAAATTCTATTTCGTTTTATGAGAAAACTCGCAACAATAGTTGAGAGTATCTTTTCCTTTTAAAATGAGATGACATAGCAATCAAGGTTATGTAACGTATGCATGTACTGGACATATATATCGGTGTATTTATGAATTATGATTGTAAGACTCATCCGATTTTGCTCTTCATTCCATTACCACAAAGTTTCTTTCAAAACATTGCATTATTAAAGGGTACTTGACATGGAGATGAATGGCGCCGTATAACTGTTTCAATTTTACAGAGAAAATATTTCTTGCAAAGTGTAGACATTGTCAATTGAATTTAATGTTCCTACGATTATATACATGTTGAATCTCTATGATATTCATACTATAAGTAATTGATAAATATTTTTGTGTTAATACATTCGGACACCTCTCTAAAATGGACACTTACAACTAGAATATTCTGCATATATATGGGATAATACTATTATTAGTTTATTTTGTTTATTACTATAAATAATTCACCAAGGTCGCCAAATTCTTGCGTTAGCGGTAGTGTCGGTTCTTGATGTTTCACAGCTGATATTTTGTCCATTTCTCGCTGATAACATGTTTTCTTTTTCGGAATTTTGAAATTGTTCGTTCGCTTCAATTTTACAATTTTGACTCGGTGTTTCCACATGTATTTCGCTAGAATTCCCAACTCTGGAACAATTATCATAAATTATGTTCTCGGTACGAGCTTGAAAGGGAGTGGGACTAGGAATTTCATAACTTCGGGTCGGACTGTGCTCGTGTCCTTGTCGGTAGGTCGTCGTTGAGACTTCGGGATGTGTTCGTACAGCTTTGATATATCTGACTGCCATATCTAAGATGTCTGCCTTCTCCATTTTATTATAAAGAGAAACCTAAGGTAGAAAGAAACTTGTTTAGTAATAGGTTTAGTTGGTTACCTCCGCCAGGGTGTTTTGCTTTCATACACGTTGATATCTCAAAAACTATCAAATACGATAATATGTGGGACTGTATAATGGACATTGCACAAGGACAAATTGATTAAATTTTGGTTAAACTAAGATGAAAGTTAGATGAGATGAAAGTTAGATGAAAGTTAGATGCGCCATTAGCCGTTGTATAATTTGTGCATGAACGCCTTGAAACCGCTCTTTTCAATACTACGGAAATTGATGATTTTTTTTCAAGTGTTTGAAATATATGAAGTCGAGCCGAAGTACGTAATATAGCGGCACGTGTCAATGAATAATATGTAGTGCATATAATACCCTTGCGCATATACTCTTTCACTTTTTAATCTCATTGAAACCTCAGTTGTATAATGTTAAGCCGATTGAAATATACGTAAAGTTAACAATATTCAACAATCTTTATTATATTTGCACAAAAACATTGCATACATCTTAGGATTACCGCATCCCCCCCCCCATGTAGATAGATTGCATCAATAATCTTGATCAGTTTATGACCAGTTCATAACTGATAATCACAATCTTTTAAAATGATGTTTGTGGTGTTACTCTGAGTGTGCATCCACGCCGGGCAAGCTGAAAAGTTTCCCTGACCACGGTCGGAATCGAACCCACGACCTTTGGGATACTAGTTCAATACTCTACCAACTGAGCTACGCGGTCAATGTATTCTAAGAAATATCACCAACTCGAACCGACTTGACGTCGTAGCTCAGTTGGTAACTTGGCAGAGCATTGGACTAGTTTCCCAAAGGTCGCGGGTTCCATTCCCACCGTGGTTAGGCAAACCTTTCAGCTTGCTCGGTGTGGATGCACACTCAGTAACATCACAAACATCATATACACAAAGTTTTAAAGTGATGTTGTCGGTTCTATTAGCATTTATCTACATATATTGTAAAAAGAGATTGGTTAAAACAACCAACACATTGGTTATCTCAGATTCAAAGTGTTTGTTTTTATAGAGTGTATACTTATACTTTAGCTTATATAAATTCTATTTTAAACATAATTTAGCTTATATAAATTCTATTTTAAACATAATCTAAACTATTTAATGTACAATATTGTAGAGCTTGATTTAAAAACATCTATCATTGTATTCTATATTTCCAATCCTCTTTTCATGAAATGACAACAATTCTGTTTCAATTCATTATTCTGACAATCCTACAATTAGACTCTTTGAAAACAAAAGCCCTGCAATATGATTATCCTTCAAACGCTGAACAAACAACGCGTAATAACTCGTGTAATCTGTACACAGGAACCAACTGGTAATTTTCACTGAAGCGTTTTCTTCAACAGGAAATTGACCAGTGGGTGTATTGCGTTATTTCCGCTTGTTTAAAAACTTTGGTGGGAAAATTTGAGCTTTGAGGTGTGGCCCTACTTACACAAGGCGAAATAGACCGTGCATTTCAAGGTTTAGCCCAGAATAAGGTTCTGCAACAGCTTTGTGTGTTAGATCTAGTGGAATTAGGTTTTATATTGAATGGGGTAACCACGAGCGTATAAAACATACTCAATGTGATATTGAACTGATTAAATATGTGAAGTGTCCCTACAGCGTGTTTATCCGTTAACTTGTCTATGGCGGCGGCAAGTTTGAATATTTGAATTGCGAAAGCCGTTGCTTGCTTTAAGCTCAGATATGAAGTGAGGATGTATTTTTTTGGCTGGTTAGAGGGATTTTGTGCATGCCGTTCTTTGATTGTGTTCCTTCTTCCTAGGGGGCTCGTTAATGTGAAGTTTTGACATCGCCTGGATTCTGCCTGCTCAGTGAACCCTTTGCTAAACACGGCGGTGTAATATATTTGAGATGTCGGGGATTACAATGTGGTTTCATACCTCTTTGTTGAGTGCAGATAACACCAAACGCTTTAGCTCTTCTAAATAATTGTTTATCTTTCGTCGTCGAACTCTTTCCATCAGAGGCTTCTTGTTTTTCTGTGTAGAGAATTACCCGGAGTTATCTCGAGGTCTAACGAACATTAGGAAACTGCTAACTCTATATATTAACACATGCTCCAGTAGGGTACTATGGCTGAATATTAACCCGCTCCCTTAATTATTAACGTTGAAGGAAACGCCATTAGGTTATTTATTGCTGTAACGATTACTGAGCAAATCATGCTGAATCATTTTTGAATATTTAATTAGCTCATGAAATGTTAGTCGAGCAGCTGTCATGCTAAGCATGCAGATACGAACTTCTATGAAAGCAGTCTTACTGCTAATACAGTCAGCGTGATGTAGCAGTAAGCTTAAATTCCCATGTCGTTCCTAAGATGATGTTGTCGGTTAAAAATTTTAAATTACATGCAAAACAACGGTGGAGCATGCGAATTGTATGACCCCTGTATTGAACTGCTCTTCTTTACAAATCCCTGGGATAGCCCAAAATTAAGTTGTCGTTGATAAATGAAACGAGATTTATTAACGAGACCTTTCGATTCAGTGCTGGTGTGTACTTCAAGTTTACAACCAGCATCAATGTATAAGAGGATACTGACCTTTAAAACACCAGCTTGGCCGTGATGGTTTGGATTCACCTTGTCATCCAAAGACCTCTTGAGCTGTTCTAACCCCATTATTGTGTGAGTTAAGTTTGTGGTTAAATATGCTTTGTGTAGTGTTCACCTCACTTCGGCAGGATCACAGCAACTGAGGTTCGACTCTCAAGGACAACCACTTAACCGTTGTCTGCTCGTGCCCTCGCGTGGACGTATCATGCTGAAAATGAGCACACGCCATTCACCCACGCGAGAGGAAATACCAGTACATGCTCTACTAAAAATACATTCTGATTGGCTGACTTCCTGCGCACCTTGCTTTTGATTGGTTGATTCTGACCTACCATGGCTAAGGCCATATCTATCTTGCATCTGATTGGTTAACTTCCTGTCTTCCTTGCATCTGATTGGCTGATTCTAGCATGATAATTGGTTAGGGTTCAGTAACCCTTTCCTTATATTTATTGGTTGTTTGAAGTGTTGTAATTTTTGAACGATTTGAAATTCGTAACGATTTTTACTGGTGATTGTATATATAGCTCGCGATGTCATGTGATGACTGACTGAAGATGGTGATGGCTCCAAGCAGGCGGGACGTTAATTATCTACTTTGTAAATAGTTAAGATTAGAGGAAGAGACTTTAGGAAAATAGCAAATAATGACGCAGGTTCACACTGCATTTAGGTAGATATTATTATTGCGCCATTGTATCAGCCCCTGTGACCTGATACTTCGCAACCAATTTGAAATAGCCATAAAGTGAATGTGTACAATTATACAAAGTCTGCAGTCATTCAGAGATGCAGCTTTGACAGTACAAATGAAACAAACAGTCTGCCTTATCCTAGGACTGGATCAATCTACTTCACTAGGTTATCCAGTATTATCATGTGAGCAAAATAAAGCAGAATATGGTTGGCTACTCATGAATTATTAATGAGTTTGAGATATACAATTAAGATACATACTTTCTGTCTGTGTTGGTGTTATGTACTCAGGTGAATATAATGTTTGTGATGTTACTCTGAGTGTGCATCCACACCGGGCAAGCTGAAAAGTTTGCCTGACCACGGTGGGAATTGAACCCGCGACCTTTGGGATACTAGTCCAATGCTCTATCAACTGAGCTACGAGGTCAAGTCGTTTAGAGTTGGTGATATTTCGGAACTGAGTCTAGTTCCTTCGATATCAATATATTCTAAGATATGATACTTTTTGTGTGTGTTGGTGTTACGTACTCAGGTGAATATGGTGTTTGTGGTGTTGCTGATATGATGTAATGTAATGTAACTATAACTAGTTATATTACATCATATCTTTATGCTATAATTCTATTATATATCTTTATGACTCGATCTTTAGTTTATTGGGGTTTTTCATTGTTTTTTTTGTTGTAAACTTTGCTAGAAGCTGGAGACAATAGATTCAATCAACCATGCGGTGTCCCATTATACACAACCAATATGCATAGTATAAAAAGTGCATGGCTTTCAGCCTTAAAATATAAGACGAATATCTATATTTAATATTAAATGATATTGGGTGGATTGCAGGTGGCCTTTTATATCACTCATTTTTTAGTTGTTTTTTATGCAAGGCTTTGAACCATGTCAAGCAACCAAAGGCTTTCCTTGACCTTCGTTTTCTCGCAAGTTCGCCAAATTACAAATAATTGATCGTATAGATTTTTTATTTAACCATCAAGATATTTTTTCTTATAATGGCTACGCAAGGTAGAGCAATTATGTCTCTAGTTGCAAAATATAGTTATGATGTTCTGATAATATTTGAAACTCATTTAAAGTAAGCTACCACTATTAGCTTGTTACAATTACAAATATTATTTATAAAATTATCTCCAATATTAGTGAGCTTTGCTTTGGTGCAGGACATTGAAAAATGTTGTGATATGATAGCGTACAAAGTGCAGCTCAGTAACTATAGGAATTGTATATTCAGATATTGAAGATTTTGGTCACGAGATAAGGTGTGTTCTGGGCTATTCCTGTATTCCTGTGGGCGGGGACTGCTTGTATACCAATAAGCCGGACAGTTAGGGTTGAGCAGGCATGAAAACAGTAATTAAACACTTAGATTCTGGACTATAAATATATTCTTATCGTTTAAAATATGTGAAAAGGCACGAACATTTTTTTTGAATTTCAATGAATTTCTTTCAAACAATTGTATTAATTAATTATATATAAATTTAAGCTGTTCGTATACATCCCTTCCACATGCAAGGTAATACAGTAAGCATTATACGAGGCAACTGAGAAAGCATATCAACTGTACTCATGTCTCTAGAAATGTCGACACTTCTACGAGCAAGTATAAAAATATAACTTCTCCTCTCGTTTTATTTACTTCCTACCTTAAATGAACCCCTTTCCACGTCTGAGAATTGTCGTTCAGCAAGTGATTGTCAATTATCAGATTGAGAAAATATAAGTTGAGTCTCCCTGTTATTCCATTTTAATTTATTGTATGCATGCATGCATGCAGAAGTATAAATCATTGAATATTAAATAATTGAATGTTAATTGTAATGTTAGCATACAATATCATTTGTTGTATTTATACTAGCCTGGCTTGCATTTAAGGAAGGGAAAAATGACCTAATACTCGGGCTATATATGTACATATTGAAAACTTATGCGAATTAGGTAATGTGAGATTTTTGGACACAGAATTTCTTAACTTTGGTGAAAGATTGAGGGTGATGATGAAGAATGATGTTGCATTAAGTTAGTAAAAGTTAGGAATTAATACCAACAGAACTTCGATACTTCTTTGACGTATAACGATTATCATTGTATCTTTCCACAAATGTTTTGAGACATACATTTGTGAACAGGAAGTCAATTTGGCGAAATGATTTGCATGGCTTGTGGATGAGAGACTATAATACTATAGTGATCACGACATCATGCATGGTGTTTTCTGTTGTTAGGAACGAGCCACATGCAGTATATAACCGTTTCTCATGGTGATTTTGTAATTTAAACTATTTTGATGATGGGCAAATCTGTGGGAAAAAATGGGGCACGGTTTTGCGCGCGTGTCGGACTCCACAGGGGGCTTTTTTGTTGAGATTTTGTATTGAACATAAAGCCTGTGGGTTAAACAAGCACGGGACTTGGTAGTCACGCGACCATGATTAGCTGTTCTTAATGCTTTCCCAACACTATCATGTATTCTATTGAAGTTAAAACATAGTTGGAACACTCATCAAACGGGCTTTATTTTGTTAATCTAGAGCTTGAAATGTCCCGTGTATAACAATCCAAAGAAACACTAGCTTAAAATTCTTGCAGTATATGAGCACCACGCGTAAATATCTCACAACTTGTCAACAAGATGTGTTCGCAACAGGCTCGTAGCTAGCTTGTCAACAAGTTGTAACAATGCTGTTATTTTATCAAGTTGCTACAAGGTTGTCACTCGCAACTTGTTGACAAATTGTTGAATTGCAAGACGATAACAAGTTGTTGGAATAACTTGTAACAAGTCTGTTGAGCTCAACAACCTTGTAGCAGTTGTCAACAAGCTGGGAACAAGCAGTGCGAACACATCCTGTCGACATGTTGTTGGAACAGCATTGTTACAAGTCTGCTGCAGGTTTGTTACAACTTGTGCGTTTTTACGTGTGTACATTTATCATATAAGGAGTATGCGAATTTAATATAGAGAAAAAGAGAGTCTCAACCAGTTATGTCCAAGATTGTGCTGACTCAAACAATTTACCTTCACATTGGCCACGTACTGACGTGGTGTATATTGTATGCTAACATTACAATTAACATTTATTATATATTTAATATTCAATTATACTGCTGTATGCATGTAGAGACTTAAAAGAGAGTCTGAACCAGTTATGTCCATGATTGTGCATAGCTCGCTTTCGCTACCTGACTCAAATATTTTCCCTTCACATTGACCACGCAGTGATAATATGCTATGTTTCCAGGCGTATTCATTGTTCCCACCCATGCACTACTCACAAGATAGATACCATGTTATTATGCTATATCATACAGTCTTTAATTAACCCATACATACCGACACGCGAGCTCACATTCTGTCTAAACTACACACCCTGCTCTTGAGATCATGGGATGCTTGCTGTTCTTCATGATAATTCTGCTTCTCCATTTTATTTTCGTATTTTATTATGAGGCAACCTTTTTCGATGTCACGTATTGGCGATGGAAAGCGTTCAAAACCAAACATCGTTTTCTCTCAAAATTACTTTGTTTTAGCATTATTCTCTATAGTTTATAAAATTAGCTGCCTTTTAAATGCATTTGACGGTTGAGAAACGTAAAACAATAGGAAAAAATGTTCATTAAAATACAATTATCAATTACGCTTTAAAACATGACGCCAAATTTACAGCAATTATATAAGCAAAACTTTCTGACCTTCAGGCGTCAGTTTCTCTTTGGTGTACCATCTAAAATCTCTTCGTTTTAGTTTTATTTTGCAGATTAAAACGTACTTTTTTAAGTCTGGTTGCCGCTTGAGTAACACAACGAATGGTATATTATAAAAAAAAAACATTGTGTTTTTTCAAGGTCAGGTTCATCTGTTGGACAATGTCACTGGCAATTGACAAAATTGGTCATTATATAATTTATCAAGATTTTGTTGTCATCACACTTGATTGAATATTAGTTGAAGGATATTGTACAATTTTTAGACCTATAGCCAGGAATCGAACCTGCTGCCCTGTGATTCCAGTGCAGAGCTCTAACCAACTGAGCTACAGAGGCCTGTTGTCAAGCTCTAACCAACTGAGCTACAGAGGCCTGTTGTCGAGCTCTAACCAACTGAGCTACAGAGGCCAGTTGTCAAGCTCTAACCAACTGAGCTACCTGCTGCCTGTGATTCCAGTGCAGAGCTCTAACCAACTGAGCTACAGAGGCCTGTTGTCAAGCTCTAACCAACTGAGCTACAGAGGCCTGTTGTCGAGCTCTAACCAACTGAGCTACAGAGGCCTGTTGTCAAGCTCTAACCAACTGAGCTACAGAGGCCTGTTGTCGAGCTCTAACCAACTGAGCTACAGAGGCCAGTTGTCAAGCTCTAACCAACTGAGCTACAGAGGCCTGTTGTCAAGCTCTAACCAACTGAGCTACAGAGGCCTGTTGTCAAGCTCTAACCAACTGAGCTACAGAGGCCAGTTGTCGAGCTCTAACCAACTGAGCTACAGAGTCCAGTTGTCGAGCTCTAACCAACTGAGCTACAGAGTCCAGTTGTCGAGCTCTAACCAACTGAGCTACAGAGGCCTGTTGTCAAGCTCTAACCAACTGAGCTACAGAGGCCAGTTGTCAAGCTCTAACCAACTGAGCTACAGAGGCCTGTTGTCAAGCTCTAACCAACTGAGCTACAGAGAGACAGTTGTCGAGCTCTAACCAACTGAGCTACAGAGAGACAGTTGTCGAGCTCTAACCAACTGAGCTACAGAGAAACAGTTGTCGATCTCTAACCAACTGAGCTACAGAGAGACAGTTGTCGAGCTCTAACCAACTGAGCTACAGAGACACAGTTGTCGAGCTCTAACCAACTGGGCTACAGAGAGACAGTTGTCGAGCTCTAACCAACTAGTTCATGTATATATACCCGCCTCGCGTTCCTTCCCGAGGATCGCAGGCTCGGGGAACGAGATTGACTAGGGTACTGCCATGTATAGCTTATGGGTAAATATCAAGATTTTAGAATAAAGCCACTCATTTGAATGTCATACAATTTTGAATTCCTTTGTTATGCTATCTTAGATTGCCAATTTTTAGTTGACGTGCAGATTGAACATTGCACACATAGTAACACAACAAACATATCCATTTTCTTCATTTTATATAATTGTGTAATTGTTGCACGAAAGACTGCATTCATCTCCTTTTGCTGTAGAATCGTCTGCGAGTATTCACTAAAAAGCATATAATAACCATAAATGGCATAGCTGCACTTGAGATAATTTCGTGCGGAAAATGATTTACAAGACCACTCGGGGTCTTCTTCTATATCTATTTCAATATACCACCTGTTCTTTGAAAACCAACAACGCGATAAGTTCTTTCAATCTTCGCTGTAAACACTTTAAAACATACAGAAGGTTTTTGTTGTGCTCGCAACAAATATGTGAGATTAATGTTTGTGCAAGTTTGATGCTGTGAGGTTAAATTGTTTGAATTGTATTTGTCGGAGTAGTCTTTTATAGCTGTTCAAACTTGTGGGAACTTTTATGTGGTGATTCATACTGGATTGCACGACGACGCATGGTTATTATAAAATGTTTTTGATCACTGCATGGTTTACAAGAGTGTCACGTCTTGTTTGTAGTTAATCATTGTTATTGCGTACTTTAAATTTAACTAACTTTATTTATATTGGAGCGCTTTATGCATGATGTACAGATCTAGACTTTTCTCCTACCCTATATAGAGCATTGTATATTGTTCCAGTGTTATTTATTTATAAACTATATAGATATTTCAAGTCGTTTTAAATGGAAACCTAAACTAAACTAACTTCATTTATATGTATTAATTTGTCATTTCTACACTGTTCTTGCCAGATGTCCAGTAAGGGTCATCTCTTATTGGTCAAGTGTTTTTAAATGGAAACCTAAACTAAACTAACTTAATTTATGCTGGATAGTTCTATCAATACCAATTTACTCTTCTCTCCATGCAGAGAGTGATCGTCTCTATAGGTATATATTATGGAAATCCTAAACTTGACTACCTTTAATTATTTATATTGAATCACGTGCACAACCAGTTCACTCCAAATTGCTCTTCTTAGAAGTCCATGAGTAAGGTCTATTTGTTCTTTTTATGAATCTGGGTCACAGAGATGACTATTTGGGAATTGTAACTCGTATACCAAAAATTAACTTTGTTGTTGCAAAAACTTCGATGTTTTTCAAAGTTGTTTTTATAAAAACCCGTGCTCATTTGCATCCAAAAAGCATAATTGAATACTTGGAAAAAGCATATTTATATTTAGTTTCAGCTCTGTAGTCTTTACTTCAGTACCCTTGAGGCAAGTTCCTAGTTGCCTGCTTCGTATATTAGTTATAAGTAATTGTGCGCACCGAATGATATTGTAAATATATTAAGTCTCTTCCGTTGCGGAATGTCGGATACACAATGCAGCACCTGCACAAGTGGTTTGTCGTTTTCAAACCGTCATGGGAAAGCAAACAATTATCGTTAACTTTAGAAATATAGTGCATATATGCTGTTCTCAAACAAATAGATGACCTTGTTTACTGTTGGGATAAATGTAAAACAGTTCGATGAGATTCCTTTACGAAAATTTCACATATGATTTCACACGCAGTGAAACAGTGAATTCACATGTGGAATCAAAATTTCATATGTGAAAATCGTATTTCACATATGAATTTCCCATTCGTGAAACACATGTGAAATCCTTAATTCACATGTAAAAATTTCATATGTGAAATCAAATCACATGTGAAATCCTCATTTAAATTTCACATGTGAAGTGTTCCAACTCCATATGTGGATTTCACATGTGAAATCATATGTTAAATTGCTGTAAGGGTTCCATCTGCTCGTAGAGTCTATACTGAACTTTTTAATATAAAAATGAGTGGAGGTTCAATCTGAGCTTCTCTTGAGTGTCAATGCTGTTTTTGAATAGCTGGAGGGCGAGTAATCACATAGTAAGGTACGACACTAACCCTCCAGCTCTTCAAAAACAGCAATAACCCTCGAGAGAAGCTCAGATTGAACTTGCACTCATTGAGTGTGAGTGAGTCCAAATGTCGTTTCAGAGACCCAAAATTCAATTTTTTTCGGGGGAGCATACCCCCTGACCCCTAAAATTGTGACTCACAAATTATTAGTTGCCCCCTCCAAAAAAAATCCTGGCGATCGTCTCTACCCACACTGGCCATTGGAAACACTATATCTTTAAAACAACCAACTACAATCCTACAATCATTTCACAATCAAGGGATTAACTACACAAGGCATATACAACACAAGACAGTCACGGGACTACAATATACATTCCCGCGCAAGATCTAATGACAATAGCGCACGTGCCGCATCAAATTTATATGCAAAGCACACACACATCACCAACAACCATCCCAAATAAAAACTTCCTTTTTTGAGAATTTTTTGACACAACCTCTCTAAAAATACCTTTGAGTGGCGGTTGAAAGTTAAACAAATCTCACTTGTCTGTGGTTAGCGTTGAACTGTCTACACAAGTTTTCAGAAGGTCTGAGAAGAAAGTTTTATTAAAACCTCATGACTTTGTTAATGTCTGGGGATTAGTGACTGATTTGTGCACTAATTACTAAATAAACGTCGTGGATTAATAATTTGATTTGAAGTTAAGGCTTTTACAAACTGATAAGTAAGTAAAGATGTGTTCGCACTGCTTGTTCCCAGTTGTTGTGACAAGTCTGGAACAAGTTGTTATCACCTTGTTACAAGGTTGATGACGGTAACAGACTTTGCTACAATTTGTTCTAACTAGACTAGTACAGGCTGTTCGTAACAAGTTGCTACAAGCTTGTTGTCATCAACTTGTTAACAACTTGTTACGTGCAGACGATATCAGACTTGTTGGAACAACTTGTTGCGAGTCTGTTGGCCTCATCAACCTTGTTACAACTTACAAAGTGATAGCAATGTTGTCAACAACTGGAAATAAGCAGTGCGAACACATCTTGTTGAAAAGCTGTGTGAGTTTTACTCGTGTAACTGATCTGTTCTTATACATCGACTCCTCAATTACTGGGATAGTGCTTAAAGACATGAAAAATTTCAGATCATGTTAGCCTACATTCAAGAAAATGTAATAACTTTGCACGACCAAACAACTTATTGAAATGGCCACGTGCTGACACGCGTCACGCGTGATTAAACACGAATGATATCCCGCGTGTATTGGTGCTATTACTTGGCGTTTTACGCCTTTTTCGCAACTTCCATAATACTATGCGTGGTTTTTATTCTGCAAAACGTATAGTGCGTATAAGAAAGGGATATTTAAGACAGTTTTAATAGTATAAAATTTATCTCTTTATTTAAGTTAAAATATAAAACAACATTTAAAAATAATTATTTCTATATAATACAAATGTATATCAAGTCCAGCTCGAAATTGGAACAAATGTTATTTAAATCAATCCTGTCGTCTGCCAAGGTCGCCAAACTGATTCAGGTCTCGCAGAGGTTTCGTGGTAGGAAAGTCTTCTGTTTGGTTTCAGTTCTGCTGTCTGCGATAACAACGTTAGGCCTTCGATGGGCGATACTGCCAATCTCGCGGTCGGTGATGGGATAGGTGATGGCGGTGGCGTGGTGGTGAATTGTGGATAAGTCGTGACATTTGGTGCAAAACTGTGGATAGGACGGGGTAAATTTAATGTCATCACCGGTCGAGAACTTGCAATGTGCGAGATAATTTGTGACTTTTGGTTCGCGTTGATTGTCGGATCTGTGATAAGTACTCGAGTCATGTGATCTTGACATTCTCGAAAACCTGCTTGGTAACTCGCCAAACCGGTTGTGTTGTCCTGCTGCTGTTTCGCCGATTGGGCGGATTTCAGGTAGTTGACAGTCAAATCCAAGACGTCTGCTTTTTCCATCTTTTCATAAAGCGAGATCTAGAATATAATCAGATAGACATTCATAAGAATTGTTCCTTTACAATATCTAGGGGCTTCGTACCACTTACAACTCCAAAACACAGTCCTATTCTGACGCACGGAAACGCGAGCGAACTCTATGCCGTCATAGTTGCGTCAACCGACACATGCTATTGTAGGTGCGCTAAAATAAACGGAAATAGTCCTTGTTTAATAATTAACTCTTGCATGAGCTTGCATCCTTCCATCAACCTTTTCCGTCATTCCTTGCCGGGCATAATAAATTTTGTCCTCATTATATTTCTTGTTAAATTAAATAATGTGCAATTTCTGTTTGCTATTGGCGATTTAGAGGTATTGATCATTTGGAAAGATTTGCATGTAAATTCGGATTAATTTTTCTTTACGTTTTTCATGTACGTTGCCCATTTGGAAATAAATTGCCAAGCTATCGAGATAGTTTTAACTCCTTGTGATGTGTGGAACTTTTTTATTTGTTTGCCTCCGAAGAGTTTTGTAAGCAAAGCGGAAAAAAATCTGAACTTCAACTTCCCACCCTCGTCAGCGTAGGATTAAGGTGTTTTCCGGCATTTATAAGAATGGAGTTATATTATGTTCGCTAGATGCACGCGTGATTGTCTCTCTTTATTCGCCACGTGTCAGAAATAGCGCGTGCGATCGAGGCTAGAAATGGCTGCTCATGTAATTGATACATCAATTGCAACTTTTTTAACAGCGAAATAAATGACAGTGTATATTCTTTGGAAATATTGTGTATATTACGATTTAAAGTGATAAAGTCAAATGCATGATGTATGAAATTTATAATAAAAGTATATATATATAATATAAATTATTCATTTACAAGATTGATAAATTGTTCTAATTCTAGACTGCCTTTTTTCCGCGCAAATTCTATTTGACTTTTTTGCTATCGATATACAAAGTTATTTTCTTCTTTTCGTTTTTCAGTATAAATTGTACTGATGAGCTGTTTCAAACCTTGCTAAAGTTTGTAATATGACATCTACTGATTGCTTCAACAGTATATATTAAAGAATACATATTTACACCGAAGATTTGGTTTAAAAATTAAAGTTAAACTTACATCTCTATGTAAAGCTTCCAAAACCAAGCTTTTGAGTTCGTGGAGACTGTCATTGATCCGTTTGCGTCTCTGTTTTTCAATCAACGGTTTCTTAATCTGAAAAAATACAATGTATTTGAATAAATATATTCTCTTTGCAATATTAAATATATAGTTCGTGATTTATTCTGATCTAATTTAGGATCGTTAATGATGTTAATTTGTAACATTTTTCGTCCACGTAAACAAATTAACCACAAATTATGTTTATGACAAAATATGCAGGAAAATAAAAAGAATTTATTCATAAATTTTGGACAGGTCTAGAAGCGGATTTGGATTTTACAATATAAATTCATCATATAGTGCTAGCTCAGATATAAATACGTTGTAATAGATATCATCGCAAATTCATGACCATGATAAAATCTTGCTTCGCTCTTTCAAACTTTTTTAAAGACTGATTATATAATTTCCTGTATACAGTAAAACATTCGCAAAAACTTAGATTAAAACGCAAATAATTGCATGACCATATTCTCTAGTTAACAATAGTTAGTTTGATACGAAGTTTTATATCGAACTTGCAAGCTTGAAATATTTAAGGCAATTTATAAATTCTAATTTGGTTCAAAATATATACTTAGCAGCGCAAGCATATGATATGCCATATGTTGGCTGTGTTTATAATATTGATCATGTGAATTCTTTGTTTTGCATATTGGGAAAAAAACAAGCAAAATTATTATATTATTTTGGTATTGAGTGACTCTTGCTGTTCTACCTGTATCATTCACTGACCCAACGAAGATATAGCGAAAATTCATTTCTTCAAAATTTGGTCTTCGCTAATTCCATGAGTTATGGACTTAATTCCACTTTACTTTGCGTAAAGATGGGACACAGATTTCACACATACTCTAAACTTTTCAATGTGGAGTTATACCTTCTATATTTCTACCTTCTTTCAATTCAGCCGAATATCGGTAAAAACGGTTTAATTCTCATAGAAAGTTCCTTCGTTGTAGCGAGATTCAAATTTGGGAAAAGTTTTGCTAAATGAAAACGTTTTGGAGGATGTAACTTTGTTATGTTCTTGACATAGTGCGCTAAGATTTGGTTTCTTCTTCGTGAGATAAATTAAAGATATTATTGTTATTAATAAGTTTATAGTCTTTTACCTTTCTAGATTCTTTGTTTGTGTTCTTTCCATCTGATTTGAGGTTATCTAGTCCCATATTGCTAGTACGGTGTGTTTGTTGTCTTTTCGAAGCGTGTCAGGCACGAGCGTGTTTGCGATTGAGAAGCCGAACCGCAAAATAAGCTATCTTTTTAATGTTTCATTTATTTATAGCTTGGAGCCATGGGAAAATCCCTCGGTCTATTGTGTCTAACAAATATTGACACCGTTGATTGTTTATGATTTCCCTCCCACAAGACTCCTCTATTCAATATCATTCTTTGGACCGTGGGATCGCTTCAAGCTCATTGGTCAATCCAAACACTTTGCTCGCGACCAGCGTAAGCATGAGCAGTGGCGTGCGACGAGCGTGAGACTGCTCTCCTCTCATTGGCCAGTTCAAGGGGGTCGCGTTTTGCCAATTAGCTCACAGTATTCTCTGGCATGCGAACGGTATTAAAGTGCTCGTGAATTTCTAAGGCTCTTTTGCTAACTAGGATAAGTACGACAACAAAGGGACATTGTAGGCGTTAACTACCTTCAGCCCTGCCTTTGTTGTCAAATAGTGTTTGTAGTGTTTGCTAAATTTACTCTCGATATAAGACTTTCATCGATACTCATAAAGCGTGGTTTACACTAGTTTCAAAGTTTCTGCGATCATGCATAGTAGGATTTTTACACAGGTTTTGAAGGATTTCTATGAGAAATGTTTGAGGGAAATTAATGACTCTGTGTTTAACATTAATTCAGTTTGCTTGTGTGATGTTACTCTGAGTGCATATCCACACCGGGCAGGCCTGAAAAATATGCCTGGCCACGGTGGGAATGGAACCTACGACCTTTGGAATACTAGCCCAATACTCTGCCAACTGAGCTATACGCGGTCAGGTGTCATTGACATTAATTTAGTTTGCTTAAACGTTTCTTTCAAATCCTTCAAAACGTAGAAATTACCATTATACTATGGAAATTTCTATTGTGATATCAGAAACTTTGATAGTGTAAACTATAGGCTTATCAGAGTTTGACTGGGTAGCAGTCACAATAGAATAAGAAAGTTTTGGATTCATAGGGATACAACTATACCTGAAAAATACAAGGAGAACTTCGACGTTTGGAGCGAAGGCAGTTTGTCGAGACATTAGTAGTCGACTACAAACTTCCCGAAGAGCTCGAAATGTCGAAGTTCTCCTTGTATTTTTCAAGTAGTTGTGTGGAATGATATCTAAGGAACATTTTGTACTATCATCGAATATTCTCTGGTTCATCTACTATCGCCAAATATTTACTATATGTAGATAATATGCTTAGAAAGTGCGTCATGCAAGGAAAGGTTAGGAAACTATTGGAAAAGGATCAAAATACTGTTTGGAATAAAGTTTGAAGCAATAGTCGACCAATGTCTTTCTTAAATTGTACTGAGAAGTTAATGAAGAATGGTATAAACAGTTATTGCCGTTGACTATTTAGTAGATGCATGAAATAGTTTATAATCAAGACTGGTAAACAGTGCCAATATACATAAATGTTAAATGATATCTAAGACGTCTAAGGTACATGCATGTTTAATATCTCATGAGATATTGTTTTCAATGTTGATTCATCATGAATTAAGTGCGGAGTGTACCATATACTTTTAAACAAATCTCTTGTAGAACCGAAGCTCATAGTCCTAGACTATCATTTTATCCACAAATTATATATAGCTCAATGAAACTCTTTTCCTAAACACGTATTCTTGCAAGCAACGAATACCAGAATCATTTAAATGCATGATTTCTGAGCTTGTTACACCTTCTGACCCCTCGCTATTCAGGGCTGGCCGTATTTGGAAAATAAAATAAAAATAAATATAAGTTTGTGTAAGAGTGATCCTGAAGACCTGAAGATCAATCTTGAGGCGTTCCGTGGAACGATGTTGAAAATGATTCCTAAGACTAAGTAAGGAACATCTTAAATAAGGAGCATTTTAAATTTGATATCTTATAGGATAGTGTTAAGACTTTTTTACCACCGAAAGGCATTGAGCAGATCATGGTGTTTCTTAATAGTGTGATCAACTTCCTTAACAGAAAACTCATGTATATACCAGGAAAATCATATACTAGGAAAGTCCTATCATACTCGGAATTCGGAAACCCCGTTGGCGTAACATCATTAAAATAATGTTTCAAGCATACTAAATTTACTGCAAAGTTTTTATTATAAGTTTATTATAAAGAAAATGAAAATATATAAAGAGTTACTTGAGAGGATTTTATAGCCTATAGGCTATAGCATCTAAATGATAAATGATTCGAATAGAGCCCTATAATTTAACGCAAACTGTCAAACACTCGTGAAAGATTATGAGAATTATAGCTGGAGTATATGCATGCATGTTTAATGATTTATCAGATATTTTCACAAACAGTATGGGGAAACAAATTGTATGAGATGATAGTTAATGGTGAAGAAACCTAAAGATAAAAATATTGAAAATGATATTTAAGAAGTAAGGGGTCTGAGGAGCATTTTTATAAATATTTGTTATCAAATGTTGTTTGCAATGAATTTACTGCATGTCAATCTGCGAATTTGTAGCCTAAGTTTCGATGTGAGACTACGAGCTGGTTGCGAATTTTCTAGTGTCAGTTTACTTGAGAACACTGTAGCTATATGTCTTTAGGAACAGTTGACAAACCGTTTGAAAGGATTGAAATTATATTTTGAACATTTCCTGAACAGTAACAAGAACTGAGAAATCATATCGTCTTAGCAATATTTTCGGAAATGTGTGATAAATCATTGTTGCTTTTTCATGCATATACAGTGTTGAGTCCTTGAAGTCATTAAAGACTCCGTGATATTTTTGGCTGCGTTTACACTGCATGTACGGATAGCATTTGCAATTCAGCTTAGCTCTCAGCTTGCAAGTAGAGATGATTACACCCCCACTTACTTAAGGCGTCATCAAAGCTTTTGATACTACCGATACATGATTTCAATGATCCATTGGTTCTCCTAGAACAATTTTGATAATCTTTTTTTCAAAGTTCATCTCTTAGATTTTTCCTAGAGATCCATTAAGGATCATCTCTTATTGAGCCGGTGTTACTGTAGGAGGAAACCTAAACTAAACTAAGTTTATTTATACTGGATAGCTCTATCAGTTCTAAACTGTTCTGCCTAGAGGTCCAGTAAGGATCATCTCTTATTGATCCAGTGTTACTACAGGAGGAAACCTAAACTAAACTAACTTTATTTATGCTGGATAGCTCTATCAGTTCTAAACTGTTCTTCCTAGAGGTCCAGTAAGGATCATCTCTTATTGATCCAGTGTTACTACAGGAGGAAACCTAAACTAAACTAACTTTATTTATACTGGATAGCTCTATCAGTTCTAAACTGTTCTGCCTAGAGGTCCAGTAAGGATCATCTCTTATTGATCCAGTGTTACTACAGGAGGAAACCTAAACTAAACTAACTTTATTTAATTACATCTTCAAAATCATAAATTATGATAATCTTAACTTGACAGCTTTTTGTAAGACTAATTCGGTAATTTGTAAATATTTGCATACAGAAGCCTTGGGTGTGTTAGCCCAAGATTAAACAAAGTTTTTGTTCTCAAGAGTTACACATATTTCATCAAGTGTTAATTATCGAAACTTGTCACGAGTTTCATAAACGTTCTCTCTCTTTAATGAATTTTTAAAACACGCTTCAGATTGTTAATTATGTTTTTAATTCGCTGCAAAGAGGAGAAGATTTTGCGTTGATCCACAGACCTCAGAAATGGCCGTCGAGCTCACTTCAAAATTGTATTTGAACATATGTTCGTTTACGTCAATGAAGTCAGCGGTCTGTGACGCATTGTGACGTCATATACAGTTGTTGTCGGCATGTAAAAGCGCGCAAGTTGTTTCAGATCTGAAGATAAAGTTGTAACAAGGTTGTGGTGTCAAGCCAATATCAGGATGTGTTCGCACCACTGAACTCTGTAAATACTGGAACGATCATTCGGGCTTGATCGTCTTGTAGGTACGATCCAGTCCCTACGCGGAAATTCATTAAATTCAGTAAGAAAAAGCCAGCTTTATTCCATGTAAAAGTTTCATATTTTTCAGCCGATTGTTTATTAAGGCGGGCTTTATTATGCCCCTAGGATACTAGTTCAAGTGGTCTTTCAGAATATACAAATTTTAGAAATACTTCGTCATAAATAGCAAAGTTATCTTATGAGTGAAAAACCAGTTCGGAAAAAAACCCGCGTTGAAGAACATCAGCAACTTGTGTGTTTTTTGGGCTATCTATGTGGGATTTTTAAAGAAAACAGAATAATATGGACTGCATTTGCATCAATCTTACATTTTTGTTTTAGGTGTTACTACAGAAGGAAACCTAAACTAAACTAACTTTATTTATATTGGATAGCTCTATCGGTTCTAAACTGTTCTTCCTAGAGGTCCAGTAAGGATAATCTCTTATTGATCCAATGTTACTACAGGAGGAAACCTAAACTAAACTAACTTTATTTATACTGGATAGCTCTATCAGTGGTAAACTGTTCTGCTAAAGCCTGCTGTAGTTACTCGGTTGTTATAATATTAAGAGATGGCCCTGCTAAAGTTTCCCGGTATAAACAAAGTTAAGCCTTGTTGACCACCACGTGTTACAGTGTCGCTGGAATCCACCCATATCCGCTACTAATTAAATTCCTCTCATTACGAACTGTTAAAATTGCTTGTTGATTTGATTGTTTGTATTCCCCTTCCTGTACTTGACGTCACTCTGTCGCTAATGACTTCATTTGCTGATTGTTTCTCAGGTTTAAAAAAGCAGAAGCACAAACAACGGAAAAGGAAATCGTTAGAAGAAGAATGTGATAATGTTATACCAAAGGTATTTTATTTATACAACATGGTTTGCTGTTGTTTTTGTTGTGGAGAAATCGCTTACAAGCTTCGTTTATATTAACGAACTTTATTCAAACAGAGATACAAATTCTGGTTCATAGAATAAAAAAACATATTACAGAGACTAGATTAAAAAAATTAAACTAGTTAGAATCGATCAAAATTGGTTAGGACATTACAACACGATACATAAATACAAGTCATGATTATTACAAGAACGAAACGAGTGATTTAGATGGTTAAGCTTGCAGAAGAACAAAATGCAGAAAATATCCAAGAGCTAAAGCATCAAGAACTGAAGGACTTTTTTTTAAGTAACTCAAGTACTTCTTTATAAATTCAAGGACTTTTAACACCATGAATTTTTTTTTTCAAATTCAAGGAGTTTCAAGTTCTGTATTTAATGTCCGTTACACAGGCTGTGGTTACCAAATTCACGCAGGTTGAGCTGCGTCCTTCGTAATTCAGCTTAGCTGCAAGTAAAGATGATTACACCCACTTACCAACTCACTTACAACATGAACATATTTTCCTCTTTTGTAGAAAAAACAAAAGTCGACGCGGAAAATGAAAACTGGTGTTCATTATTACGCCGAGGTGAATGTGAAAAATAAAAATCGAAATAAGAAAAGCAGTTCTACTAACCAGCGGTCATCGAAAGGAAAAAAGAGACGGTCGTAAGAAAGAAATGGAAAAGGTTAGGTTTACGCATGCGCACATGACGGGAATGATTTGATAGCGTTTTAAGAAAGTTGTGTGGTGAGATCCAGTACATGCGCAAAAAACGCACAAGTTGTTTGTTGTGTTCGCACTGCTTGTTCCCATGCAGTTGTAACAAGTTTGGAACAAATTATCACAATGAAACCATTAGTATCTAATTTTTAATTGAATCCACAAATCATTGCAATACTTGCAAGAGATTGACGGGGAAAGAAAGTTTTAAAGATGATGTAAAGTCCGTAATGTAAACAAACGCTTTGTTACATTTTGAACTCTTTGTAAAATATGATTAGATATATATTATACTGAATTTTTAATACTCTTTGGTTCGCTATGCTTGTAAATGAATACAGACTAGAGATTCAGTTCAAGAAAGTTCGAAGTACTAATAACATTCCAATGGTTGGGTCCCGATCATTGGAATGTAGGCCTGCGCAGAACGGACTTTACAGCATCTTTAAGAGATTGTGTCGCACAGTAATCGCAAAAATGATGCAGTCTTAAGCCCTGGGCAAACTAGGAAACATTGTTGTGAAAACATTTGTGATTCTCGATGTTTCCTCAAATGTTTCCCTGTTTGCCCACCCGTGGAAACATTGTTGCGGAAACAAAATTTGCTTCCCGAGAAGCAAAAATGTTTCCTAGCAAATTCAGACACATTTGATGTTTCCCTAGTATGTTTCTCACTAATGTTTCCTAGTGTTTGCCCACTCTGGGAAACATGGCGAAACATTGGCAGGAAACAATGTTTCCGCAACAATGTTTCCTAGTTTGCCCAGGGCTTTAACGAAGCAGATTACTGTTTCTCACAAATTTCCCGTCCATTACAAAACTACATATACATTATAATGTCTATAAAAGTATTTTATATTTTTCTGTCCTCGGGACTCTATTAATAACTAATCTACCATCATACGACAGCGATGCAAAAACCCATGGGTCAGCGGATGACCATTCAACGGCATAGACGCTGTCTTCGTGCTCTTCGTACGTTGCTATGACACCATCTGCGGGCGGCGATGATGACCTGAAAACAGGTGGAATACGAATTAATTTTCTTGCTTGAAGGAAAATGTAGAATATATAACTCGAAAGTAGAATATTTTGTATCGCTTTGACCAATTTGTCAACAAGTTGTGAGTGACAACCTTGTAGCAACTTGATAACATAACATTGTTAGGACTTGTTGAGAAGCTTGCTACAAGCCTGTTGCGAACACATCTTGTTGACAAGTTGTGACATTTTTACGTGTGCAGTTTAGATTGTAGAATTTGGTGAATTCTTACTCGTGTGTCTCCCTGTGTTCCTCATCATCGTCGTCGTCGTCGAGATGCGGAAATGGTTCGGATGACAAAGATACGATCTTGTTTAAAATAACTCGACTGTCACTGCTCGACGACAACACCAGCTGATCATGGAAATGATTGTACCGTACGCGCCACACCCTGCAAGAGAAATCATATTATACGATATATACACATACATTTGTGCTATAGAAATGCGAAATATCATTGTATAATGTCGTGCATTTGGCATTCTTCAGTCACACTTCCAGCTGTTAACTAAAAAATTTTGGATAGGGGAAAAAACAGAGAGCGCCCATTTTAAAACTTGACCCTCTATGGGGCGAGTTAAATACAAATGTATTTACAAAATGAGCAAAGCTGGTCGAAAGACTAGCTAGGCTAGATATGAGCTAGTTCGCACGTAACTCTGCATGGTTGTTTGAGGTCATTGGAAACATGAATGATTTGAAAACACGTAAACAACAACTGTGAGTGGCTGGTAAACAACGCTGTTGTCTGACTGTGACACAGCTGGTATTTCTTTTCTTGTCTGAAGGAATGTTAAATATTAGCTGCTGGATATATTGGATCGCAAAAATACTTGGCATTGCACATTCTACTGTTGTCTGTTTCCGTTGTAATGAAACAGCTGGAACGCGACTTGTGCTTAGCACTTTGATTCTCATCGAATTCATTTCATATTTTTATGTAAAAAGTACCAAACTACACACGTCAAAATCTCACAACTTGTCAACAAGATGTGTTCGCAACAGACTTGTAGCAAGCTTCTCAACAAGTTGCAACAATGCTGTTATTTTATCAAGTTGCTACAAGGTTGTCACTCACAACTTGTTGACAAATTACCTCGTAACAAGTTCTCAACAAGCCGTTGACAACTTGTCAACAAGCAGTGTGAACACATCCTGTTGACAAGTTGTAATTGGAATAGCAATGCTACAAGTCTACTGCAGGTTTGTTACAACTTGTGCGTTTTTACATGTGTATAAAGCGAAAATCAGAGAGGTGTGAACATACATAGTCTTCATAGTCAGAATCATACATATGCAGCTTGTAACAAAAATTCCATCAACATATTTTTTGGCAATTTTTTAGATCTTAACCGGCCGTCTTTACACAATGCGAAGACACCCAGGGAGCACCATCGTAGATATAGTTAATTATTTTAACCATGGTAGCATTTAACCCCAACTGTTTTTGTTGACGAACCATTGTCAACTACATAACAAGCTGAAAACAACTCCACAATGGATGGTTACAAAAACACACTAATATCCAACAGTCATTTGACCATATGCCATATTCTCTCAGAGCCACTGTGTGGGAATTTCTTGCGTAAAAAGAAATCAAATAGCCGAGACAGACACGACAATGAGGAATGAGATATTGTGTTGTTGAAAATTGCAGGAAAATTGTAGTCAATAGTTGACAAATCATGTCGAGTTGTCTTGCTGTGTTTTGAGTGGTCGGTATAAAGTTGGTGTGCTTTGCTCAATATCTTAGACCCCTGTCTGTTTCCACGTGTTTCGATGCGAAAGCTAATATCTCTTATTGATGTGTATAAAAATACGTGCAGAAAGATACGAGCGTGTAATCCCGGAAATAAAGCCGGTTTCAGACAAAAGTTACTTTTCAATTGACAAGTTTTATAATTCCTATGACAACTTTCATTTCATTCAGTCAACTTTGCCTAGATTTTCTAATTGACAAGAACACCTTTTTAAAAGCCAACATACTAGCTTTTGAGAAATTGCCGAAGTACAAATTTTGCTCGTCTGAAAATTTGAGAAACTAATTTGGGAACTTGTGGTTGGACAGCGATATATTACCAGAACCAGAGAACCAAAAACTTGTCATGTTATATAGAAAATTTGCTGTGCGACACATGAGCAGCTGACAAATAAACATGCCATGTGAAAACATGTCACGAAAACGTCGTATCCGGCTTGTACAATGCAAAAACCAATATACTGATTAGAATACAATTATATAGAAGCCGGTTGCCGCTAAGAAGATGCTTAATCCTACAAAGCCAGCCGACAATACAATGATAGACACTTCGATTCTTGCTGCAAATCTTTGACACAAAAAGTGTCGCTTAACGCTCTGCCGAAAGTCGTGGGTTTTCCCCGGGTACTCTGGTTTCCTCCCACGGGAAATGCTGACAGGGTGGGTTGGGGTTAGCCCCTAATTGACCCTTCCACCGTAGCTGTGATCAGTGGCATTTGAAAACCCAGTTCTGGCATTCGTAAAGAGAGTTCTGGCATTTGAAGCCAGTTCTGGCATTCGTAAAGAGAGTTCTGGCATTTGAAGCCAGTTCTGGCATTCGTAAAGAGAGTTCTGGCATTTGAAAACCCAGTTCTGGCATTCGTAAAGAGAGTTCTGGCATTTGAAGCCAGTTCTGGCATTCGTAAAGAGAGTTCTGGCATTTGAAGCCAGTTCTGGCATTTGAAAACCCAGTTCTGGCATTTGAAAACCCAGTTCTGGCATTTGAAAACCCAGTTCTGGCATTCGTAAAGAGAGTTCTGGCATTTGAAGCCAGTTCTGGCATTTGAAAACCCAGTTCTGGCATTCGTAAAGAGAGTTCTGGCATTTGAAAACCCAGTTCTGGCATTCGTAAAGAGAGTTCTGGCATTTGAAAGCCAGTTCTGGCATTCGTAAAGAGAGTTCTGGCATTTGAAGCCAGTTCTGGCATTTGAAAACCCAGTTCTGGCATTTGAACCAGTTCTGGCATTGAAGCCAGTAAAGAG